TGGTAATACCATGTCAGACGAATTACTGAGGTATCAGTGCTGTGCCTTCTGTTCACTCCTGTGATTTGTGCCTCAAATTATCATGCAAGAATATGATTTCAGTTGTTGGAAAAGCAGTAAATTGCCTCTGTGTTTGAGACTTGTGTGTGCTACCAACTCAGGGGCACATACAAGTTCCTTGTGTGTAATAGAGAGATCTGGGCTGAGAGGCCTTGGAGCTATTTCCATACACTTGGCCTGACAAATCTGTCACAGAAGCTGTAAGCTTTTATATGGAGAGGTTGAGTTATTCACAACAGTGCTGAATTCAGTGCCTGTAGCTTAAAACTCTGGTGCAGAATTGCACATGGCTGGTTGAGCCTTTGCTCTCAGTTTGCTGCTGCAGGTACTTGCCTGTCCCCAGCTTATTTAGCAGGAGGGAAGAGAGCAGAGATGAGAGATGTGCAGCACCTGTCCCCAGCACACTTCTGTCTGATGCCAAAATTTAGATTTAGCAAAGGCTGCAATACTGCAATCTTGAGCAAATATATGAGTGTGTGGGTATATAGCAGACACTTGGGCATGATTGTATTGGGTACTGACAGCTTTAACACATTTGCTTTGGTTGTGTCTCCCAAAGCCTGTTCTAATAACTGTGCAAATTATGAAGGGGCCCTTAAAAGGGCTTTGACTGCATTTCCCACACACTTTCTCCATGCTTAACTAAAACCACTCTGTGAACAGCAAACCACAAGGAAAAATTTCATCTTTTAGGAAGGGTTTCACTTGTACTACATAACTGGAAAGAAATTATTATATAATCTAATGACAGTAATTTTTGAGCAATGCTTCTAATACAGAGGTGGTTTAGAAATTTAATGTATCACTAGTATAGAAGGAAAACAAGAACTAATCTATGGTTTCACTTGACCAGAAAAGCACTTGCAGGGCAGCAGAAGGTGACAGGCAATGTCCCTGTGCACTTAGCCGCAGAAGCAATCAGTCAGGAGATGAAGGGGAGGAAGGTAGCTTCAGACTTTTGAGTTGTGGCACTACCCAGTGCTGCCACCAATTGCAATTGCCAAGGCAGTAACACTTTCCTGATTTTCCTGGAATTAAAGTTTGTGTGAGCAATATTGGTTCTCCGGGGCATAATCATTGTTGCACTTTTCAGATCAGATTCATGTGAAAATTATGACTTGGAGCTTGCCTGCAGCATGTGCTGCAGATTTGGAGTGACAAGTGCATCCTCAGGAGCAGGTGTTTGTGTCCTGCCTGATGCAGGGTCCTGGGGTTCCACCTGGCAGTTCTTCAGCAGAAATATGGAAACGCGGTGCATGGTTTTGTGTGTTGTGTAATGTGGGAAGTGGCAGCCAAGAGTGTCTATGTTCCCGATTCGGCTGGTGCTAATGTACTGTCATTCTTTAAAATGAAGATTTTTAATAACTGGAACTGGATGGATCCTTCTGTTACCTTGTGGCTTCAGTACAGACATCTTTGAAATAACATGCGTAACTGTAAGAACTTTTCACCTCGTGTACATTGCTCTTCTCTGTTTGGGGTTGTCAGACTAGGACAACGTATTGCTCCTCTGGGAAGAAGGGAGTCTTTCCAAGAGTAATTATCTGGAGTATTCCTAGAGTAAGTATCTCTAACGCCTTCATCAGTATTTTTTTACAAAAAGAAAACCTCTGTATCTGAAAAATATGAGACTGGTTGCTTACAGAAGACCATGTGCACCTCTAAGAAGAGTAAAGAGATGGAGGAGAGGAGCCTCCAGCTAAAACAGTTTCTAAACAGCAATTGTCACCCTTGGTTTGACAATGACAGTACCTTCAGTCCGGTGCAATGTTTGACCTTGTGTTGTGCTTGTAGGCTGTTGCAACATGAAGTAAAAAATGTCTGCCTAAAACCTCTGTTGAGGTTTGTTTGCCTTGGGTGCCATCCACAGTGTATTTCCTGCTGTGCTGCAATATGTACAGTTACAGTACATAAATAGAAAAGCTGTTCTTGGGGACAAACCATCTTTTTCTTGGTTTCACCTAGCAGTTTTTGGCAATTTTGGCTTCATCATCAACATTGCTGCAATAACTTCTGAAGTTACATAGATTTTGTGGTGTGGATAGTGGGAGGTTGTGAGCTTGATAAGCTGACAGGTTTTTATGGGCAGTTCACTTGAACTTCTGATGGATTTGAGACCTTCAGCATTGATTTCCTTAAGTTTTTGGAGCTTTTCTGGGCTTCATGAGGTGCCCTATTCATCATCTTCACCCTCTTGGTTAGGAAAATAAATAAGGTCAAACAATTAATATTAGAGCGTTCATCTGTTACGCTCCAGAAGAGCCTGTCACCTCCAGAAGTGTCCTATGACAACTGTGACTCCATGAGAAGCCCACACTGGAGCAGGCTTCTGACAGGCCTTGGGAATCCATGAATAGAGAAGCCTAAGCAAGAGCAGATTTGCTGGCAGGACTTCTGACCCACAGTGGGGAACCCACACTGAAGCAGACTGTTCCTGAAGGACTGCACCCATGGGAGAACCACTGCTGGAGTAGTTTGTGAAGAATTGTAGCCCATGGGAAGGGCTCACATTGGAGAGTTTTTAGAGGACTGTCTCCCAAGGAAGGAACTCCACACTGAAGCAGGGGAATGACCTCCCTGAGGAGGAAGTAGCCCCAGGAACAACATGATGAACTGACCATAACCCCCATTCCCCATCTCCCTGCACTGCTGAGTGGGGAGGAGTAGAGAATTGGGAATAAAGTTAAGCCTGGGAATGAGGGGAGGAGTGGGTGGAGTGTTTTTTTTTTTCAGATTTGCTTTACTTCTCATTTTCATGCTCTTATTTTGATTGGTAATAAATTCAGCTAAGACTCCTAAATCAAGACTGTTTTGCCTGTGGTTTTAACTGGTGAATGATCTCTCCCTGTCTTTTTCTCAGCTCATGAGTATTTTTTTATATTTTCTCTCTCCTGCCCAGCTCTCTTCAGAGGAAGAGAGTGATAGAGGAGCATTGGTGGTCATCTGGTATCTAGCCCAGGTCAAACCACCACAGGTTTTTTTTGGGGCTGTGATGTCTGATGTCGGAGAGTCTCAGGAGTGGCCAGCAAAGACCCTAAGCCTTAGTCCAAAAATGAGAGAAAAAATAACTGCATTCTTATGCACCCCTTCAGTTGTATTCATGTACGTTTGCAGTGATTAATTATTCCGATGAAGGTAAAAGTTGCAGTGTCTTAAGTCGACAACTTAGTGTGTTAACCCGCGCGCTACAAGTTAATGCAAGTCTTTGGGCTGCCTTGTTCTGCCACAGTCCGCTTAGCCTGTTCCATTTGTAGCTCAAACCACCAAACAACCCGTCAGGGTGCTCACATCTGTGAGTGTTGTGCTGGATCTGGCTGGATCCACTACCAAATTTGGAACGGCAGTGGAGGAATTTGCTTTGCTGTGTTTGCTGACAGTCATTTTTCACCCCCTCCTGAAATACAGCAACAGTTTTCCAGATGTGCACAATGTCAGCATGCTCACACATGTGGAACGGGTAAACAGGGTTATCAGCCCTCTGATCCTGAGATACAGCCATTGATTTGGATCTCAAAACCCACACTGCCACTGCTGGTCCTTGAATTGAGAGTGAAGGAAAGGTTCCTGCCATACTGCCCTTTTTGACACATGAGGGATACATAGGCAAGGATATATGTCCTGCACCAGTGGAAATGGCTGGTTGTCAGAGTGTAAGCTTGCCTCCTCAGTGTCCATGTCCAGATAGAGGGGAGTCCTTATTGATTAAATCCTCACAGATCTGTGGTTGCTGTAGCTCAGTTAACCTGTCAGCACGAGTCCTCCAGACCTTGGTCTCAGAAGCATCTGGGCATAACAGAGGACATGTATGCTGGAGTTGGCACATTGTAACTCCACCTAATCATTTGGTCAGGCAAAAGTCTCTCTTAAACCTTGCCCTTGGTATAAGCACTGCATCTTTTCTTTTTTAAGGAGTATTCAGAAGATCAAGATAGGCAGACAGATGATATAATCACAGAAAGGCCTTCTTCAGTAAGTGATGGTAAAAGTGCTTTGTGTTGTGATAATGCCTGTATATTGTGCAGAAATTTCAGTTCCTTAAATGGAAACAGACCAGATACTTAATTTTCCTCTTGCTTTCATCATCTTTCAACAGATTCAGATATCTGTCTTTGGAAATGTAAAGCTAACTGGTCTGATGAGTTTGGTTGCTGCATCTTGAACGTTTAATTTTTCCTTATGCTCTGGCGTCTGTTATTCTTTAGCACAATCACACTGAATATCAATTAGGAGGCAGGAAGATGATTGTGGAAAACTTGGTGAGGGGGATGCTATGCTGACTGGAATTTTAGCTATTGTGATTAGGGATGCATGTGTCTTTTGAGTTTTTTCTGAACTTTAGAAACTCTGTAGCATAAAACTACATGTACTGTGCAGCAACACAAGATTTTGAGATACCTGTGATTAGCATTCCTCTCTCCAAAATCACAGTAAATGGTCTCTTCCATGGACAGGAAGACAAGACAAGTGGTCAGTGCCAAAGTTATTTAGCAGATGGTGCTTGAGTAGTGAGCAACATCATCATCATTTCAAGTGAAAGGCATGTAGTAGATGTCTACTGGCCTGGCAAATGAGACCCCTGGAGCTACTCACATGCATCCGTCTCCCATCGTGCGAGATGCTGCCATCTGTCAAGACACCGAGCCAGGCCTCACTTAAATAAATAAAGAAATCAATTTCCCCCTTCTTTCCGAAGCACTTGCCATCGCCTGGGTTATTATGCTCTCTGTGGGCTTACGTATGTCACACATGTGAGGGAGGAGGAAATACAGATACAAATATGAGGAACGCATCCTTGGGTCCTGTCACTTGGGGCAGACAATGTTAATGCACGGTAAACCTTTTCAGAAAAACACTCAGCACTGAAATGCCATTGAACACAAGCATAAGCAGTAATGGTTTTTACCATGATTTAACGTCCTGTTTCTCTTTTTTTTTGGCAGAGTGTGACAAGCTGCGGCGGGATGGCTACCGGAGCTCACAGTATTACTCTCAGGGCCCTACCTTCTCCTCGTCCTCCAGTGCAATCTGTGGAAGTTACCAGGATGACTATGAAGAAATTGAACAAAAGGTAATAGTGGGGGGAGAAGCGCTGGAAAAAATACTTGTGTGGTGCAGTTTAATTGCCTGCCATAACACTGTTCAAATAAGGCAGGATTTTTAGAGGATCACAAAGATGTTTGTTTCTTTGAATTGCAGTAACAGTAGTTCATCTGACTTTCACAATGTCTTAAAATTCCCAATTCTACCCATGCAGTGATACAAAGTTCCCACTGGCATATTCAGAGTGTGAAAGAAGGGGTTTGGTAATGTTTTGGAGGGAAGACGCCAGCAAGGGTAGCTGCTAAGTAGCAGGAAGAGCTATTCAGCAGCCATCAGTATGCTTGAATTGTAACTTGGATAGGTGCACACTTTGCTAATAGAGGTGGTTATTCAGTTAGGTAGGGGCTTTGTCCTAATGCATCACAACTATTTGGTAAAGGCATCCAGAAAATGAAGATTGTCCACTATGTTTGGTTTATTGCCTTTCTTTAAGTTTACTTCATGATTTTCCTGCTTATATCCCCACATCTCAACTCTTAGAATCTAGAAATAAATTAAATAAAAAGAAGGAACAGTTGATCACAAGTTTTAAGAAAGTTATGAAGCCATATTGCTTTGTACATCAATTTATATAGATTTCAATTACAGAACTAGTAAGTTGTGTTACTGCTCTGAAGAAGAAAAGTTCTGCTCTCCTGTCTTTGTCTTGTTCTGCCTGTGGGCTCTGAAGGAAAATTTGACTGTGGTGTCGTGGTTTGGGATGTTGCTGCTGCAGTGTGTGCCTGCCTAAAACTGAAATGCCAGAGTTCCTGGCATTTTCAAGATAGATATTCTAGAATACTTTGCCAAAACCAGCTCTTGCTTTGAGAGTGGAGGATATCCTTGACTGTAACACAGTTTAATTTCTTTGAATAGTACGGACCAAATAATTTTTATCAGCAAAATGTGCAGACCCTGAGAATGCACTTCAATGGGTACAGTGTTTTGAGTTTTATCCTACGTGGGTTTTAGTCACTTAATAAGAAGTGTTGTGGAATATGTAGAGTCTCTTGTCCAGGTGGTGATTGCATTTTATATGTGTACTGGCAGGGAGTGTCAGAGCATCTTGTTTAGCTGTGTGTGGTATGTACTGGCAGTGAGCTGAGAATGTAAAGCACATTCATGCTGTGGAATACATTATAATGGTAATTTGCAAAACCTTGCTGAAATCATTGGAATTATGATTCCTGGTTGGGGAAGTATTAACACCTTGTTTGTTGGTATTAATGTACTGCACATAAATGCATACATACCAGCTTGTCCTGGCGAATGCTGTGCAGCATATAACCACCTGCACATGTAAAACTAACGTAGCATTTTAAAAAAATATAAACACATTTTTATTTAAACAATTTGCATGAATGTATATAAGCATGGGTGAGGATTCTTAGAGACAGAGAGCTGTCATCCTTTCTTGGTTAAGGGTTTTTTGAGTGTTAACATAATGTGTTACTAACAATTTCTGTGCATTCTGGAGAAAATTAATGCAATTAAGTATGCTTTAAATATAAGATAGCACTTCCATTTCAAATTGGAATAGGTTCCTTTAAATATTGTAGCTGAAAGGATGATTCGGAGCTGTGGAGAAAGATAGCTGCCATACTGACAGTCTTGGCTGTTACTGATTTTCTCAGAACCTTAGCCTTAACCCTGCCACTCTTATTTCCAGCTCACAAAGACATAAATTTCTTGTAAACTGTAGCATGATTCTCCATTAATATTGTATAACTTTCTTTTGTGGACTTTTTTGACCAGTATCTCTGTTTGATTGGCACTTTTTTTTTTCATGTTGTAAATGTTTAATCTTTATTTAGAAGATTGTTTACTTTCTTTAGAATGTTTACCACAACAAATTTCTGACCTTGAATTATTATCCTACTGGTAAAGAGCCAAGTATAATAAGTCTTATGCCTCGAGGGGGTCATATTTTAGCTGTCAGGAGAGTTCTTCGGTAACAGTGGGGAACTGGGGTCACAAAAAATCCTATGATTCAAAATGTGAACTCCTTACCACTAGATGAAATCTTTGTTGTCTATTCAAAGAAAAAAAAGCCAACATTTAAATTCTATGTATGCAGTATTTAATAATTGAAATTTGAGAACAGCAAAATAATGATGGGTGGATGAATGCCTATTTACAGATCATAAACTTCTTGGTTGATACAATTGCCAACTTACAGCAAAAAAGAGTGGGTGATATCAGAAAAGAAAACAGCTTTCCCTGTTATTTTTAGTCTGCTTCTAAAAATAAAAACCATAGCCAGATATTCTGCTTGTCTGTCTACAATGGAGACAATATGAAACCATTGTTAGGTGTCAATCCACAAGCATTTTCAGGTTTTGTGGAGGTGGATGTCTGTCAGCAGAGGGTAATAGGCACACCACCAAGAATGTTGGTTCAGTGTCTTAGGAAATGTCTAAGATAAGCAGAACATGTATTGATCCAAGAGAAAACCCTAAGGAGAAGAAGGCCCAACTCAAAAATGAAGGAACAAAATTAGAAAACATAGAAAGAGGGAGTCTCTGAGTGGAAGTTGATATAAAATTAAGTGTTTGGATCTGTCCTTTTAGTGTAGATTCTCACAAGTTAGATTAATGGAGCACAGGCCAAGCTCCAGTGTATTTCTGATTCTAATTGAGTTTGTTGGTGACTAAATTGGTTTACCTGGATTTTGCATCTGAGTACTGTGACTAGTCTTCTCCTTTCTTGTATCTTACATGCTGCTGTTAATGACACAACTTGGGAGCTATTCCTGTCCTTCAGTATTACTCTGTTTCACCAGTGTGAAAGATGTTTTGAAATGTCACATTCAAACTCCAGTTCTCCTCATGTTCTGAAATATATGCATGTATATATTAACTGTATGTGTCTTTTGTGTGGGTTTTTCTTACTTATTTTTCTTTCCCTTTTTACCACTCATTCTCTTTGTTTCTTTTTCTCTCACTCAACAGTCTAGTCTGTTAGACTGCATCTCTCAGTCTTGCATTAGCGCCTGCTGTAACTTGGTTCCCTGGAAAAACAAGGTACTTTGCCCACAAATGGGACCATCCAGCTGCCATATCTGCAGCTTGATGTTACCTGTAGCATTTAGCATATGTGCAATCTTACTCTGCTCTTAGCCTTCAGTTTTTACCTGCTGCTTTTTTCTGCTTAGAAAAAGAAGCAATTAAAAAAAGAAAAGTCCCATACCAAGTTTGTTTCTTCTGTGTTCCTCTGTACTCCTTTTTGTCTGCTGTACAGTATCCTGTATTTACTTGGTTCACAGAATTTTGTATTCCCTTTTTTGTCTATTAACATTTGTCTCCTTTGAAACCCTTCCCCAAATGGACATTGTGTTTTATTTAATTGGGTGCTTCATTGGTTTCTAATTAGCCAAGGAAAAACTACTAATTTGGAGGAATGTGTCTTTCTTGAATGGTAAAAGTAGCTACAGAGAATACCTGCTCCCAGGTGTGCAGTATTGCATATATTATTTCTTTATTCCATTTATGAAAATGTGCACCCAAACATCATGTTGTTTTTCCATATGTCATGAAATTTGGCTTATGAACTGTGCTTTGATAGTTATACATTGGGTGAAAAACACTTACTTCCCTTACTGGGGGGAGGGTGGGTGGCTTGTGGGATGTGGGGAGAGTATATTTTTGCCACTGTGATAATCTGAACTGTTAGTTATCTCTCCAATATCTGCACATAACTGTTTAGTATTATAAGTGAAAACAAGTGCACTAACTATTGATTTGAGGAAGTCTAATGCAAACCTTTACTTGCTACTAAGAGGAGGTAAAGTTGAGCTTCAGTTTTGGAGGTGGGAATGCCTGAAAAGGCCTGAGGCATAAGGTCTGGCAGAGCTGAAGATACCTCTGGGTGGTGGTGTCGTAAGGTTGCCTCCCTGCCTCTCTGCTGCAGTTGCATGGGACTGTTCTTGTAAGCAGCACATGCATTTTATACCATTTACAGGGGTTTGGATTTTCTAAATACTGTGCCATTTACTGAGCTGAAACAGCAGCTCATAATACATGAAATGCCAAAGCATAAGGAAGTGAGTACAGAAAGTCTTTGAACAAGGAAAAGAGGGTAATTCTTCACTCATCACATACTCAGACTGTGCATGGTAAGGCGTAAATTTTGGATGCCGAAAGTTTACACAGGTTTAGAAAGCAACTGGGTACATTCTTGAAGGGCGAGGACTCCGTCCAGTGCTGAGAGAATATTCAGGAAAAAGTATCTGCTCTATGTATCTTCACATTTAAATTTTACCTTGACACAATTCATTGGCCTTTGTCTTAAGGCAGATAGAGCTTTTAGAGCTCCAAACAGTACAGATCTTCTTGTGTTTTTTATCCCGTTACCACAGAGTAGAGGAAGAAGAAAAGAACATTTCTACAGTGCTTGTTAAGGTAATAATTTGCTTGATAGTCAGTAATTTCACTGGCAAAAAGTTCTTTCTTTATTGAGACACAATGAAGGTTATGAAGTGAAGAATTTAGTAGGATAGCAGTGTTTGCTAGTGCAACTGGAGATCAGTGTGTAGAAGTAATAAAATGGAATATTCTGTGAAAACTGTGGGAACTAGACTGGTGACCTTGGTCTAGAGGACACCAAATCGAGTCTAATGACAAATTCATCTAAAGTGTAAATTTATGTAAATTTATAATGTGGCAGTATTCCATGAGACAGTGTGAAACCCCATGGGTTGAATTAGGCATGTGAAGTGTCATTCTCAGTTGGCTAGGTTTGGGTCTTGGGTTTCTTTTCCCTGTTATTGTCTTGATTCCTTGGTGTTGGGAAAATGGCTCTTGAAGCAATCAAACCTAGTAAAACACTGGAGGCAGAAATAGGCTGTTGGCATATATAACAGACAGCTGAACTTGCATGGCTGCTGTCTGTAACACTGGGGCTTTTTTTCCTCTATTTTGTTTTTCTGATAAATTATAATTTTAGAAGTGATTTTAGTAGGCAGTAGGGTAAATGGCATGACTAGAAGTTTGAAGTCTCTTTGCTGAAAAGTAAAATTTGTAGGGATTAAGTTCTCCTCCTGAAGGTTCCATCTTTTTTTAGATACTGTAGTATAAACCCCTGTTATATAAAAAGGATTTAAAAGAAGCAGATTATTTAGGCAGAGAGTGCTGCAAGATACATAGCATAAACTCATTTGTCATCTGGGACCTCTCAAATAGCATGAAAGTGCTGAGATAGTGAAACTCTTTTGTTGTATCTCAGCAGCTGAGTTGGCTGGGGGACAATATGTCAACAAGGCGTCAGAGAGGCTCCAGCTTACTGAGCCATATAGCTTGTCTATAGGATATTTATAGGCCATTTTTCTCCTGGATTCTTATTTTAACTCCCAATTTAAGATTCATGCTTTTTCCCCCCTAGAGCATGTTTGTAGAAACACTGTAAGGTCCAAGGCTGCTGCTTTCACATCCCACCTTTACCCTTTAGCGTGTCCATGAAAAAGAACGAATTCCAGGAAATTTTTCTGTGGAGATGAGTGTAACAACACATTCTAGGGATTTGGGCATTTAAGACTAGCAGTAAAGTTATTATGACTCAGAGATGCTTTAGAAATTGGGCCAAGTTATGAACATAGAGTTTATGATCAGCTACGCCGTGTTCTACTTCCAGTGTAACAGACCTGACTGAAGAAGGCATTCCTGTCACACAGGAGCAATTCACTGCATCTTCCAGCGAGCTTCCGTGCTGTAAATCTGGGAATATTTGCTAAAAATATGTAAATCTCTTTTTCATCCTGATTATATAGGTGAACAATTTCTGTCTGAAGAAGACTGAAAGATGAGTTGCTGCCCTTCCTCTGTGTGTAATAAAGCTGTGCACAGCTTTGTCGTGTGTACCATTATCATCAAGAGTACTTTGGAAAAAAGTAGTGACAGTCATGTTTCTTCAGGATCCACGGAAAATGTACCTACAGTTGAAATGTGAACATTTATTCCTACACCCAAAACCACTTCCACCTTTTCTACTGAATTGTTTTGTAGAAGTACATATGTGTGTCCTGTGGCAGGAGGTTGTTCTCACTGACACTGCTGTGAACTCAACTGCACCATTGGGTTTTCTGTTGCTTCTCATTGGTTATATGCTCATATAACCTGACTCATTTCTGTCTGTCTTGCTCCCAGCTGTCCCCAGTTTTATCAACTTCTAATTCTGCAAAATTTCTGATTGATGTTCTACATTCTTTGAATAATTAGGGTTTCACTTGTAGCAGATGCTTTACTACTTCAGTTTTTCTATTTGTATGCTGTAACAAAAAACCTTTTCTGCTTGGCTTGGATAATTTCTTTGAAAAGGAAGGATGGCTTTGTAACCAGTATCTCTGCCACTTAATGTACTGGAGTAGCCCTTAGAGACTGCTCCACGGCAGCTGAGACCTGGCACTGCAGTGCAGTCTGAAGGTGACACGTACTGATACTGACAGTATCAAGCAAGCAGTGTATTTGAAGGTCACTGGTGCCTATCTTCATCCCAAACAAACAGCAAAATTATGCTTGAGGTGTCTCCCTTGGTCTCCTTGGTTCGGGTGGAGAAAAGCTCATTGTAGAACATGGTAAGCAACACTTCTTGGCCTCAGCCCTTGCTTATTTCTTCAAGTGCATATACACATGCCTGCTGTGGCAGATGGGCCATCACCCCCCTGCCAGGTTCCTTACAAACCCTTTTTCTCAATCACTTTAAACCTAATTGGGGGAAGCATGGCCTGGAGGCAGCTTTTCCTTCAGTAGCATTTCTGTCCCAAATTTCTTAAGTTAATGAAGGTGTTTATGAATGTGGGTAATTTGAGGTGGGAAAGTCCTTGTGTTTGTAAGTACATAGGTATGTGCCCATACTGTATATGTACAGTGTATGGACACACTCTCAAAAAAAAAGGTAAGCACATCATATTATTACTTGGGTTTAGAGCCTTTTAGAAACAGCAGAGGCCTGAAAAAATACTGATGTTTTCCAGGAAGATTGTATTGATAGAACTGCCAGGGCTTTCAGTGGGCTGAGCCCTTACCTGCAGAGCAGCATCTATCCGTTTCACAGCCTCTCTAGGGAAAAAATTGAAGGCTGTCAGAAATGTATTAATTCCTTGAAGAAGAGCTCCCATGTTTTAAAGTGTGGTTCTAAACCACAGAATAATATTAGTAATAGTTTCTTTGACTGAAGTGTGTTTTCAGTGTTGCTTGAATAGGTTTTACTGTTATTTTGCTTTTTGCCTGGAAGTTGCTTTTATTTTTATTTTTATTTTTTATTTAATAAAGTGTTGGACTCTGTCCTAAAGAATATAGAGTCAAACTATAACAGAATAAACAAATGGTTATTTATTTATAAACAGTGGGAACTCCTCATAGTAACAGGAAGAAATTAAAATCAGAAATGATTAACAGTGGTTGCAGTATAGTGTTTAGGCATGTCTTTTTTATAGCACTCATCTTCAAGAGAAAACAGATCACTTGGACTGAACACCCACAATAATAAAAAATCCATCTGTTATAAATAGCTGTGATGTTTCCTTCCATGCCTATGCAGCAACGAGGAGGGAAGAGGCAGTGGCCCACTACTGACAACCCTGTTCTGAGTAGTGTTTCATATTCGAAAGGGAGAGAGTAATAAAGAAAAAAGGGGGGTAATTCTGGTCTGGTGGTAGGGAGGAACGTCCCAAAGCAAACTGCTCTGAAGCAGAGGAGTTGGGAGGTTGCAGAGAAATCTCTGCTAGTGCTGCAAATGGGATGCAACTCCTCTTCCATGTTCTCTTTTTTGTTTTGTCTGGGGGCAGAAGGAGACTGGTTGGTTTCCCTCCAGGTCTTCCTTCTTTTCCTGTTCTTGGGATTACCTGGAGTGCCTTGCTGCTTCTCTCAGGTTCACTTGGGTTTGTCACCACCTGCTAGAAGCCCCAGTGATGGACAAGTACTGTCCTGTCAGTAAAAAGCTTCTCTATGTCTTTCTCTGCCATTACTGGCATGCAAGCAAAAACTTTGTAATGAAAACAGACTTACTCCCTGAAAGTAAATGGTTTTTTTTTTGCTTATAAGTTTGGTGGAGGGATTTGCACAAGCTGCGGAAGCCTCTTTTTCTTGTGCAGGAAGATTTTTGTTTTATTGGTTGGGTTTTTGTTTTGTTTTGTTTTGTTTTTTCTTAAATAAAACACTTCATGGAATTGAGTGTGCCTCCAAGTGCCACTTTCAGAAGAACTGACTTTTAAAATTACTGCTCTGTGGCTATGAATAATATTAAGTGATTTGCCCCTGAAAAATGAGTAACCTCCTTGAACTGTGGCTTGGGTTTCTCCAAGTCCAAAGCAAACTTACTTGCTTTCCTCACTGATCCATGGCTGATGATTCTGTGGGCTGTGCTGATTGGTTCTTTTACTGAGCTCTACTAAAATCTGTCTTTTTATAACAGGGTTCTTGCTGAAACCTTAGGCATTTGTACAACCTAGTGCAGCTGGAACAAAGCAGTGCTCAAATCTCATAATAGGGCATGGGGAGATGAGAGCAGAAGGGAAGAGAAGGGAAGGCAAACATTGGTGCAGGGAGAGAGACGTTAATCGCTGCAGTGTCAGTGTGTAAGGTGTAGTTACTGTGCTTTGCTATGTGCAACAGCATTCCTTTCTCCTTTGTTGGCCTATATTCCTTAGACTAATCAAATGTCTTGAAAAAATACAAACTAGATGTTTTATTGTGCATTTTTTGGTGTATTTTAAAACTGCTCTTTATGTAGGTCAGAGTGGTATATTTGTGAAGACATGTTTTGCTCCACAAGCAATCAGTGCTGACTACAGCAGCAGCACCTTAGTAATACCATAGTCCTATTTTCTTAGTAGTAAACTCACAGTGTTGTATGTATTTCTGTTTGTAGTGTCCTGTCTCTCCCCCTGAAGAAGAAAAACTTATTACCATCAAAAGGCCTAAAAGTCCAGCTACAAATGAATTATCAGATATCAACACCCAAACCAACTGGACTAAGTCTCTCCCGCTGCCAACACCAGAAGAGAAAATGCGACAACAAGCACAAGCCGTCCAAACAGATGTGGTTCCTATTAATGTGACTGGTAGGCTTTTAATTTCACTAATTGCATTACACTGATGAGAGAGGGCAGAGATGAAAGGGGATCCATACAGTTGGCTAATCTTTGGACACTCATATATTCAATGCATGAATTTTAAATTACTTACTACACCTTTCTATGAAAACCATTTTGCATTTAATAATCTAAACCTGAACTTAATTAGAAAATATCAAAATCCCATAAAACTGTCATTAATGGAGATAGTTAAAATATGTGGGTTTGAAACAACATTAAATATTGACAAAGTACAAAAAGAGAGCTGATAAGTAGCAGTGTTTTGCTGAAGACTGCACTGAGGACATGTAATTCAAAATTATGTTTTATCCAATGTTGATGTTATTTAAAGATTTTCTTCTAGGAATTTTATTTAAGGAAGGTTGTCAGGAACTTCTGTGTTCAAAAGACTAAATGTTACAAAAATCAAGAAAAGAAGCTCTAGGGTCTCATTTTTATCAGCAACAAAAGTTTCAGGTGTCAAGGAAAGTAGGGTTAGAAAAGCAAAAGTTAATGAGGCTACACCTTTGAATAATACTCAAGGTAAGACATTCCACTTACATAATCATAGTCCACATCTTCTAGTTATGAACTGTGTATTAACTCTTCATTTTGAAAATGCTCTTTGATTTTACAGCTGCAGAACTCTCACTCTGAGGAGTTAAATTACATTAAAGCCTAATGCAGAATAGATACTTCGTTGTGGGTAAAATAGAATTTCTGTCAAAGATGGCATTATCACTTCAGTTTAATAACCTATTTTTTATGCACAATATCAAGCTTGTATCTTATTAGTTAATTCAAATAACTGACTGCTTGCCTGCCAAAGCCAGGATGATATTCAATATCCAATTTATTTCAAATGCCATATGGTGTGCTCTGACTCCATGCTTACTCTGACAATCAATCATTTGCAATGTTTGGTTTTGTTTTGAAAGTAAATTAGATTCTCTTTCCCTTCATGACTACCAGTGCTTTTTTCACCTGTAGTTTTAATAAACTAGTATTTTAACTAGTATTATTTAATAGTATTTAAATATTCTAGTAGTATAGGAACAGGACAGCTCTAACATGAGCCTGCTCTGAGAAATCAACAAGAAATTATTCCTTCAATAGCAGAAAGTATTTGAATTAAACAGATGAAGACAACATGAAATTGTGAATACTCCACCTCTGGAAAACTAATAAAAGGAAAATGCATGCAATGCTGAAATGTTACTAGGCCAGATGGTATTATCTAGGGAATTTAGGATATAGATGCAGAAGGCCAAGTTATGGGAACAGCGGATAAGCTGACATAATCAATAAGCTTTAGTAGCTTTAGATACTGTGATTGCAGGAACAGGGTATACTTAGAGAAACAGTTGTTTGATTTAATGACCTGCATACTGCAAAGGATATGGGAGAAGTAAACACATGAAAAGAAAAATGAGATAAAGGGATCAAATAACTCATAGAATTAATTCAGTATCATGTGGAACATTACCTTGTTTGGATAAATTATACTTGTGACTTCAACCTGCATAATTTGATCCGTGTAGCAAAATTTGTGTCCCCTGGATTGATTAGCCAGGACTCAGAAAACTCAGCAGTTCTCAACTTTTGCGATTGAAATGGTGCACATGCATATTACATCTCACTTTTCTGGAGTGTATGATTGAGCACTTATTCCCTTCTAAACATGGAAATTGGAAGCAGTAGAAAGGCAGGGCATTAAAGGAAGACTGCTCTTGCACCATGTGATCTGGTCTCCTGGATCCACCATTCCCCTTCCCTTGAAATAATCATACTGCCACTGTGAAACAAAGCAGGCATGTGAGCCCCACACAACATACAGAAAAAGCTGCTGTCCTTGTTCCTTTTAAAAAGTCACAATCTGCTCCCCTCCTCTGCTCTCCCACATAGAGAGTAATTTTATTTTGTGAAGTTCCTTATGTTACTGCACGAGGCAGGAAAAGACCTGACAGGAAATCCAGTGCCATTTGTTCAACATAACATGGAACAAACCATTGAGGATTTTTGTTTTGATTTGGCTTTTCCCTTCACACACTCTTTTCCTTACTCTCCCAGAAGAGAGGTCAAAAAACTTCCATTTTATTACTCCTGGCATGAAATAGAAGGTTAACCTCTGAAGAGGCTGCTGGCAATTGATAACGTTTTCAGCAGTGCATTAGTGGTGATTCTGCTACAAAGACCTTTCACGTGTCTGTGCAATAAATGCTCCATGAGTTCAGCTTTCAGGGCTCTGTGGTGAACAGATTGCAACTAATACAGTAGTCATAAAAATCTGTTGGATAGCCTGAAGGTGCAGGGGCATTGCATTAGGCTTACAAGCTGCTGACTTGACATCCAGATTTGGAAGCAGTTTTGGTCTCTCCAGCTTGGGTGGAGGTTTATTCTGGAAGGGGATAGACTGTATTTTTCAGTGGTGGCCAGTCTTTGCATTTACATATCCTGTGGGTTAAAAGGTATATATGTATATATATATATATATGTATATATATATATATAATGGTGTCTGTTCATGGGCTTTCCTGAACTAACTTTCTTTACAGATGGAGGAGTCTGGTAATGGTGGAGGTGATCAGTGCCAGGCTGGATCCTGCAAAATATTTAAGTATTTGCTTGAGTCCGGCTTGACTGACTTCATTGAGATTTAAGTGCATACTTAAATATTTTCTGTGAATCCAGGGAAACTGAGTATACTGCATGAGGGACAACTTAATAAAGTATATAAGGAATACCTAGATGATTTATTACAAACCTATAAGAGAAAGAGAAAAGTATTCTTAAATCTGTAAAATATACTTACCATTGATATTTTCTAAACTGAAAAAGATGACAGTGAAGGAAGAAAAAAAAGACTGAGACATTCTGATTTTGCTTGTTGGATTTCATTGAAGTTGCTATTTTGAAATTCTACAGATTTACATAGTGGCCTTCGTGTATCAAAAGCCATTAAAGATGGATTGGTTGAGTTAGCTTTTAGATAGCTCATTTGGAACAAATTACTGTGGATCATTTGATACAGTAACATTTTCCCATGACCATCCTGTTTGTGCTGTCTGAGGCTTCGTGTAAAAGACTCTTTCCTTGTTTGCACCCTGTGCTTAACACTTATATTTTATCCCAGGGCTTTATTCAAAGCTACGTTACAGTTTTCTTGCAACTCACCATCTTGGGCACGATTGTTGGCCTTTGAGTGGATAGAGATATGTTCAGAGGTGCAAAACTTTATCCTTCAAATCCGTTTGATTTGTATAATGTGTTTAGAATTATTTTTTATCATCCTGCAGGACAGAATAACCTGATGTCCTGACTTTTGCCCCATATGAGTTGTAACATCCTCATAGTGGTGCTGCCCGAAACAGGATATTTCAGGGCTACCACTAAGCCAGTGGGATCCATAGCTCTCAATTTTGTAGTTCCCATGGGCTTGCCTTCCTCCCTTAATCTGACTTCAGTCAATCCAAAAGCTGGATGAAACTGACATTTTGTAACTGCCAGTCAGCAAAAGTGCAGCCTGTAGTCAAGGCTCCGGTCAAACAGAGTCAGAGTCTTTATACTTACAACATGGTAAATGAAAATGCTACATTTTTTTCCTTGCATTTTCACAAGTCCACATGCTATACTTCAATATATGACTGTATCTTTAACTGTTATGGAGGTAATGAGGTTTTCTGTGCTACTCGCACAACACACATCGTACTGATGTGCAGTCAGACAGGGGTAATTTTTATGATGTATTAGTTGCCATGCATTAATCACTTTTTAGAGGTAAATAATTTGGTCATCAATTTTCAAAGAAGTGTAGAATGGAAAAAAACATGTACAATGCATTTCAGTATTTCCCTGTCTTTAAGTTCTAAATGGATGATCTAAAAGACATTGAGCAGTGCTTTAAAATGCTTAAACTCTTAAAAAGGGACCTTACATGTGAGCTACAGGGGATAGCTGTTAAAGTTTAAAAGTGGCAGAGAATTAGCTCATGATCTATAGTGCAGTCTTTATCTTACTGCTATTGAAATGGCCAGATTATAAACCTCTAAACAAAAGTGAATTCCTAAAGAAAAGCTGCTTTATGATAGTGGTGCTTCTGGGTCCCATTATGATACAGCACATGGTCATCATAAGGCTTTGTCTGGCAAAATGCACTTACACGTTTTTTTTAGCTCCTGGCATTGTATATTTTTATAATCATCTGCAGAGTTTCAATTTTAAGCAGCTTTCACTCTGAAATATGTATGAGTCCACGAGATCAGTTTGATCTCTGTGTGCTCCGTAGTTCTTATTTGTATTCGCGTTAAAAGATCAACACCAGAAATGCAGTACACTTGACAGGTTCAGAGGAACTTGGAATGAAAAAAAGGGCCTCATGCGAATTAATGATGGAGCTGTGCAAAGGCATTGTAATAGCTGTTGCCAAGAGCAATGTCTGTTCCTGCATAAGCCACTGTGATCCTTCATTTTCATGAGCAGATTTGCTTTTTCTGCAGCTCATTACTTAAAAATAAATTAACAAAACCACAGAAAAAGCAAGGATTCTCTTTGCTTGTGGAATTAGAGCTGCTCTCACCAAATATGAATTGGCCTCAGGAAGTCAAAATTCCTTTTAAAATATGTAGTACTGTGTAATGGATATTTGTGTCTAAAGCCTTACTGTGACAGTATGCTGTATCTTCCTTCAGTGTAAACCTTCATTGTAGGACCAAGCTAACGCCATTTATTAATGCCTTTTTTTCCATTTCTACAACAAAACTAGTGGAAGAAAGTGCATGATGTCAGTGTGCTTGGAAGTAATGTTGCTTTGCTTGTTCTACCATGTATTAGGGGAGAATTTCGACCGCCAAGCCAGCATTCGGCGGTCTCTAATTTACACAGACACGGTGGTAAGACGGCCGAAGAAAGTCAAAAGGAGAAAGACTATTACAGGAATCCCTGACAACATACAAAAGGAGCTAGGTATGGCTCATCAGAACTGTATTCCATCCACTGTTCATTGTCACTGCTTATCATTACTTGACTAATAACATCACCAGTGCTCATGAAACCAAATACAGTCTGATAGCCTATTTCAGTTCCAAATATGTGTGTGCCTCCTTGCCACCTCTTGCATTGGGAAGCTGGGACCTTTAATCTGTTGACTTCCATCTGTTAAAGGGAAGAGGGTGTCTGGAAAATGGTGTACTGGTACAATGAAAATCTGCAGGGGTGTAAGGTGTCTGGACTTCAATGCTTTCCTTCAGATTTGGTCATCTCTTCCAGGATGTTCACCAAAGCAAAACTGAAGTGGGCAGATATATTGGCTTGTGAGTAATTACTTAGGGGAGTAAATCAATTCATGGATAACTTCCTGAATCTGCCAAGGATTACATCAAGAGTGAAAAGCCTGTTTTCCAGTTCAGTTTTGGCAACCCCTTAAGTATCAGTGTTACTTGATTGGCAGTAACTTACCTGGGTTTATTAGCTATTCCATATATTCTGAAGGAAAGTTCCCTTTCCTTTAGAATATATGGAATAGCTAATAAACCCAGGTAAGTTTGGTTTATTAAGAAGGAGAACTGCCTGAGGTAGTATAAATGTGGCCTGTCTCCTTCCCACTTGGTAATAGATGTGAATTCAAAGCTGATGAAGCAATCTGAATTTTGTGAGATCTTTTAGACACTCTTTGCAGAATTTTGTGATTTAAATTGTGTTATTTTAGTTTATTAAAAAAAAAAAAACACCAGTTTTTCCCATATTATAACTTCACAGATAAAAGTATTCCCCCCCCTCCTTTTTTTTTTTCCTCCATAGAGAAAGAATATGTTTTAAAATAGTCTGGCAGAACTTAATTTTGGTGCTTTACATGTGAAATCATCTCATATATTGATGATGACTTCAATAAGTTTTACTACCTTGCATGTTGCATCTATTTATTTATTTATTTTTAATTATGTTTTCAGTTCTTGGTTATTTTTCTGGATTTTTCAGAAACAGAAGCAAAAATCTGTAGCTTGTCTGGATGGGTTTGAAATGAGCTAGAAGTTCAGGCACAGAGAAAGCCAAGAAACAGACAATTACATACAGAGAAGTTTGTGAGTGGAACTGTGCTCCTTCAGCATCTGTAATGAAACAGTACTCTGTCACTGGAATCCTCTGCCTCAAGAAAGCATTTACAAAATGTAAAGGTTACATTTGTGACCATTTCTAAAAGATGTTTCATGCTTGAAAACATCAACTGTAGTTGCATTTGGTGGAGTAAACTGAGAATGCAGTTGACATCTATCCTAAAAAGAATTCTTCAATTAATACATTAAAAGAAGTTTATGACTTTCACCAATCTGATCACTAAGGGTGACAAGTTTTTACCTTGATTTTCATCTTTCATGTCTGTGCTGAGTACATTTCATGTTGCACTGCTTGAGGGTTTTCCTTGGCTTCTATTTTAAATTGTGGACTGCCAGTATCCCACTGTAGTAGCTCTCTCTGGATGGTTCCCTGGCCCCCAGCCTGCAGGCACATAGGGCTTCAGCCATCTGCTTTAGGCCTAAGTTGTCTGAGGAGCTCCATGTTGCTTCCATGGTGGTTCTATCTCTTCCAGGGAACAAACTGTATGCCAGGAGAGCTCTGTGACGGCAATATCCATCCTCTTAGTGTATTGGTTTCCATCACAAGACAGAAGGTGCACTAGAAAACAGTGATAGGATCTTATACCTGGGGAAACCAGACATATTGCAGTAAAGTGACTTAGCCAGTCAGCCACCAAGCTGCTGGCAAGGCTGGGAATAACTGCAAGTCTCCCCAATCCCTGTTCAGTGTATTTTCTGTCTTTTCTCCCCTGTCACTCCCCAAATATTTCTGTAGCAGTCCATTCCCTATTTCTCTTACGCTGTCCCAAAACAAACAACGAGTTGTTTTAAAACATTCCATAGTTCATTTGATCAGAACAAGTATCCGGACTAAACTCCAAATCAAGCAATTTCATTATGCCTATTGACATTCTCCCTGTGGTTTCAGCTGAATAAATCTCTTTGTTTCTCCTCTAAAGCATTGCTGCAAATGGTTATAATATTTGCACAAAGATTAAAATCCCTTGGTACACTAGAGTTGCTGTGTGCAGGCTAAATAACCAACATATACAGCAGATTCTTGTAACCTATTGTTTATCCTTCAGAAGGAAGCAGAAACTTGAGAGAACCTCAAAGCTTCAACCAGGTTTGGACTATTTTCATTTCTTGTGAGAGAGCCTAGAAGAACTTTTGTGAGGCCAAGCTGCTGGGGTTCTCCCTTGGCTGCTTTGGGTCTTTTGGAACAGCAGAGACCAAGCAGAAGAGAAAGCCTGCACTGGCTGCTGGTCTGAGCTCACCAGATGTGGTGCCCTCATAGAACTTAGCCAGACATACTGAAAGGAAACATTAACTTCACCCAAGTGCTCAAAGTATCTTTAAACATTCCTGCTTTTTAGCATTGAAATGCTGTTATGTTTTCACAGGTGTCTTCCAGCCATGAACCAGTCTCTCTGTGTAGACTGGAAAATTCTGCATAAAAAATTCTGTGTAAATAAATGCAACATTGTATAAATGTGATAAATGGGATTCTGAGACACAGTAGGAATGTGAAGTGTCTACCAGTTTAGAGATGGCAATTACTTTTTGAAGTTGTTTTTTAACTGCAGCACCCTCTCAGTACTCTTTAGGAGAGTAAAGTAACCAAAGTAACAGGAGAAGGCAAAGCATTTTTCTCTCTGCTGAAGACAGCAACGAAAAAGAATTAGTTCTGCATACTTCTGAATTACCTTCCTTGTCTTACAGAACATAAATATTACATACATATTTAATGGGAGTCAGTGTTGGATCAAAATGGCAGAAAGAGCAAGAAACTTTGAGATGTTTTACTTCAAGTGCTCTTGGTTTCTCTGCTCTGTTGCCATTATCCATTGTCTCTGGATGTCTTCTTCAGATGGTACCTTATATGCAAAGCTGTATTCCCCCCCCAGACAAGAAGATGATTCCCAAACAGAAGTTAGGTAGAGATGAGCACCTCTCTGAAAGAACCTGTCACTGGCCTTGCACATTTCTTGGCTCTTGGTTATCATCAGCTCCCTTCACGCATTCCAACTCTCCAGATGAAGTAAAGGCAGCAAAATGCTTTCCACCTTTCCATGGTCCCTTCTTTGTGTCAGTGCTCTAGGGTCTGGCTCAGACTAACTTTCTTTTTGTGGAAGTTCTAAGCTACCTGGTTGTGAGTGTTTCTCCAGAGCTCTGCACTAATGCAATCCCAGACACCAGTGGGCAGCTTCTGATGTCCCAGACTCTCTTCCTGTGTTGCAGGAGGAGTGGGTCTCAGACCTGAGTATCAGTTCCACCACAGTTCCTAATAGACATACCCCACCAAAACAGGGGAGAGGAAAACATCTTCAACTTTTCCACCTTTTGATTCCTCCTTCTGACAGGCATTTTGATGGTTTTTTTTAATCCAAACAGAAAGTTTCTGTCTTCTTGGTTTCCAAAAATGTCTTCTAATGTTATGCTTCCTTTAGATTATTTAAATCCTTTTTTTCCATGTTTCCATGTTTCCAATCCTTTTTTTACATCTTACAGATACAATTCAGAGTCTTTTTGGTTCTGTGATTTTCTTGCCCCATGTACTTTCTTTTCCTCTTCTTGACCTAAAGGTTCAAAGGGTCAGAATGACCTCATACTGTTTTTTCAGCTTATTTTCCTATCTCACTTTTTCAGTAGGTCACTGTAGGATCTCATGTCAGTCATGGGTATGGAAACAACTGACACCTCAACTGTCAGTCCTTCATTTGCTTTCTTGCTGTACAGCTCAGACCCCTGGTGGTACCAATTGATGTCTCAGGTATCATTTGGGACTGTTGAAGCCCTCTGTTGACATGCCTGAGAGGAAGAAATTCCATCTCAGCAACATGGGGGCAAATGAGTCCTTGTAATCTTTGGAAACTCAGCTGTTTATTAAAAACGCCTCTTAATTGATACTCTTCCAGTTACTTCCCTCCAGGGCTAGCAATCATTCTTACAGGTCCCATGGGTAAGAAAAGTCTCCGATACCCATTGGTCCTACAGAAATACCACAAATACCCAGCTGTTCCAGCCAAGTAATTCTGCACCTGCTTCTGTTTGGAACTTTAGCAGTCTTTGTAGAGAGTATCTCTGTTTTAAAGTTACTGTGCCTTTTGACTAACACTGGGTTTCTACCTTTTCACAATTGTACATTTCCAGCACTATGCATCTATAGATCAGGTGTTATAAAGCAGGTATCATCTGCTTAATGATACTGGGAGGATGAAAAACACAGATGCCAAGAATATAAACTTCATTAGAGGCTGATAGGTTAGAGAAATGAACAGAATCAAGAAAACATGAATTCCTGATATTTACATCAGAATTCTGCCTTTCAGAGTGGCAGTGATATGTGCAAGTATTCGGGATTTTTTTTAGCTGGCAGTACTGAAAAGTTTCACAAGATTCCCTGCAAGATTTTTCTTCCCCTCTGAGAGATTACAGATGCTTCATAGAGCAGAGTGAAAATTCCTTAAAATTGCCATTAGCCCAGTGTAGTTGTCTGTTCCTTGTTGAGTAGCTGTTAAAATCACTCAGTTTGTAGTTGCTGGGGTAAAACAGAATAAGAATCTCTGGGGGTTTTTTTGTAACACTAAACTGTGGTGCCTGCACAGTGACTTAGCCAGTTTACCAGGTTTGCAGGAGAATTGCTAGGTGGGGCATGAGGAGGCAGAGGAACACACCTTAGGAATGTGCCTGTGGCATAAGAGACAAGTGCTTACATTAGAAAGGGTTAGTCAGAAGGTAAGAGAGACTACTTCTTTGTTCTCGTTGAAACAGGCATCTGCTTTGTGACACCAACACACACACTGTTTATCTTTACAAACCCTCAGTTTTCCATGCTCATTTCAATGCAGAGGACCTTTCATGTGATTCTCTGCAACGAGCTGCTGGTGCCACCAGATCAGCTGGAGTCACAGCAGGGCTGCTAGTAGCTAGGCCCCAGGGATTATATACAGACACACTTTCTTCCCCATCAGTTTTGCCAAATTTGTCATTCTTAATCCCTGTCCTCTCTAATGAGCAACACCAGTGACTACTAGAGTCCACAGAGTGGGTGTACTTTACTAGCTGCTGGAACCTGCACTGAACATGCACATTAGTGAAGAGCATTTGCCATAAGAGAAATTTACAGCATAGTAGGGTAATGAAGAAGAAAAAGAGCATAGATACAGGTCTCCTGTGGCGGGCATAGCACTGACTGCAGTGCTGCTGGACACAGGATAATGCAAAAGGCAGACAGGACAATTGCTACTTTCAGCCACATTTATCATGCACCCAGTTTACAGCTACTTCTGACTTCATAATGTTCAGCATCTGTAACCTCATGTCTGGTTCTGCAGCATTTTTTGCTGCAGTCTGCTCACACGTTTTCCCTGCAACTAGATGGACATATGGACATATGGATGGTATTCTTTAAAAGATCTGATTCTGTTCAAGGATTTTGGTGTTCCAGATATCTTCTATCTTCTGACTGCTATTTATTTAAGTAGGTGTTTTCTGACAAATCTAGCATTATCAGTGTATTTAGTCAAAGGTTTGAGCTGTCCCTTAGAATGGGATTAGCTTCTAGCTGCAGTACCAACAAAGATTTTAAGGGGATTTGAAAATCCTTAATTTCCAGTATTACTCTAGAGGTGAATGAGAGTTTTACAGTGCATTTGTAAATGGCAAGTAAAATACTCCTCGCAACCATCCTCTGAATTTCACCAAAATCATAAACACCTCAGCATTTTACCAGTATACCTGAGTCTTAAATGTTCCTCTGGTTGGTTTTTTGAACCATTTTCCCTGCAGATTTCTGTTGTCCCTTTTCAGAAAACAGAACTATAAAAAGAGTAAATCCTCACAGCTTTGCTGATAGAGTTTCAGAATTCTAAAAAAGAAAAAGAAATAAACTCTGCATTTCTAAAAAAAATTTTCTTAAAACCTCGAAGTTGTGTTCCTGTAATAGTAACAACAATGCAAAATTCCTTCCCTGACCATATCCCATAGAAGGATTGAAGGATGTAGCCCTGTAGTTTATCTGTCTGAAGCTGGGCTGCCTTGCCCTCTTTAATCCTGTGTTTATTTGGGCTCTGAATCTTTCTAACTAGAAGAGGCCCCACACCAGTGCAAAGACTTGCCCTGATAGGCTTCCCTGCAGTATTGAGGCTGTGAACATTTGCTGCTGTTTTGTCAATTTATGCAGTTTCCCAGAGCTTATTAGGCTGGACCATAAATGACATCTATTCTGGTGACAAACCCAGGGTAAGCACTGTTCTCAGCAGCATCCTGCAGCTGGTTGTTATGCTGCCCTCTTGTTAGTGTTCTGCTCTGGCTGGGGCAGCCAGCAGTGCTCAGGCTCTTTTGGGGTCTGTGCCAAGAGAAGGGGCAGGAACTGCTACACCAGGCATTTTGGTATAGCCATCAGTGGCCTCCTTTATTCAGTGGCCTTTATATTCAGTGCCATTAATTTTCTTTTTCAGACATCACTGTACATTTACCATGAACAGTTGGTCCCAATAAATGAATCTAACTTTCCTTGTTTTGGAAGGAGAAGGTGAGGTTAGCAAGTCCAGCATTGGTTCACTTTGCCATTTACCTTCTCTAGCAGTAACATTTTGAACAGACATAAAACACCCATCTGCATTATACTACTTGTGAAAGGGGGTGCATTTAGCTTCCTCTATGAATACAGTACAGACATACCACATACAAATGCTCTCAGCTACAAGTCAGTGGATGACAGTATCAGATACTTGCTGTAGTGCTGACAGCTTCATTCTCCACCAGCACAATCCTTTTGTCTTGTCTGCATGTGTGTTTGTGTGCGTGTGTGTGTTTCACAGTGGCAGAAGAAGAAAAATACGCCATCTCTTTGGTTATTTACATGTCTTGGCATGCAGATTTTTGTTACCAGATATTTTTAATCAACCAACAGTTAAAATCGGTGATGTCAGGGTTCCAGAAACATTTGTAATGTCTACTTTGATGTTTTTCTCTGTCTTAACCAAAGGGGTGCACTGATTCCATAGAAAAAAATATACCTGGAAAGGATGATTATTTTTCTTACTGTACAGTTCTTAATAACTGTATACGGAATATGCAAATCCCTCTCTTGGTTGGCTGCAGTAGTCCATCTGTTCTGACAGTATCTTGTATTAGATTATCCAAGACATTTGCCAGCATCTGAGTATCTAGCTTTGCAGCAAAGCTCTACCAGAAGCAGAAAGAGGCTGCATTTTTATGAGAGCAAGAGAATTTACACAAAGCAAGCTAACTAGGCTTCAAGCTGCTGAAAGACTACTTACATGCCTGAGGAAAAGAAGTAAACAATCCTTTTTGTGTGTGCTGCTTTTACTGTAGCCTTTTCAGAGCCCTCTTTTCCTTACCCTAAATGCCTCTTTTGCCTGCCAAGAATGAGGATGATTAAATGTCCTTTAAGTGGTGTTTTTAAAGCTGCATGATAAGAATACCTATCCTCCCAATGCAGTTTCATACAGTAAATATGAAAGGAGAACATTCCTTTCAGGCATGCTACTTTATTGCTCCTGAGACTCACTAAGGCAGAGACTTGAAATAACGAGTTCTCCCCCACAGTGACATATGTGTAGCATCCTTACCAGCATCTCCAGCAGCATGCCTGCCTCTCTCTTGCTATTTATACAGCAGTGCAGCTGAACTCAAAAGCAACAGCTTTACACAGACTAATTTTAAAGCGGTCCTCTGGTTTGTGATTTTAAAAGGTGGCTACCAATATAATTGTAAGTTTAAAAGAGCCCTAAAATCCTTCCCAATGACCCAGTGATAGCTATAAATTGAACTAAAACTAATTTTCCATTGTCTTCAAAGTTGGGGGTGGGGAAAGTTACGTCAATATGTGATTATTCCTTCTTGTAGAAAAAGTGGGGTTTTTTTATTTCCTGATGGTGCTGAGGGTGAGACAACCATCAATACCAGCTTCTTTCCCCCAGTTCATAGTGTTTATCCTTTATGACAAATAGAAAGCAGTTGTATGGACAAACATTCTCTAATGGTTTTCTTTGCAGTGTTGGATAATGCTTATATGAATGCTGTTACAGCATATGTATTACTTGTGGTAAAACAATGCATGTTTCCATGTGTTAGCATTCTTTCAGACAAACTGCAGGACTTTGAGAGCTATCTGTGTCTCCTGAAATACTGTTTTCTGAAGTGTAATGCCTGTAAAAAGTAGATCCTTTTATTCATATTAGTCTCCAGATTTTCTTCCCCTTTTCTTTATTGCATGAGGCATTAGCATGGGAACACACTTCACGTTTCTCAGGCTTTTGTCTGTTCCTGCTGCGTTGCCTACTGGAAGTCAAACAGTACTACTTGCTTTCTGACACAACTGATTACTATGGAAATTATTACCATGTCATAAACAGAGGATTTCATGTGTCGAATGTGCGGCAGGAACGCAGACGATTTTGTAAGCAGAAGGTTCCTGGTAATAAAGAAAAAGGGAAGAGAAATGCAGAAAACAGATGATGCCTCTGCAAAATCCATTGTTGCAGATTCTTCTTCAGAAGGCATAACCTGCAGGAGCATGGGGATCAAGCAGTTTGCTGGGTTACTGTTTTTTTTTTAAATGAGTGAGAAGATAAATTTGAATTTACGCTTCAAGAAATAATTATTTTATTTTGACTCCAGCAGTTGGTACTGGCCAAAGTGATTTCCGAGGGCATTCGATGTATGTCCCAGATCACTGTTCCACACTAGGGAGGCTGGACAGCTATCGCTCTGCTGCGCAGCGCTCTGAAACCAAGGACACCAGCTGCCAGACGGAGGAAGTTAAAGTTGTGCCCCCTTCAATGAGAAGAATACGAGCACAGAAAGGACAAGGAATTGCAGCACAAATGTCTCAGTTCTCCAGCTCATCTGGAAACATGTCAGTTATGAGTGATTCTGCTGCAGTTATATTTGCTTCTCGCCAAAATAGCGACATAGGTTTCCACAGCTTGCCTCGGGTTGGTGCGAGAGTGTCTCTCCAGTCCCTAGATCAGACACAGAGCATGATGTCAAGGCAGACAGAAGACATTGCTGGCACTTTACCCCACCAGATAAGTAAATTGCAAGTGGATGATAGTGTTGTGCATCTGAGGAATAATCCCGTGATGGGGACCCCATCAAGGCCAAAGTCCCAGGAGGTGAGAAGCTGCGATAGTGAGAAGTCCTCAAGCCCAGCATGTGTGGTGTCTCCTCATGCCACTTACTCAACAAGCATCATACCCAATGCAACACTGTCATCCTCCTCGGAAGTTATCCTTATTCATGCTGCCCAGAGTGTTGGATCATTGGATAGTAAAATTTCCAGCTCCTCTGCCTTTCCAAATCCAAGAGACAATCCTGCTGCCAGCAGTGCAGCAAGTGGGAAGGAAGACCACCATTCTTCAAGTGGTAACTGGAGTGAGAGTAGCTCCACACGTCACTCACAGACTTCAGATACCATCCCATCTAACACTGTCATGATGCTTTCTCTTGGTGACTCTGCTGTCTCTCTAAGCACTCCTGGGAATGCAGAGGCTGGGTCTCAGAGCATGAGCTACAGCTGTAGGAACCCTGCTGCTTTAGCAAGCCCTTCCCAGGACAGCGATGGTCGAAGTGAATCCAGCTATTCTGGGGAGCGAGCACCGGCAGCAGTGAGCAGCACAGAGCATTGGTTGTACAAGTCTTCAGAAAACAGCGAGACCCCTTCACGCAAGGTGGTTTGTACAACACCAGGCTGTGCCACGCCCGGTAGCAACCTGAGCAGCAGTAGCCTGGAGAGGACATTAGTCAGGGATGATTCTACTTCCCTGTATTCTGTGGACCAGGATGGCTATTATGGCTCCATGCATATGGACTCCGGACTGAAGGCAGACATGCCATGCAACAGTACTAATGGTTTTGAGAACCCCAGAGACAGTGTGATAAATGTCTTTGAAGGAAAGGAGAAGAAACATCAGGATGACCACTCAGGCCAAGGTGACAAATCCCTTGCAAGAAACATCTCACTGAAAAAGGCAAAGAAGCCACCTTTGCCACCATCCAGAACAGACTCACTCAGAAGGATGCCTAAGAAAAAAGCCCAATCAAATGGACAGATACTTGATGAAACCCTCATTGCCACTCTCCAGCATTCTTTGCAGCTGAATCTCAAGTGCAAAAATGGCAGCTCCCCTTCCCAGAGCCCTTGCAGTGATTATGAGGATCCCTGGGTGTTGCGCTCCCGCAGCCAAAGCTCGGTCAGTGCAAGCAGCAGCATGATGTCCACCACTGCTCCAAACCTGTACTCCATCTGCACAGTCACTCCCTCCCAGAGTGAAACAAGTAGCATAAAGTCAGAGTATGCTGACCAGTGGGGTTACTACAGCGACTATGCTGCAGTGGCAGATGACCAAGTGAAATCTCCAGTGACCCATTCTGCCAGTACTTCATCTGCTCTCAGCGATTATAGCATCAGCCACTTCAGTGATGGCTCAAGGGCTTCTGTGCCACAAGTGCCCAGTGGACTGGCCAAACCAAAGAGCGCTTCTCCGGAGAAGTCCCACCGAGTCACATCACCATCGAGTGGGTACTCCAGCCAGTCCAATACACCCACTGCGCTTACTCCAGTGCCTGTACTTGTAAAGTCTGCATCATCAGGAAATGGGAAATCCAAGCTGAAGCCTAAAGTGCCTGAAAGGAAATCCTCTCTTCTGTCTTCAGTTTCCATGTCTTCGTCATCCACTTCTCTTTCTTCAAATACATCTGCTGAAGGGAGTGTGAGTGTGAAGAAACTGGACCCTGCCCTGAGCCCTCCTGTGGATTCTGGTGCACCTCCTCCACCACCTCCTCTTCCAACATCTCAGCATTGCCCTGAACTTTCTCCTCCTCCTCCTCCTCCTCCAGCAGAAGTAATGGATCTGTCACCATTGTCGACCTCTCCCACGTTCCCCCCTCCTCCGCCAGAAGCCAGTGTAAGTTCTACCTTTGCTCAGACTGTCCCATGGTTCCCGCAAGAATCCTCCATCAATTCATTCTCTTCCCCTGTTCCTCCTCCTCCTTCTTGCCCCTTGGCTGTCCCACCACCAGCACCACCGCTTGATCCCAAAATAACAAAAGGTGCAGCAATGTACCCACAGTATTCTTTTAAGAAACGCAACCAGGAGGATTCTTGCTACAGTCCAGTGAAACAGCCACTCAACAAGCAAGATTCATCAAGACCTGTGATGCCATTAGTAACCACCAAAGCACTGCAAATGGTGCAGTTGAGGTCTGTGAAAAAATCGACAGAAGGTGAATCATCAACTGAATCTGCTTCTGAAACCACCTCTCAGGAAAAGGGTACTGCAAATTCATCATCACAGTCTTTGCTAAAGCCATCTCTCTCACTGAAACTCAGTACCAGCTTAGGTGATGAGGAAATGAAAACTCAAGGCACCTCATTTAAAAATGCAGTTCAAACTGCATCACTGTCTCGGGGTTCTCCTCTCATTCCTTCTGATAACACACCTGTGCTTGACAGTGATCAAAAGCCTGTGAGTGCAGTAGGTCTAAAGAAATCTTCTGAAGCTGATGCTCTGGGGTCAGCCACTGATGATACACCTGAGTCCTCAGTGCAAAGTGAAGACCTTCCTTCTGGGATGTCCCTTCAGAGGTCACCAGCATCTCCTGATAAGACTCAGGTTGTATTGCCAAGCAAGAAACCACCTCCTATTTCAAAGAAACCCAAACTGTTCCTTCTGGTACCACCTCCACAGTTAGACCTTACAGTGGAGAAAGCAGCTGAAGTGAGTGATACTGCCAGAAGCCCAACTAAGAGAGACGCTGTGCTTGCACACTCTGAGGAGGCGAGAAATTGTCTTACAGATGGACTCGGTTCTAGCGAGATGGACTCTGGCAGCCTGGTTCCTGAGGGAGGAGCTGCTGGATTCACCTTCTCTGAGACAGTGGGAGCGAATGCCTTTGTGGTACAGCCTGCTGCATCACCAGTTCAAGAAGAGCCCAGGCAGGAGGAGCAGTCTGCTTTTGATGAAGGAAGCAGTTCAGGCAGCAGCCAAGACAGTGGCAGTAATACTGACGGGCACCTATCTCAAGAGAACGAAAGTGGTAAGTCTCTTTTCTCTGACTAATTCAGATGAAGGAGTAGCTATTTTGAAGAAGATGGGGAGTGAGAATAGCAATCCTAGCATTGAGATGGCATTCTGTAGAGGGCAGAACCTCTTGTGATTGTTACACCTAAAACAAAAAAAAAAAAGTTGCTGGAATCAGATTAATACTGTATGACATTTCATACAATTCCTTTCTGACTTCTCATTGTTGCAGAGATGGAAGGAAAATGCTTTATTTTGCTATGCTAGTATTAAAGCATGCTATGAAAGCCGTTATTTTTTTAATACTGATTTTGCATTTTAGTGGAAACGTTACAAATTTTGTTTTGTTGCTGTTTTCCACCTGTTATGCCTGAGCAGGCACAGGCATGTGTTTCATGCACTGCAGTTCTCTAAGCAAGCGTTGATCTGAAATTGCAATAATGACAGCTCTGCACTCACTCAGTCCATCGGATGCTTTTCCTTGGAGGCAGCAAGAGCTGGTTTCAGGACTGTGTGCCCGTGGGGTTTGCATGACAGACTGACTGTGTTGTTCGTTCTCTTTGCATAGTGGAAGTGTTTGAATCAGACACAGCCAGTAGTTCATTCCTGCCAAGCAATAGTTATGGGGAAGAGACAGACGGAGTGGCAACACCAGCAAGACCAAGGACTACTGAGGATCTTTTTGCAGCCATTCACAGGTACTGTAGAAACTGCCCTTCCTGTACTGTCAGGTCTGGTAGGTCTCTCAGAAATAAATTTAACATTGTTTTATTGAACACCCAATTAAAACAGTCATGGCTTTAACAGAAAGCACATATTTATCAACTTTCTACCAAGCCTATATGTGAAAAAGATGAGGAAAAGAACTTGCATTTTACTGTTTTATAAATGTATTTAAACCATTCTGAACTAAACCCAACCTGATTTTAAATGGATGTAGATTATATATAAATACTTTGCCCTTTAAAATATCAATTTACGTCTAGTATTTATTGGACTGTTCTCAATCTGCCATATTAACTCTACTGTTGCTTTTTCTGTGTATCTTTTTGTTTTCATTCTCGTTCTTCTCCATCTCTTTTTACTCTCTTCGCTGCTTAAATGGTGCAGTTTGGGACAGAGGCTCAACGCTAATGCTTCATGGCAAGCGTGGCTGAAACTGGCAAGTAACACAACATGTCAGTCATATGGCAAAACATATGGCAAACGCTGGATTATAGTTTGCCATAATCCAGCCTGAGGTCGGGTATTTTGTGTCAAACCGGTTCATGAATGAAATGTGCTATACTGGCTCTATTATTAATGGCATTATTCATTTCCCTTGAAAACAAAATCATCCGGAATGGTAGCTAGATTTATGTGCTGTTCAGGCTAGGTGCTCAGAAAGAGGAAAACCCAAGGAAACCCCGAGGACAGGAGCGCCCAAAGGCAGAGCAGGGAACGCGGGCTCCCTTCGAGCGGCGCTGCCGGAGCCGCCGGGCCGCGCTGGGCGTGGTGCCAGCGCCATCGCGTGGCTGCGCCGCGCACTGCAAGCCGCAGAGGGCCGCCTCCCTGCCGGGGAGTGGGGCATTATCCAGGTGTTCAGTCACTTTGCACATCTGTGCATCGGGAATGAGCGGCGGCAAGAGAGCGGCTGGGAGCTGGGAGGCTGCAGCATTTTGGATGCAAATACTATTTTTTTTTTCATTTTTTGGAATAGACTCCAGACATTACAAAAATTACATATCTATGATACTGACTTTTTGTCATTTACTGTTATCCCTTAGGACTTGGCCTGTATAAGCCATTCTGAAAATGGTCTGTTGCATTCATGTTGCATGGCACTCTCTAGAACTGTGTCAAATCTGGCTTCAGAATGAGATACTCTGGCCAGTAGCCATTCTCCTTTATGTATGCAGATAGAGAGTGGATTTCTGTGTATATGCCCATATCTGTAATTCATGAGTTTGTGGGGAAATGGACAATGGAACTAGATGTGACATACTTAGAACTGCTTGACACATTTTTTTATTATGACCTTGCTTTTGCTGGCTTTGGACTTGAACCACTTTCTTCTTTGGTTGTTAATTAATAAAAAAGGTTTTGGTTTTCCCTCACTGTTTCTAAGAGATACTGCTTCAGTAATTAGCACTCTTGAATATATTCTTTGGAGCAAGACAAGAAATTTAGTGGTGTGTGCATTAAGGGCAGGAAGATCAGTCCAAATTTTTAAGTCATAGTTTTATTTGAACATATACCCTATCTGTGTCTGAAAAGCCACCAAAACCAAATTTGGTTCTTAATTTCAAGTTTCTTCCATAATCCATATATATTGAGAAAAGCTGGCTAGGTGCTGACAGCAAACTGACTGCTCTGCACTGCATTCACAGTTTTAGCAGATCACTCCAAGCTAGGATAACAGTCTTTCTGTGCAGATCTTTGCAACTGATTTTTTTTTTTTTCAATTTAATTTGGGGTTTGGTAACAGTAGAACCCCAGCACTGCAGTGTTTAAAGACATCCATAGGCAGCCAAAACCGTAATGAAGGCAAATCTTTTCCCTGTAACAAATGCACACAAGTGTTGACATACGGACTCACGGAGCATCCAAGCACTAAAATCATCTGCTGCCTACAGCGCTAACGCACAGTTAAATCTAGATGAGAGTCCTACATTGGCTGCTCCTGAAGTTGTCATTATATCTCTTTGTTGTCTTCTGTGTCCATTCATTCTCAGGCTGAATGGACATTGGTATTACATTCTTATTCCAGAAGGACAGGTGGAGACAGCAGCAGCTGCTGAAAATAACAGCTGGTACAGCTGCCTGTGGGGGTATCACAAGTGAGCTATGCCTGAACTTTGCCACTTAGGGGAGAGACAGGATCGCTCCAAAGTCTTGGCAAGCCTATAGCAGTGTCTGTTGCTGCCACCTACTCAGCTGATGGATCCTGCTTCTTTGTTTTCAGGGGTTTTTTAATTATTAATAGGCTATGATGCATGAACACATTTGAGCTTGCCTTGGCAAAATCTCAAGGCTTTTAAGAAAATAAAGCTAAAGATCACATTAAGTAGAAATCTGTCTCACAAGGGGAATGGTTTGGATTGAACACATGCTTGATAAAAATTAATATGGGGTTTTATAGCATGATGATTTTATACCTCTAAGAAGTCTGTTGACTTGTTTTAAACTTCTTCCAAAATACCATATTTAAAATTAGGCTTTATGCAATCCTTTTTAATTAATTCTTGCTCAGTCAGCAAAGAAACAAAGCAGCTTTACTACAGCTACTAGGCATCTACATTTCTTTAAGATTTCTAATAATGTGAAAGTGAGGCAGTAAAAGTCCAGTTTCCACATATTCCCAGTTCCATGGTTATCTCTTAATTTTTTTTGTGTGTGTTGTCCCTGCACTTCACATCTTAATAGACAAACACTCTGTGCTTTCATTTGGAAAGATAACTTTCTTGTCAGGAAGTTGGTCTCTCCTTCATTTAGTTAAAAGCTGCAATGACAGAGCACCAACATAACTGTGAATTTTGTCTGTGCATCTTGAGCTGGAAAAGTTTTTTCTCTATTCATTTAATATTTGGATTAGGGAGGGTTTTTTTTTTTAATCATTTAATTGAGAATTGTTACACGTGGCTCCCTTTTCTCCATCTTCAGCAGCAGTGCATTGCTGTGTCCTTTTTTTGAAGGAAAAGTACCAAACTACCCCTCTAATCCAGACAGTGTCAAATCATAAAATGAAACAAAACAACCCATATACTCTAGATGATATATTTTGAATCAAGTCCCCCAGTTAACAGAAAACCAGCATGGAGTATAAATCTTCATAGCACGTTAGTCTGCGCAGTTGAATACTGACTCCAGAAAACCCGATTCACTAAATTTACTAAAGTGTTTTGAACATCAGTATTGCCAGTTTTAGTAGTTTCATTGTTCCAGATTTGCAGAAAAAGAGTAATAAACTTATCTTATGCCTCCAATACCTGCATTAGTGTCTGTACAGTTCTGGTGGTGTTCTTACTCATGCTTTAGATTCAGATCGCTTCTCCCTTTTCCCTGTCTCTGCTTTAGCTTAAATTCATTGTCATCCTTCTAAACTGAGTTTAATTAGAGGAGGTAAAATGTTTCATTTTTGTGTCATCCTCTTTTTTTGTGTGTGTGTTTCAAACTCAGATCCAAAAGGAAAGTCCTTGGCCGTAAAGATTCTGAAGACGACCGTACTCGCAACCATTCTCCGTCTCCCCCCGTAACTCCCACTGGTGCTTCCCCAAATTTAGCTACCCTCAAGCAAGCCGGATCTATCCAGAGAAGCATTCGCAAGAGCAGCACCAGCAATGACAACTTCAAAGCCCTGCTGCTGAAGAAGGGGAGTCGCTGTGACACCAGTTCCCGTATGTCCGCAGCAGAGATGTTGAAGAACACAGACCCGCGGTTCCACCGGACAAAGACAGACGCCCCCCCTGACCTTTCCGACAGCCCTGCCAGCTGCTCACCCAGCAAGAGCAAACGGGCCCAGGAAGAGTGGGCCAAGAGTGAGGGCCTGATGCCAAGGAGCATGTCCTTCTCTGGCACGAGGTACGGCCGGTCACGGACACCCCCGTCTGCTGCCAGCAGCAAATACAACGTCCGCAACCGCATCCAGAGCAGCCCCATGACTGTCATTAGTGAAGGAGATGGGGAAGTGGTGGAACAGTCTGAGGGCAGGGTCCGGAGGACTTTGGAAGAGCAGCAAGAGGGGCAGCTTGATATGTTTAACAGTGATGAAATGGACATGAATGACTTCCCGTATGCTGAGGAGGCAGGCTGCAAGGAGACCTTGGATCCAGCCCATGTAGACTTAATGACTCAACCAGGTGCTTCAAGGAAGTATCTAAACTCTTCAGCTGAAGAAAGCTAAGAGGCAGTGTGACAAAAGGCTTTGGATATTAGTCTAGAAAATCACAGGGACTAGATTCCAGAGGAGAGCCCAGACCAGGACAAGGTTACTTTGCTGAGCATTTATTCCATGAACTGCATGTGTATGTTTAAATGCTAAAGTGACGATGGTTCTGCATGGTTGGGTTGGGGTGGGGAGCACTTGCTTTGAATGAGTGGTCTGTGGCTTGAAGAATGTTAACAGTTGATTTTTTTGTGTAAAGCCTTAGAAGTCCTCTTGTGGGGTGGGGTGGGCTGGAGAAGTTTTCTCAGAGTCTGTAGGGGTGTGAAGTTTTTCTTTTTCTTGAGACTGCAATTGTGCAAGCAAAATTTAGGAATAAGCCTGAAATGGGAAGGCTCCTGTGGTACAAGCTGGACATGGGGTTCAAAAGCGTTGTAGTGATGCAGCTTAGTGCATTTGTTAAGCAGAGGGAGGCACAATGAGGCACATTCGCCTCTGAGAGAAGGTAGCAGGATTGGTGCTGGGGTTACATGGCTTCTTAGTGGGATATGCCCCAGCGTTCATGAAGGTTGTCCTGCTTGAGCAATGAGCTCACCAGGTTATGGATTGGTCCAGGGTACTGTACTTTTAATTCTTTTTCCTGAGGGAAAATGAACTGTGTGGTTAAGGTGGAAAAGGGAGCTGATTTTATAACACACTACTAGCTGCTATGCAGCCACACACCTTCATTTGGTGAAACACACATTTCCAGATGAATTGCTTCCTTGACTGGAGTATTCCCTTAGAGAACTAGAACAGCTGGGTGTGTGTGGAGGATGCAAGCAGACATCAGGAAAGTGGGAGATGAATGAAGCAGTGTACTGCCAGAATTTGGAAGGGTTACTGTCATGGTTTAGGAACGGTATTCCCCAATTTAGTGGTCCCACCAAAACACTCCAAACCATGTACCCACTCACTCACTCTCCCCTCTCCACTTACCTCTGTGGGTGGCTGGAGAGGAGAATTGGAGGCACAAAAGGTGAAGGTTGGGGGTTGATAAAAGAAACATTTACTGGAAGCAACAATGAAATAAGAAAATGGACAGTAACAGCGACAGTAGTTAGCGTGCGCACAAAAGAGATTAATGGCTCACAGGTGACTGCTCACCACACAGAGCTTGGTAATGTGTGACTTGCTGCCCCTCTTCCTTGTTCCCAGCAGTGTTGTGAGGTGGTGTAGAATGACCTCTGTGTCCTGGCCACGTCCCCTCCTGGCTACTGCAGAAAATGAACCCTGTCCTGGCCGGAACCAGGACAGTTGTGTTTCTGAACTAGAAAGAGAAATTTGACTTGCACTACAAAGCTGTAGGTGGAGCCCGTCTTTCAAAACTGAAACTTGGAATTGTGTTTTGCTGGAAATCTGTCTGTCGTTTGTCAAAATGGGGAGACTTACTTTTCATCACTTGAAATACAGATACTTGCTAACTTTTGGTTACCAAAGAATAAGTTACGGTTACTTTCCTTTTTGATTTGCCTGCAGTATTGCTCTTCTTTTTTAACCTTAATAATTTAGTGAGGTTTGTTTTTATTGTATATTTTACAGATAATAAGAACATTTAACGGTTTTCCAATTGTAAAGAAGACCATTAATTAAAACTGAAATATTGGCTGGAGTTTTTGGTTCTTGGTAGGAATGAAGCTTTTAATTTTTAATAAGAATTTTGCATCATTTGATGGCATGCGCAGTTTTTGTATTGTTTGTAAATATTGAAAGTTGTTAAAATATCTTTTGATCTCCTTACAGTAGAATTTTTACATTTTTAGATTGCTTTTAAGAAGAAGAAGCACTCTTTGTAGATTATTTATTTTAGAGAAATATGCTTGTAATCTCTTTCTTCAATCCTTTACTTGTTAGTTATGTAAATTTCAGGGGCCTTCGTTTAACTCTTCCCTTCACAAGAGGGGAATAGTGCTGAAAATGCTGTGACTTTGCTTCAATAAAGAAAAAGCCTGCCAGTTGCCATATTGTCTTTTGAGTTGATTAAAATCTCCTTCAAAAGATGTCTCCTACAGCATATGGCAACCCACTGAATGCCATCATCCATGCATCCAGCTACTAATTTCCAGTTTTCATTGCCAAATTTCCTAATTCACTTTAGACACAACTAAAGGGTACTCACACATCTATCCCATTTTAGTATCTCAGTTCTGAGACTAAAAAAATTTAAATAATCCTAAGCTTTTTCCAGTGTCATGTGAGTGTTTCTACTACTTCTCTCCTACTTGCAACCTGTCCCAGAAAACTTAAATTCTTGGAGAACCAGATTATAAGCAGAGTGAGACGTGAAATGGACAAGTTGAATCTAGCTGCACTCAGTGGAACAAAGGTGGTATTAACTGGTGCACAGCAAACTTTCTACCATTTTCATATGATAACTATATTGAAAGATCCATTGGATTTTTTAAATGTAAATAAAACCTAATTGGATAAAGTAGATTGTTTCAGATATTGTTAACATTGAACTACATTCTGTTACAAAGAGGTGGCAGTGGCAGAATGTTTTGCGCTAACAACTTGCCCATATTGCTTTGGTCTGTCTTGCTCAGCTGATCTCATGAAACATGAAAGCAGCAAGTCCGTTTCACAGCAGGTACTGTCCCTTTGAAAGCCATGCTAAATGCTAGCCAGTCCTCGTGCCACCATCCTGACAGGATAGTGTGTAATAAATAATACTCAGGCTTTGTTTCGTTGTTTACAGATGAAATCTAAGACAAATCATCAGTGAGAAATGGATGCACTAGGCAAAATTGTAGCTCTGGTGCCTGCAGCTTCTGCGGCCATTTGCAGCCATTTGCATCAAGTGCCCATGGGGGGGAGATTCGCCAGCTCATTCCCTGGTGATGGCCAGCTGATGCTGCCAGCTGTTTCTATGGACTATGTGGGGAACTCTTGGGAAAAGCCCGGCTTAAATGCACGATGTCAGTGCAGGTAGATGTGATTAAACTTGGAGTGTAGCACAGGCTGAATTTCCTCTCTGGCTACAGGTAGCCTTGATGCTCCTCTAAAACCCACATCTGGTGAACTTGGTGAACTTGGGCTGAAGCTCAGGCTTTGGCTAACATTCAGAAGGCAATGTTTATGCAGCTCTACTGATGTTGCTATAAGACTACATTTTACACAGTACAAGGTGTAGTGAAATACTTTAAGTATGCTGAAATATTTAAGTATGCTGAAATATAAACATATTTCAGCATACTTAAAGTATTTCACTACACCTTGTACTGTGTAAAATGTAGTCTTATAGCAACATCAGTAGAGCTGCATAAATGGTGCTTATACCATTTACTTTGGTAGGTGATATAACTTTCTTACAGAGATGTCACCCTGTCATCTCCCCTCAGGCAGAACTAACTGGTTAATTATTTTGTCACACTTACAGCTTCAAAATCACTTTCTTAGACAGTAACATTCTTCCATAGGGAGGTTTTGCAGTTGTGGTTTTATTGGTCTAAAACTGTAGGTTAAGTTTAGCAAACCTCTTCTAAAGACATCCAGAGCAGAAGAGAAGAGGGCACATATACAAACTTGGTTGTGCTGAAGAAAAAAAGCAGATTTGTCATCCTGATGCTTAATGCATCATAGTGTCACAGGGCTTGTTTGGAGTTTATAGCTGGTCTACTGTTTGCCTCTAAAACAAGAATCTTTATTGAAGCTAGATGTGAGATTAATTTCTGGTTTCCATTTTACTGGGAATGGTTTTCAGCTTCAGTCTTTTTCTAAATTCTACCCTATAGTAACTAATTTCATGTTTCGTTCCTTTATGTTCGAAGTTCTGCTGTCAGATGTAGGCAGCCCCAATAACCCTCTGAATCAGAGCCCTCCAGCTACTCTGTTAATACATTCACAAGGCCCTGGGGCATTTACAGACCTTCACTGCTGTTTGCATACTGGAAAGGAGAACTTACTACCGTAATTGAAATGATGGAGGTTACGCAAGGAGCAATAGCTTGGTGAGAGAAGGTTTGGAAGGCTATTGACTATCAGTTAAAAGATTTGGGAAAAAAGTGGATTTGATGAAGACAGGATTTTGAGAAACCAGGACTGGGACGGTGGTTCCTGCATAGGTCTCAGCCTGAAAGAAGGCACTGGCAAAAAAGGTGAAGCAAGGAGATTACTCAGAAGTACAGTGAATGCACAGATTAAGGTATGGGGTGGGCAGGCTAGTGCAGATTCTAGATGATAAGTTTCAGCAAGTACAGAAGAGAGAAAAAGGCAAAGGAATAATGGAATAGCAACAGCAAGGAGGAAGAAAAACTGTAGCCTGTGTGTTTCATCTTAATTCAAAGACTGTAGAAGCCTGAAGTCAGTCAGACATGGGGGAGAAAAAAACCCAAAACCCGTAACAATTAGAAGAGAAAATGAGCAAAATTGAGTGAGGTCAGAGAAGCAATAATAAGCTGGAGTGAGGACTGCTCTAGGAGACCTCACACTGGGTAGGTGGCTCGAACAGAGCTCTTGGGAGGGTTCTATACAGCCACTGTGCCTGGAGTCTGGAAAGAATACAGGGGATTGGGAAGATCAAAGCTCAGATTGATGTTGTCTAATTTCTACCAACAACTCTGCATCCAGTGCTCCCAATGTACTGGGTACAGGTCGCCAGACACTTGCACTGGAGTAACTTCCTAAACCTTCAGTCATTTCCTGAAGTAAAGAGAGCCCATTCGTGCATGCAGCACAGGAATGAATGTGTTAATACTACTGCAAGCAAATAGATCTTGTTAGGTATTCTTTAGATACCACAGAGTTCTGGAAAAATCACTTATAGCAGCAATTACTTGGAGCAAAGCTGTTGCCGCAGTACACTTGAGTGATTCAAAATGATGCATTGTTTGCTTTTATAGGAGAGATTAAAAGGATGGACTTCAATGGTGAAACAAAGTGTTACAGTGGCAATGAGGAATCATTTTATCTGTTTTATTTAAAACAACTTCAGTACTCACCAGAGGAGAACACAATAGTTTTATAATGCCCTTGATAGCTCTCTGAGTTTCCTTCTTGTACTTAATTTTCTGAATAACTTTCAGAAGTGATTTCTTGCATGGTTAAGGCTAGAAAAGTCTTCTGGCAGAATTGATAACTTTATTGGTTCTAAAGGGGTGTTATCAACTTAAATCAGAGCACAGCATTAAAATCTTGCAACTACTCAGTGCTGGATTGTGACTGTAGCTATACTGGTTTGAATTAATAAACACTCAACAGAGTAAAATAGAGAAATGTTTGATAAAGATGTGCTGTGTCATACATTGTTCTGAAAAACTGGGTAAAAGCCTTGATAGCGCTTCCCCAGCAGAATGTTGAGTACACTTTATGTTGCAAATTTAGCTCTTTGCAGTTGGGTTCTTTCACATAATGTGCAGCCAACCTTTTAAGGGCCAATCAATGCTTCTCCCAACAATGCTAATGGAAAATGTCATTGATTTTTAGTAGGAAATTGTCTGTTAATAGTGAATACAAATGTATGTGTATAAGCATGTGGGGCGGTATATAGAGAAGAAATATAGTCTAGTCCCAATGTACCTGAGTTCTTCTGCCTGTAGTACACTGGTCTATTTGTGCACCAACCTTCAGAATTGTTAGCAGCTGAATGGGAAAAGAAGAAAGAAGAAAATCTGTCAGGATGCATAAAGTAGCAGAAGTTTCTGCATTTTCACTGCCTCTGGAAAAAAAACAGTAAAAATTTATATTATGTGTTTAGATGGTAAAAACTAATTTGTGAGGAAAAAATATGTAATTTATGAAAACAAAAACCCAAAACAAAACAAAAACCTCCAAAAAACAAAAAAAAAAATTCCAAAACACCACAAGATTAAATCCTGGAAACAAGAAATACAAGAAACTAAATTAATTATCTGCTGTCTGAAGAGGAATATTGTTCATGTGCATCTTGGTTGTTGTAATGTTTTCTTTTTTAAAAGTCAAATATCTGTTCAGTGTACTTTTCCCAGAAGAAATTACAGGCTATTTATAACAGTCTCTTCACACTGGATTGCAGAAAACGGACACATACATTCCTGCCTTTGAAATTTGGGGAAAACCCCTGATTTCTAGGTCAGTTTAAAAGAGGTGAAAGAGCATTACAATGACACAAGAATTCAGTGCTCAGTGCAGCATCACCACTTGAGAAACTGCCTTAGTAAGAGATGGTCCCATCCTTTTTGCCTTAATCAGGGTGTTGTAATATGCTGCCTGGAAATGGTGATTTTGCAAATTGTTGGACCAACTGGGAGCTGCAGCACAGTCCAAAAGACTTATATAAAAGCAGTCTAGGGAATGAGATTAGGGAATGAGAATGATTTCGACTTATTTACTTTTCTATAGAGCCCTGATAGAAAACAAAAGTGCATTTCAGAAAGGAGATCCTAAGGAAAATGGGTGCACAGGGAGCACATGGCTGTGAGCAGAGGTCATGCAGAGTTGCACAGAAGTCCAAGTTTGAGTCTAAGGTAGTTTAAATCCATTTGCAAGCCATGGGTAGACTGTATCAAACCACTGGTGATCCCAAATGAGGTTGGCATATTCCCATACACAGCACACTTGGACTTTTAGGGCAAAGATTAAACAAATTCCACAGAAAGGTCTCTTGTGATGTGATACACAGGGAAAAAAGTGTATGTACCTCAATGTAATATGCAAGAGACAGTCCTTTAATTTATTCCAACATGGAACATTAAGCCTGATTTCTCCATTTACTCATGCATTTTCTTGCAAAATTTGTCAGAATTTAAGATTGTGGCATGTGGAAACATGGAAAGTAGTTGATAGGTTATTTCTGAGTTTAAAAAAACACAAGTAGTACTCTGTTTTTAGACTGTTAAGCGCAACCCAAGGCAATGGAGCTGTGTGTTTTTTGAAGTGCAGCTTTGAAGTCCAGAACTGACTACAACAAATTAGTCATTAAATTCATGGGGTGAGTTTCTTGCATGATGTGACAATCTCTTGTGAAGCCATGTTGGATTTGGGGAACAAAGAATCTAAAAAATTACTTTCTGTGCCACAAACTTTCTCTCTCAAATGATCACCAATGTCTGGGAAATTGTGACCTCTTTGAACTGGAAGTCCATGTTAGAAATTACCTAAAATACTGCTGAGAAAAGAGGGAAGAAAGTGTCTTAACAATAAACTGAAATGCCTTTCTCAAAAGTCATTCTGGTTGTTGTTCTTGTTTGTTGGACTTTTCCTTCTTTGTTGGATAAACCAGATCTCATGTCATCTATTAATTCCTGTAGAGTGCCTTAGCAGTACTCTTTTCAACAGCTATTTCCTCATCCTGCTTGAAACATCTTGCTAGCATCAAGCTGTGATACTGGTATGTCTTTTGAAAGGCCTGCCAAGAATAATAAATATGAAGGGAATCTAAGTGTGATTGTCCTTTATGCCCTAGTCTGTGACCATGGACTTCCCAATGTTCACCTGTCTGGGAAAATGCCATCAGGAGCAGCAGCTCCTGCTTCTGTGCTGGTCCATGTGCGGATGTAACAGCACAGGGGCCTCCAGACTTGTTGGCTCTTCAGTTGGTACAGACAGGCAAAGCCTTTTTGCTAAACTCTGGATCCAGAGAAGAGTTTCCTACTGTCACCTTTTCTAACATGACCTGCCAACATTTCTTCCTAACACGCCAAGGGAAGCATGCCTGCTCCCCTTAATCCCAGCACGCACTGTGCTCCAGCAGAGCTCCAGAGACTGGCACTGACCTCCAGGCTCTCACTCAGTGTCCCATTTCACACCCAGCTCCCACAGACAAACTCAGCTCTGTCCTCAGCCCCTCCAGCTCCTCCTGGCAGCCGCGGAAGCCCTGCAGGCAGCAATGGCACCACTCCAGCAGTAACAGCGCAGGCAGGCTCTCGTGGTGTCCACTCGTGGTGAGGGGGTGTCTCTGCCTCAGCACCCTACATCGAGCTGTGGATTGTATCCATGGTGTGGGAGCCTCTCCCACAGTCTGTTAGCCTACACCTTACAAAAGTGTTGCCTACAGTCTGTTTTACTGGGCTCTCCACAGTGGCCCTTAAGATAGAAGACAGTGAATGTTAAACAGCTTTTCAATTTTAAGATAAATTGGTAAGATAACTGGCTGCACACCTCGATTTGCATTTCTTAAGAGCCTGATGTCCTGAGAGACTCTACCTCAAAAGTAGAATTCCGTCAAATAGGGCCTAATTGGGAACACTGGATATTAATCTTAAGATTTTCCTGGTAGTCTCCAATTCTGATTTTTTGCAGTCTGTAACTCTAAGATACTGGAACGTGGAATTCAGTTTGTTTCCTTCACATTTTCAAACTGTTCAAGTTCTTCCCTCGCCTCCCTAGCTCCTGCTGGCACAATGTTTTTACTGTGATATGAACAACCAACCGGGATAATAGCAGGAGACTGGTGAAGAGGATTATAAACAGGCTGAAGTGACTTGCAGCTGGGGTGTAGAAAAACACATTCATCATACTGATTGTTGTTTAGCCTTGTGTGTTTGACAAGTAGAACATCTGTGTTTAGATAACATAAGCCTGTGAGAGACTTAGAGGCACCCTATCACACATGCTTGAGATTCCTGCTCTGCTTCAGGAAAGATCAAAGCACAGTGGTAGCATACCTGGGTGAATCCCTGATAAACAGGCAAGGACAGCAGGTTTGGTGATCCTCTAGTATGGGGCAAGCTCTGTGTCCCACCTGTGTGCCTCTGCCTGGGTGCTGCTTTGGGGATCCCCTGGTCGGTGAGGTAAGGGAAATAAATATCATCTTTGTGGTTTTGTCATTCTTCCTGTGTCCTGCCTGTGCTGACTCACACAACCAAGTAGGGAAAATATGCCATTATAGAAAGTAATACATAATCTGATGGGACACAATTTACATAAATTGTGGCCTTGGTCAGATTTAAAAACAGAAAAATGTGAGGTTTTTGTGTGAGAAGTACCCCAGTGAATATTTATCATAGGAGGCATGACTATAATGACTATTGATACACTACAGGCTAATTCAGACCAGGTTTTGTCTCTGGGCAGCACACGATTTAGTTGCCAAAAATGAAAAATTAGTTCCCTCATGCAGAAGAGTAGGTAATTTATCCAAGTTTATTATTCTGGAGATTGCCTTTGGATTATAGGGACAAAAACCATTTGACAGCACCACACAAATTAATCCACACCTGGCAGAGCCACACATTTCTCCTCTTTCTTCAGCAAAGATAACCAATTCCAAGAGATTGATTCCATTATTCTGGTGTTTGAGTGGCATTAAGAAAAGACTGCAAAGGTGGATGCAGATTGGATGTGCACCAGACTCACTGTACCATCAATATTGTCATTCCTTCAGAAGATCAGGTGAGTAAAAACAGCTCAATGGCACATAGAAACTCAGGCAGATCAGCTAAAGAGCGTGGAGTTCAAGAAAGCATCTGTCTCGGTGGCTTGTTCAAAGTCTGCATTTGCTCCTTTAATTCTGCAAATAATTCTAACCCAATTTCATTGTTCTGCTGTAGTTCTGAGGGCAACAAAGTACAAACACCAGTTTTTCTGTACCTTTTTGGCTTGTTGGATTCTCTGCTGCATCACAGAGGGCACACTACAATAATATTTTCACCATATTTATGGAGTCTTTCTTCTACGTGGTTTTCCTCAGTGTCTTGCAAGAGATGAATGCTACAGTCCTTCCCATAGTGAGGTCACTGTTGTAGTCACTTTCACTGAAATTCGAGTTTCCATGAAACTCTGAGAGAAACGTACTTTTGAAATTACCTGCTTTCATACAGATTTTACAGAGAGACCATAACAGGGTGGAAGAGCCAGTAAGAGAAGAGACTCAGACCCCATGCAGCATAATCACATTACATTAGTGTTCTGAGGAAACCTTGCACACCCTTTTTCCTCAGCTACAAAGTAGGCTCCTTGTGACCCAAGGAAGTAAATCTGAAGGTTCCTTACGGATCCTGAACACTGTTTTGTAGCAAGGCTGTCAGGAATAGGGGCAGCTCTCTGTGGGCCATGCGGTTTGCAGACCTGACAAAACAAATGTTCCTATCCCTAAGCGGTCTTTATTCAACTCAGTTGGTTTCTCACTCACTGAGAACTGGGAGCTTAAGTTTAATCACAGGTGGGCACAAGAAAAGACCACAGCTCCCTGTGGGATTGGGAAGATTAGGCTAGGTTGTAACAGCCAAGTCAAAGTCTGGAGCAGCACTAGCACCTAATTGAAACTAGCCTGACTAATTAAATCAAATTTTGGTTGCATAATGATTGCTTAAGGTTTCCTTTAAGTCCTTGACTGCTCTCCAGAAAACAAGCCACAGGTGAAATCTGATTACTAGTTAAAGTTAGTTTGCAAGGGAGCTTGGAAAAGCAGGATGAAAGAGGCAGTTGCAGTTAAAGACATCTGTAGTACTGCATCTTGTTTTCTCATGGTTTATCATCACTGATTGCTACAGGTACTTTTAAATACTTTTACATTTGTTGATTTACAAGATTTATTGATGTTTTATTGACTGTGACCTAGAACAGAAGTAATTCCCTCTGGTGGAAGTATCCTTGCCTTCATAATATTATATCAGGAAAAATTTGTTGTTCAGGGAGCTATATCAAAGCTGACGACAGCCTGTGTAGAGAATAGAAAATAGCTATTTAAATCCTCTCAAGATGGTTGTAATCAAGTATGTGTGTCAAATGTTCAAGCTGCTTTAAATAGTATAGAAATTGTCCTATCATTTTTTTACTATTTGATACAAAATGCATTTAATCTGAAATTATAACTTTCCACAGGGTATGAGCAGTTGGAACCAGAGGATGCAAAACTTCAAGGCTTCCTCAAGAGGAAGAAATAGGAAAGTAGAAGCAACTGTGTAAAATGGTTCTGGTGAACAGGGTGTGACTTTAAAGCCTTTGATTTTCATTCTTGTCCTTAAACTGACTGCTGTAAGGGCTGCTACTGCCCATTATCTTCTGTGCCCTTGATTGAACCAGCAGCTAGATTAAGGGTGCTCTGACTGGCAGATGTATGGAGGCTCTGGGTTAAAAGTGGGCAGCAGTAGATGTTATGTCTGCCAATTATCTCTCTCTGTGAGGCTCTAAATCCAAAACTGTGAATCTCCTTCTGGGTTACTGCAGTTTTGTGTTTAGTGAATTAAGGTAATCTGTGCTGATAGATCCTTGTGGCTGTGCAGCAGCCTGCATAATTCAGTAGGTACTTGGTGAGCCTTTCTAGGAAACTGGTGGGATGTCCAGACTCTTCCCTTGATGTTGGAAAAAGCACTCCTGATTCTCCTACGTATACTTTACTCACCTTTTGCCATCTATAAGGCCTTGGACCTGCTCAGGCTGTTACCTCATCAGGATATCTGCCCACCACAGACACCCCTTGAGGAAGGTGTGCGGGCAGGGGACACAGGAGCAAACACGGATGGGGTTTGGAGGCCATCTGTCCCCTCTGTGCAGAGTGCCTAGGGAAGGAAACTGAGACAAAAATGAGTAAGTGCTTGTCTACTCTGAGCAGACTATCTGGTATTAAATATTTACAACTGTGCTGATTTGCCAGACACTTAATGGTTCAATGCAGAGCTGTTGGACTGTCACTGGGGTCTCTGGATGAAGCTGCCACTTGGTTCAGCACTACCGTGTTGTACCCCTGGTGCTCCTGGATGGCTTTGGCAGTTCCCTGTCGTTTCCAGAAACTTGGAGGATGCAGGAAAACATCTGACAACCTCCACTGGAAGCCCCGGTGCCATTCAGGGCAGTTGATCCCCTACCAGCCCAAGGAGCCAGTCATTATTTAGCCACTGGCAGCTGTTTCGGGCAGGCATGAGCAGAAAGGGACCTTTGCTGTGTATCTGTCACAAACTGGGAGCAAGGCTGCTGGGAGCTAATGACTGGGGTTGAGAATAATATATGTTTTGCTAAAATGTATGGTTCAAAACAGTGTTAGCTGGAAAAATACCAGTTGGAGTAGTCTGTGTTGTTGGGTACTATTGTGAGTAGTTTACGAGAAGTATTAAATAAAGGTGTACAACTTTAAAAAGGGCTGGTACAGCACTGGGGACAAGGGACTGGGTGAACAGGGGTTGCTGGAAACTCTCTAAGGCCCATCAGCAGTGAAATCAAACATCCCTTAGAGTAGCTGTCAGATGTTCTGATGTCCAGTTTTACCAAATAAGCTGAGTCCTGGAAAAATTGGGAATTTAATCTTCTTGTCTATTAAACATTATGGCAAGCTACCTAATGGAGAGAAGGCCTTGCCAAGCTCCCCTCTTCTGGTAGCTGGGAGTGGTGCCCAGCATAACTTGGGCCAGGGAAGCAGGTTGTCATTATCATGAAAATTCCTTTCCAGCTCTTTAAAAATCAGTATAATCGCTCTAAATGCAAGCCATTCTGGAAATATTCTTTGCCTTTTAACAAAAGTAGAAATTGGTATTTATTAGAATTTAATGCCTTTAGTGTAAATATTTCCTGGCACTCAGTCCCAGCTAATACAGAAAATCTGTTAATAAATGAAAACTGGCCAAACCAAATTCATAAATGCCTCCAACAACTGTGTGGTTAGTTGGTAGTTGGAGTGGGGATTTGGAAGGAGTCTGGATAACTGTGACAATATATAGGAGGTGATAATCTTTTGAAGTGATGTTAGCTAAAGAGACAGAGCTGTTTGTGTGGAGCTCTCAGATACGGTATCCAGGCATGCTTCCTGCTCATAGTTTACCTTGCCTGCCATCCCTACAATTTCTATTTACATTATTTAAAATAAGATATGTATATAAGCTAGATAAAGAATAATAGATTAGAAAATAAACCCTCTGACTTAAAGGATGATCTGAAAAACATAAAATGCAATATCTTTCCTTGTGCTCTAGTTTATGTTCGGTCACGTTTTTAGACAAAGAAAATTTACTATGTGTCTCTTTTATAGAGTCTGCCATAAAAACTGGCACACAGATCTAGATGTTACCAGTGTATTAACTTGCTACTTTTGTTATAAAAATATGCTCTAAGTGTCTAAAACTTGATTATTTTGTTTCCAGTAGAGATCCTACTGGGCAGGTTGAGACCACCCAACATTTCCTTCTTTCGGGTGGGAGTGGCAGGACTGGGGCTGCTGGAGGGGTGCACAGAAGTGCGGGAGAGGGGCAGGATCATGGTGGAGCACCACTGGGACCATTGATGCCAACACCTCGGGTGTCACCAGTCATGCAGCAGGGACACCATGTAGCACTGTGCTTTTTCTCCAGGGGATGATTCCTGGTAATGCCATGGAAAAGAACCACTGTGGAAGTCTCCGAATTGTGCTAGACAGGACTGTACTTGTGTGGCTTCTTCTGTCTCCTAACTAATGTCCTCTGTCTGCTTTGATCTTCCCGATGCAGCCGAACACTGAAGGGTTGTGCTAATGGATCTGCTTTTTTTTTTTCCCCCTTTAATTGCATGACAGCAGCATTTTTAGTTCCTGATGACCACAGTGTTTTGCTGCGAGAAACCAGTAGAAATCAGTCTTTTATAGAAATATTTAGGTTCTGCATCATTAACAGAAGTGAAAAAAGGGTCAGTGTTAACTAAGATAGGGTTTATAAACAAACCAATGCCCATCAAGTTTATTATTTTTTGCTAAAACATCGGTATACAGACTTTCTGAAGAGCCTCAGGCCATACTAACATCTGACAGTGTTGTCAACTGTGAGTTTTCCAAATAGGAAGAAAAATAGAGAGAAAAAGTGCCACAGAACTAAAACACATGCTGAGTTTTTAATTGTGCTATTTAAATTATTTGGTGCGCTGTTGGTACAAAAGCAGGGAAATGTGTTTGTAGAAATAGCTTTGAATTTGTCTGGTTTACCTGCAGTGGAAACTGACTTTGTGCAAAGCATTTTATAATCACAAACAGATATTCCAGATTACTAGTAGAACATAACACATGACACTTAATTTTGCTCTCTACAGTCATGGGTCAGTCTGTGGAGGTAGTTTTTCTTTCTGTGTTGTCTTTTATATAGTTGGCAAAAAATTAAGCCAAAGGAGAGAGAAGTGAAAAATAGGAAGTCAGGGAGAAGAAAGCAGTTTTGTGAGATATTTATTTCTGAATGGGCATTTCTCTTACCTCTTTTCATCCTGATTTGTGATATTTTTCACTTTCCTTTCCTTTTAGGATACTTGGTGGTGTAGGGCAGGAAGAGCATGGCTTTTCTTCCTGTGCTTTATGCTTGGAAGGCCACTAAAGGAATTCAGTTAATTAGTATACAAAGAGCTAAAAAAACCCATGCATTCAGTTCTCTCAGTTTGAACCTGGAAAAAAAACTAAACAACAAGCCAAAACACTATAAAATAAAAGATAGACCTATGAAGGTGCTTGACATGACTGGAGAGGATTGGCTGTCCATGCTCTCTTGCTTTAAAATACTTTTTTTTTTTGCCACAGATGGAAATGTCTGAAAAGTTCAGTAGCGTTCAATAAAAAAATAACAAGAATCATCATTCAAGAATAAAATAATGCTGACATGGAGGGACAAATGAATACAAAAGGAACCGGATAAGATAAGATTGTACTAATGGCACAACTTGTTTGAAAGGATGTTTGTAGTGAGGTAGGGGTTGGCCTCTTCTCCCACGTAGAAAGTGACAAGAAGAGAGGGAAAATTGCACCAGGGAAGGTTTAAATTGGATATTAGGGAAAATTTCTTCACTAAAAAGTTATTAAGCATTGAAACAAGAAAGTGGCTGTGTCACCATCCCTGGAAGTGTTAAAAAAAAAAAATGTAGATGTATCATGTACATGGTTTAGCAGTGAACATGGCAATACTGGGCTTGAAGTTGGACTTGATGATCTTAGAGGCCTTTTCCAACCTCAATGATTCTATAATTTGGTTCTATGAAATTCTGAGTACTACAGTTTTGATTGCTTCTTCCTCCTTAAACTTAATTTCTGACAGTAAGGTCTCATAGACATGACATACCTGTGAATAATCAGAAGCAAAACTACTGATGGAGCCAAACTCACAGACAAGTTTGATTCTTTCATACACTCAACAAACATGAAAGACATTGGCATTTTTCTACCTTTTTAATGAGAAGCTTGTGAAAGTGCAAGCATACATTTACACCACTGTCAGCCTAGTCATGTATCTGAGAGTCTTCAATGAGGTTTTGCTGTCTTCATCAACACCCACGTGTCTGCAGCATTGATTTATTAGCTGTGCCTAGCCTTGGTGGCCATCCCACTGAGAATGGCAGGTTGTCTTTATTACAGAGGACACCTTCCTGAGGCTCCACACTCACATACCTTTCCTGTTCTGCAGAAGACCTTGTTATCCAAGAGATGAATAGAACTGCTTTGTAATGAAAGGCATGGCATGATTATTTACTAACAGACTGAAATTAAGAAATTTCATTATTAAAAATTCATAGCTGTTTCACTTATGACAGTTTTTGAGAGAGGAGTCAGTGAATAATTTATTTGCCATAAGCATTCATTTCATCCTTATCTGATGTTTTTGTAAAGTGTTTGTTCTTGAAATTTGTAAAAAAATCCTAGCAAGCAACAACAGAAAAAAACCCTCACCCAAATAAAATTACTCTCCTAACCAGCATAAGACTGCCCATTCACTTTCTCCTCTTGATATAACCTACATTTGTAAGAGTTTCCACTACTGGAGCATATATAGTTCATGCCAGTGGAGTTTGTACTAGCAAAAGTAGGTTGTGTGTGTGTCTGTATTTGGAGGCTTTGCTCCCATAAGAACCCGAGTAAAATCCTTTAAAGTGTGGATTAAGTGAAGAGTTTTATTTTGGGAGCAGTTCTTTCTTGGCCACTATTATATTATTGAACTATCATAAAGATATACTGTCAGGGTTTGTTTGGTTTTCTTTTTTCAAAGCGTTTTCCACTTCAGTTGGGTTTCTAAATTTCTAGTCAAGATACTTGTTACAGATGAGGAGCTCTCTGAAGTGACATGTATGCACTGCAATGCTTATTCTGCCTTCTCTAGACCAAGGGTAACTTCATAATGCCAAGCAATGACTATTCTCTTTTGAAAAGCACATTTTATCATTGGCAAATACAAAACAATGAGTCACGAGTTAGTTTTAAATTCAGCAAAGATCAGGTGCCAGATGCTCAATCTTTGCAGAAGCATGCATCAATTTTATGTGAGATATTATTTTCTGAGATCCCACAGTGGTTGCAAAGAGCTGTGTCATCTTTTCTTCCTTTGGCTAAAATGATACAGGCAGGATATTCTATTAATACGAAACTACTGCAGCATTATTGGAGATACGTGCTGAATACTTTCAGTGGATATCTAGAAGAACTATTTTGTATAAATTACCTGTGTTCTTTTACATTAAGTGTATTTGGATCAAGAATCTGCCATATGTGCAAGATGTGTATTCGTTTTGGTCTGTAGAACAATGGATCCATGTCTGTGAGAGACTCTGGCAGCTCTCATGGGGAAGACAAGCACAGAGATTGCTCTCCAAGCTTGTGAAGGCCCCTTAATTAAAGGGCCTGCATTGTTCCATAGTTTCCTACTAAATATAAACAAGGGGTAGTGTATACATAATTAATCTCATCAGGGTTCCTTAGTATTTTCATAATAGAAAAATGAATTACAATTACCCTTCACATCAAGGTAAGTTCATAATTTGTATGTGTACTAGCAGATACAAGATTTAAACAAAAAAAAAAAGGAAAATAACCTTATGGCTATAAAATACAATGCCAGTGTTACAGTGATTTCTGGACGCATGTGAAATCTCATAATATGAAATTTTCAAAGAAAGCCATCTGATTTCATACAATTTGGAAACAAGGAACAAAATTTACTTTGGTGTAACTTTAGGGCATAGGAACAGGAAAGGACACAGAGAAGTCTAATCCACTCTCTGCTCTAACCAGAAGCCTTCATCATTCTGGTTTGTCTACCTTCTCTGTGTGTCCGGAGATGGTGCTGCCACTGCTTCACTGCACTTTCAGACTACAATTCACTTTTAGAAATTCCTGTTCTGATTTAATCTTGTTTCAGTTTAAAATCACTAGCATTAGTTCAGACTGGTGTAGGCATGAAGGGTCCCTATTTTACTGTGTTTGCTGTTACCTTTTATGTAATTGAAAACTTAATGTCCCTCCTCAGTCTTTGTGTTTATGGTCCCAAATCCAACATCCTTCTTTTAGATGGGGTGCTCTAAACCTTCACCTTTCAGATTACTGCAGCTAAAACAATGGAAGCTCTTCCCATTGCACCTATGGTTGCTCCTATTCCCAGGCAGGAGTTCCTTACAGGTCATGAGCTCTCTTCTTTGATGCACAAGGTGTTTGCCCAGAGGACCTGACAGCTGCTCCACAACCAGCAGCACCAACATCAGTAGCACGGTGGCTGCTGAGATGTGTGCCAGCACAGCCTGACGGGATCAGAGGCAGCTTCTAGGAAATAGTGATTCAATTTCAGTATATTTGCTTGAGAAACATTGGTTTTGTTTGTTTGTTTGTTTTTTGTTTATATATATAATTTTTGGTGGGCCTTCTCTTTGGGGTGGAGATTTAAGACTAGAGATGCCGGTCATATTGAAACCTACTAGGGACAATTAACATACAAGACTAGACAAATCTGTGTTGGAATGAGATAAGGGATACCAATTCCAGATGGAATAAAAAGCAGTTTACTAGAAAGAAGAATTTAAGTCATGGCAGTGTTTCTCTTAATACAGATTTGAGCAAGTATCTGTTTTCAATTGTCTTTAGCAATGCTAACAATCAGAAGCTATTTTCTAAAGCAGGATTTGAGAGTTGCCCAATAAATACTACATAAAACACAATCACTCTCTATATTCTTGCAGAGAATAGCAATTCTTAACTAGGCATAGAAGTGTCTCAGTCACAAGAAATACCAGTCAAATTTTTTTCTTAACTGTAACTAAGGTAGCTAGAGAGCAGTTTAGAATGATGAGCCCAGAGTCTGAGTATCAGGCTCTACCCAAGTTAAGGGTTGAAGAAGAGATCATGCTGAAGAACAGCATAACTCATTTCAGAACACAATAGCTCTCTTAAGGCAAAATATATTCAAACTGATACGACAATGTGTGTGTTTTCAAGCATATCTGTACAATTATCCTGAAGTTAGTGGAATATACAAACACCAGAGGCAGAAGTGGTTTATCTTTGAATCTCAAACCTTTGCACCTTTGCAATTTGGTAAGTTTTTTTGGGCTCTTGTACTTTTCCAGCTTTCCTTAGAAACAACTGCATGTATACCAAGTATTAAGGAAGTAAAGAAAATGTGAGGAGGCAGTAGAATATGATACTTTCAAACATGCCAGCAAATACCGAGAACTGTTCCCAGATATGGTCTGAGAAGAAAAATGGTTGATTGAATTTGGAGTTTTCCAAAACATCTGCTGCTTCAGTTTGATGACCCAAATGGAACATTAGAAAAAGAATTATCTCAAATTTGTAGTTCAAGAAGATAACCCTTTTTTTTTTTTTTTTTCCTAAATAAAAAGGCATATTTTTTTCCTTATTGTAAGAGAAATCTATGAGTGGGAACATCAATTTTGATATGGACAATTTGGTTACTGTGATTGTGTCACTGTTGACATAACACAGAATTCAACCACTTTGCAGCTCTAAAGTGGCCTTTCTTCTGCTGTACAGTGAGGATATTTTCTTCTGTTACTGTGTTGTTGTTTTTGTTGGGTTCTTTTAAGGAACATGCTAAGTCTGTAAAGCAGGACTGGTTGTTATTGACACGTCCTGACAGCTGTTGAAATCATCCAGTGCAAACCTTTGGGTTTGTAAGTTACACCAAGACTGCACCAGCTGCTACGACAGTTTCTTCCTTGCAGGTGTCAGCTATTCCATGGCACTGCATTTGTCTGTGGCTTGCCAACATAACTTTTGAGGCTGTCAGGATCTGTAGTAACCACCTCCTGTAACAAAGGTATCTATCAACCTAGTGAAAATGCTATCCTGTAAGAATTAAAGATGACATGCATCATTTTCTGAAATCATAAGCAAACACTCTGAACCACTGCCACCAACACACTTGAACTAGCCTCACCCTGCCCTAGGGATGAAGGGGAAAGGATTATAATGCTGTTTTGAAATACAGATCAGGGCTTTTTTGGTGCACTGAATTTTATTAATTTTTCCCAACTCCTTTACACACTGCACCAAGTAAGTCCCATGTTTTATTATTTTAGACTTGGAAAAGAAGTCAGCCGAGTAGTCTGGAATGCTGGGACCTTACAGACCTTGGCAAGTAGCTTGCAGCAGCAGAGTGAGTGTGCTTTTGCATGGAGGTTTCCTCACCCAGAACAATCAGGTCTTTTCTGGTTGCTGGTTGTCCTCATTGTCCAACTGTGAGAAAAGACAGCCTTTATTCACAGTGCACATTTGAACCTTTGTGGACAGTTACTGGAAATTTTGTAGAGGTTATATATTTGCTTTCCTGAGAGCTGTTGTGATCATTCCAGAGCACTGCAGAATGATGTGATGTAAACACACACAGACTGAGCGACTCAGCTTGACAAAGACTCATTTAAATATAAATGCATAAAACAAAAAAAAAACCCCCAAACTGGAATATGTATGTGCTAAAAGCCCTTGTTGTGATTGCTGAATCTATAGCGTTATTGACATTTCGTTGTAGCTGAGGGATTACAAAGGAAGAGCTTCCCAGCTTTCCTTAAGTTTAATCCTTGCATGACATGTTTGTTAACTAGAATCCCCGTGTTACTAGTCTGGATTTGATTTGGTGCTACACCATGTGTACACTTGCCACAAATGGAAGGTAGAGAATCCTAGGATGAGGTGAAGAGACGCAGTCCCTGTTACTTCAAGTTTCTTCCTTCATAAATTCATTGGTTTTGTGCCTTATTTGGAATATTTTCACAAATTTTAAAGGCCATAGCAGTTCTACCTTTGTGCTGCATGCTTCAGCTAAGGTGCTTCTGTAGGAAGTTTATTTGGTGCGCTGGTTTGCAGCGTGCTCTCTTCGTAAGGAGGCACTGGGTCTGGAGAGAGCTCAATGTGAGCCTCTTCCACGGAAGTTTTCATTGTGGCCTCCTCGTAGGACGGAGGCAAACACACAGACAGGAATGTGGCATCGGGGAGCAGCGTGGAGTAGTGGAAGCTCTGCTCACTGCTCCAGGGCAGCGCAGAAAGGAAATGGGACACGTCGTGCTCGGGCAGGGCCTCAGGAAGGTCGATGCTGAAGATCTGCCCCTGCTGAGCGGGGCGCTGGCAACGGCGGTACAGGAAGAGCAGCAGGAATGCCAGGAAGAGCATCATGGTGGCAGGCAATATGATACACAGAAATGGTTCTATGTCGTCTTTGGTTGAACTTATCTGTTGTCTGCTCTGTAACCAAGAAAATAGGAAGGCTGTTGGATTCCTGGAGTTCTCTTAATCTGAGAGCAAAGCCAACATTCCCCATCTCTGCCTTATGACATAGCAGCTGCTTTTCCAAATTTCTTTCTATCTGCACTAGTATCAATCAAGCAGCATGTTTTGCAGACTCGTGAATTCTATTTATTGGCCAATTAAAGCAAATTACAACCAGAGACAAAAAAACCCAGAGAAATTGCAAAGAGTGTTTGATTTTTAGAAAACCCTATCTCCAATGTGGGAAAAAACCTCAAGAGCCTGGAAGTATATGAAATTTTGTATGACATTTCATTACTCTCAGATTATAGTGGGACCAGTCAACTTTGCAGGAGATCAGTTGAGCTTTTAAAATTTGGGAGAACACTGAATTGCAGATGAATAAGGCTGGTGATCCACCATCTCGTATTTTTTTTTGTGTTTGGAAAACTGTATAAAGAACAAATATTACAATAACTAGCCCTTTCAAACAGGGCCCATTGCCTACAATACCTGCTCTAATCTCACAGGCCAGTTCCAAATAAAACACGGTGTTTTTATTGGACAGGACAGCTTGGACTGGACCTCTTGAGCTTGCTCTGCCAGTGATCCAAGAATCATTTTTCCCTGTTTAGAACTATGGAAAAAGAACTTCTGGTGGAAGAGAAATAACAGTTGTGACTGTTGTGTCAGCTTTGTTTTCTGCAAAATGTAACACAAAAAACACCTGTCCCACAGCTTTTGAATTGTGATGCAATGTTAACTGGAATCATAAGCTATGAGAAAAAACAACAAAGCCATTTGTGCTCTTATGTTGTATTAGCTTTAGTTTTAAAATTTAGTATATCACGTTTCCAATCTGACTCCATCTCCTAATAACTGGGTCTCATTCAGAGTCTAGTCTAGAGCAGAAGGAAAACCCAAACAAACCCTATAATGCTGTTTATCAAGTCATTCCCTTTGTAAGCTCTTGATTAATGCTGTGAGGTGGCTTTCTCACATTTGCATAGTGAGACTAAACAGGTCAATGGATCAGATTTCCTTTATTTTGAGTGAAGGTGCCCATTCAGGCTAGGAGAACTTGAGTGATTGTTTCCTCAAAGGGTTTGGAAGCAGGGATGCAAACTGGCCATTTGCAGCAATGGCTTTGTGAAAAGGACAGTAACTCCAGAGTCTCCTTCTTAGTGTACAAAAACTTTCTGTTCTGATTCTTCCAGGAATAACAGTCATGCTTCTAGCTACAAAATCACACTATAATCTACATTCAGCTGGTTATCTACCAGTCATTTGTAACATCTTTGCTTTGTAGTCATATTATGAAATTATTATTATCTGGTCATGCTGAAGAAAAATAAAGTAATTAGGCATTGACACCTAACAAATAAAGTAGGAGAGATTACTGCTTTTCTAGTTTTTCTCTAAGGTATTGTGATTCTGAAGCTAAATGCATTAAAGTAATTTTAAAATACACTGAAACCTCTGCAGATTAGCTATTAAGCTATTTTCCCCCAGTGGTCTTTTAACCAAAAATGCATATTAAATAGCTATTTTATATTTATTGATTATTTTTATTAAAGAATTTTTGGCTGTACAAGCTGTTGTCTTACCTGACCATTCAATGAGTGACAGGAAATAACAGAATTGGAAGAAATTATTCCAGCTGTTCTTCCAATGCAGACATTAAATAATCTCTTTAAAATGAGGGAATTTTTTAAAAAGGTTGTTAATGCTTTTTTTAGTGTGTCTTATAAGGTGCATAAAACATTTCAAGTGAAGATGAGAAAAAAGCATTCAGTATTATGTTAGTACTCTATGTATGTGGAGACTCACTGATACTGATATGTTACTGAAACTCTTACAGTAAATATTGAGGAGTGCTGAGCTTATAATGGACAGCATTATTCCTGATCAGTGAAGAGTTTGTTTTGAAAATCCAAGTCTAAGTTTTGGGTTTACTTTGGAGGGAGCAGGCTTTCATCCAGGTTAAGTGATGGTCTTAGGATCTGAGTTGTACAGTATTCTGGTGGTTTGTGAGGAGAGAGAGTGAGATTGCCAGTGTTTCCTACATAAGATTAGTAAAAGTATATAAAGCCATAATTATCATTTAAACTCAGCGCAGCTTCCCTATTAATTTCACTGAAAATATATTTGTGTGTTAAATAATGGCCAAGGACAGTGTATCCTTCATGTGCTGGTGGAAGCACAGGCAAGAGTTAGGGCTGACATGGCCTTGTACAAATACTGGACTTCAGAAGGGAAGGGAAGGTTAAGCTTGATGGAAGGAGCTAATAAATGATCTTGGGTCTCAGGGAAATATACTTTGCTCCAAAGCCTTGATTGGAACCCAGAGACCTTGGGCCTTGCAATGAAGTACCTATTAAGAGAAATGTGCAAAATATATTATTATTGGAGGGCACAGTTTGCATCTAATGGTAAAAGAACGAAGGAGTGCAAATATTTGTAGTATGAGCTAGCTCAGATGGCAACAGTCTGTGAAGTAGCTACTAAAGGACACCTTAGGGTATCAGGCAATGTCTCCATACCTCGAGACTGCTTTTATCTGACAGTGAGAAACAAACAGCATCACTAGAGTCACATTCCAACAATGGAATGTGTATGGCCTGAAAACTCTTTTTGTTTCAAGGCCCTCTAAGAGTAACCTATTGCACTACTTCTAAAATTGCAAAATCAAGCTCTCAAGCCTTGAATAAATGCCAGCATTTTTGAAATCTGAAAAATCCTTAATTTGCTCTGCAAAACATATAATTTTTAATTACATTATTGTGCACAAAGTGCTTCCTTGGGGTTGTGATGGATTGCTTAGGGAAGGAGATGAACACCACAATACCTCCAGGGTACCGTGTTGCAGGGTGTGTGTGCAGTGACAAGACTGTGAGAAGAGAGAGGACTGCCTGCTTGTGTGGTAAAGCAAATGTTCTCCTGGGGGGCTGTTCTCCTGTCTCTGCTACCAAATGCTCCAGGGAATGGGCCAGACAGATCAGTGGAGGTGCTTCTTGTGGGTTACTCGCTGGTTTGAATGCCTGGGTTGAGATCCTTGGGTATGGTCTGCAGAAATTCTGCACCTGTACTGCTGTCTCTGAAGGTGAAGAGGCAGTGCCCTGAACCTGCAAATACTTAATTTCACTGTGGGATCTGGACAAAAATTGCATAGGTTATTACAAAGCAGCCCATATTCTCTTATACTCTCTGAAGAGGTCAGGTGGTTGAACCAGGTTTTCATCGCAGACCCCTTCCAATTGAATTACTCCTATTTTATCCTATTCTATTTCAAAATAACCACAATAACCAGTGCCTGGTGGTGTCTTCTTTTGCACACAGTAATGTGTGCAAAAGAAGGCATAATAAATTTATTTAGTTTGTTCTTTTGTTTAATGACTACTGTATAGTTGTGGAAGAACAGTGTGTTTTACCATGATCTGCAAATTAGAGGCATGTAAAGCAGATAGGATTAAGAATTAGGCAATATTATAGAATTATAAAATATATTGAGTTAGAGGGGACTGATCAGGATCATTGAGCCCAGCTCCTGGCCCTGGTGCAAGGCACCCCAAGAGCCACACCATGTGCCTTTGTGCCTTCTAGCATTGTCCAAATGATTTTAGAACTCTATCAGGCTTGGTGCTGTGACCACTGCTCTGGGGAGCCTGTTCCAGTGCCCAAACACCTTCTGAATGAAAATGTTTTCCTCATATCTAACCTAAACCTCCCCTGACTCAATTTCATGCTTTTTCTGTATGTTAACAGGTGACAATAAAGACCAGTATTCCACAGTCTGTGTTTCAGAGTGCTTGTAACTGTTTAAACACAGCTAATGTTAAGACTTTCCTATCTGGGAGAAGTAATTTGTAGGCTACTTAGTGTATTATTTGAGCTGAAATAATTTTTCATAACTACTGCCCCACAGATGCCCTGATCCTGAACAGGGAGTTATATTTCCATTTTGATGCTGCCTCCTGCCAAACATTACGTGGACTGCTTTTACTTTGAGATGTAGTTCCAAGAGGATGATGATGGACTTCTTGTATGTATATCTGCATAAATACATCAAATGTATTAGGAGAAAATTGATCAATATTAGTCCCTCTTTTTCTATACTGGTTTTGTTTCTATTTCAGCAATGAATGCCTAAAAGGCTACTGAAGAATGTTGCAAAGATCTTGACATAAAGACTTGGAAAATCTAACAGGCATTTTAAAAATTACACTAAAAATAGTAATCATTTTAATACAATGAATCAAAGGTCACTTAAAAAAAAATCTGAAAGTCTAAAACTAGTTCTAAACTGGCCTAAAACTAACTTCTGCAGCTGAAGCTCTAAAACTAGAAAAGTAACCACTCTGTATAGGTATCAGGAATAGCTGCCAGAACTGGAAAATAAAATTTTCTAGAAATCAAACTCAATCTTCATTAATTGAAAGTAATACAGCTGCAGAACATACTCAAGGTAAAATTCTCTACTTTTTTACATCTGAAAGTTTCCACACCAGGCATATGAAGTGACTGACGGAATTATTAATTGACTGTTTTTTTTGATGCTGCTTCACTGGAGATCAGTGTGCTCTGCCTGTGTCATCACAAGCATCTATTGTCAGGTTCTATTGTCAGGTTTGTAAGTGACAAAAATAAGGATCTGACTTCCAGTATGAAATAAGTTACAGATACATAAATATGGGAAAATATCCATTTTAAAATAGAGAAAGGCAGAAAAGAGCATGGAAGTGAAAGGGATTGTATATCTAAAAAGGGCTGTTTTCCCAGAACTAATTATTAGTAGGATAGTTTGGACATTGTCAATTCTCCTCCTTTTGGTAATATATTTGTAGGGGCTGAAGCAGGGGGTCAGTTTCCCCCCAACCGCTGAGTACATACTGGAAGGAGTAAAGCCTTTCATTAGTAATCTGTCTGCCTATGTTTTTTTAACATGCTGAGCATGTACAGTTGCCAGTTTACAGATTATGTGACCCATATCAGTTGAGCTTTTACTCATGCCTGTTGGTAAAGGAATAAAAGGCAGAGTGTGGCTGAGTTGTGTGGTGTATCCATGATGAGTAAAGGAATGGGCTTGGAGCTGAGCTAAGTGTCTAGACAAAAGAGGGGTAGTATCTGCCTTGGGGAGGGAATGACCTCATAAGGCAAAACATGAGGAAGCTTTTGTGTGAGGATGGAAACATTAAAGTTTGTTTTGCTTACTGAAATTCCCATTGAAGCGATTGAGTTGTGCTAAGATTTATTATGTTGTTAACGATTTGCTAGCATACTTAGAACTCCATTAAATTTATTTTGTTAATACAGCCCATATTTATGCTAATGTCTTTTGAAGTTGAATCAGGAAACCGATACTTGTGAAATGTTTTTAGTGGCTTTGCAACAAAGTCTGCTTTGAAGTCATTAGGGTGTGGTCCCCCCACAGGTTCTTTTCCAAGCCCTATCCTACTTCTTGAAGATGATTCATTACTGCTTGTAAAAAGCAAAAACATGTAACTCTGGCAAATAGAAAAACATTTTTATGTGCTTTTTGTATCCATTAGTAAAGACATATAATTTAGAAGTGAGCCTGGATTTACACTGAATTTTCAAATACTTCTTGGAATGTGACTCTAGTGATGCTGTTTGTTTCTCACTGTCAGATAAAAGCAGTCTGGAGGTGTGAAGACATTGCCATTGCTATTCTAACTCTGACAACATTACCAGTGAGGCAGACTTTCTTAAAATCGCGGCAACATTTAAATAATACTTTTTGTCCTGTTTTGACACTCTTACCCCTATTTATTTTGCAACAGTACACTTTCTCTATATTGGCTGAATAGTGTGGCCAGTTCATTTGCTAATGCAACATGCTTCGGTCATGCTTCCTTAACTGAGGAAGTGCATGCACCTTAAATTATTATTTTTGATCAGAGAAATCCTTTTGTTGTATCCCAGACAAAGCCAGAAAGCAGGCTGTGTTTTCATCTCTGGGGGCTACTTCCCTCCCCCTACTCGGCTGCATGTGATCCTCTCTCACAGAAGTAATCAGCGCACAGCTTAGGGAACAAGAGTTCATTGCTGCCTGCGACTGCCTCACAACATCTGCAGAAAGGCTTCACGGGACCAGATGCACAGCGTAAACACGCCTTGAACAGAACGGAAATCAAGGATGCATTACGCTTAAAAGAAGTAATTAAACTTCTTTCCTGCCACCCCAGCAAAATTTTTCCATCTAATGTTTTTCTCTTCCACAAATGTGTTTAAAAAAACTTAACAGCAATAAGGAAATGCTCTATGTAATTGATTAGTACTGCTTTGATGTGTCCCAATACCCAGGGATTTACTCTGTGCTGTACATTGAGCCATTAAACAGACATACACACACATGCAAAGTCAAAGGACATGCCACAGAGATGAGCAGGGGGTACAGACCTGAAGCTCTGTTTCCAGAAGTGGCCCACCTGGTTCACTGTTAAGCCAGTCATAGTTTCCCCTGTCAGCATGTCCAAAATTTTTTAAGCTGCTGCCCAAGAGCCACCTCATGCTTTCATTAACCTGGTCTTCTGTCTTCGTGCCTCCACCTTGCTTCGCTGCTTGCAACTGCGTCTCCGCCTCCCAGCCTTGACCCAGCCAGGCTGCTCGCGGCTAATGATCCCTCTTAAACGACATCCCCTTTACAGTGGAAAAGAAAAAAAAAGAAGTTATACACCCCCTCATCGTCAGGAAGCCAAGAAAATTGATCTCAGAGCCTCTCTCCTCTTCCAACTCAATCTCTCTGGATTTGCTTCGGTGGCCTACATTACCAGCAAAGCTGGCATCAGGTATCTGGGAGCTGGGGCTGATCGCGCTCTGATTGGAGCACTCCCTGCATTAGGATTATTAAAAGGGGAATTTGCATGTGAATCTAAGCCTGCATGGTCATGAGTCCATGTGGATAAATATTGCTCTATATTTAGTTATCTAATAAACACTATTTCCAACAAAAGAAAAGAAATAAAACCAATGCTTCTATATTGAGAGTGAAAGGGTGTAAGTGAGGTTCCTCCCTCAGTTATACAGCACAAGGTGGAACCACATTCCAGGCAGGGTTTTGTTCCCTGTTGCTGAAACATACAGAAAAGAAAGTGTTTTCTGAGTAGGGAGGCAAGGACACAAGGCTAAATGCTGTACTGAATTATTTAGCAGTGTTAGGATGTAGATGTTAATGATAAATCCAGAGAGAGAGCTCTGCCAGGAAAGCTTTGGTCACTGTGGGAGTGTATGATTGCTTTTGGTAAGAACGAGTTGTCAGTTCAGCTAAATCAGGTTAACAGCTTTCTAGGCTACTCGGTAAATGGCAGTTGTTTCCAGTGAGAAGACTCTGTTTATCCACAAAAAGAAACATGAACTTATTTCACTGATGTGTGGTAACTTCTGAAGAGAGGACTCTTTAACCTGAGTTAAACCTTGATTCAACCTGCAACTTGTGCTGCAAAGCTGCAGGTGTTTTTTGCTGCCTTGCTGTGGGCAGAGGGAAAGGCCATTGCTAAATGTCCCTTTCAGCTCTGCAACTGTTCAACTGTGGTGCACTTTTTATGATTTCTCAAGGCTTATCTCTCAGAGCAAAAGTTGTGTTCAGGACCGATGATAGAAATTTGGTATTAGAATCTTAATCTCTTATTTCTTGCTTGGACTTTTTTTCACCAACTCTTCTTTTAGTTTGTGGCTCCCAGAAAACTGCAGGTGTAGTTGGCAGTGGCAGGCTCCACTCCTGCAGCTCTAGCAGTGGCAGTCAGCAGTGCCAGCATTTGCCATTTCTAGCGGGACGGCCCTGCAAGGACCTGTTCCAAAACTGGCTGTGATCCATGTGTCTGTAGCTTGCAGGAAGGATTCACCCTGCAGGTGCAATATGGCTGTGGGAAAGAGAGGTGGTAGTTTGATAAATCTATCCTGTTTTGTTACTAATTTTCCAGGTGAGCAGTGGAACAATATTGCATGAAAGGCTGGTCTTGTTGCTGAAGCAGCCTCATCATTTGTTGGAAACTGACCTCTTGCTTCTGCTGAGGCAGTCCTGTGTGAAGCTAGAAATCTCACCTCAGCAAAGCCTTTGCATGCTTCTGAGAAAGCTCCTCCTTTCCTCAATGCCTCACTAGTTGGAAAGCGCTTTCAGAGGTGGTGAGTGTGTCCAGCCACCAGGACCAGGGCAGTTACACTGTGACTTACAATGTCCACTGAGAAACCAGGTCCTAAACATGGATTAACAGGCCACAGGTCAAAATAGTAAAATATTTCTCTTGATGTCTCAACACCTTGTAAAAAAGCAAGAATAATGACCATCTTTCCCAAACCATTGTTAATAAAATTAATTCCTTAAGGAGCCTTGAGACTGTGTAGCTTAAATCTATAATCTCACATGCAAGCAGGAAACATTCATATACCATCTTAATTAGGGTCTTAGTTCAGCCCCTAAGATTATTAATGCTAATTTTAAAAGCTTGCTATAAATTTGCCTAGGGACTGTACATGAATAATGAGAAGAAGTAAAAAAAAAAAAAAGTCTCCTTACAGTACAAACACCTGTTTGGCATCCTTAGATTCTAGCTGATGAATTTTAGCCAAGAAAAATAAGATGTGTACTTTTATGACTCACTGACCTGATTTGTCAAGTGCTGCTTTGAATACTTGACCTCTGGAAAATGTGTAAGAATGGTTTAACTTTGTAGAGCTGAGGCCGAATGGGGATTTGGGGAAATGCAGTGCCTTTTGTCAGGCAGGTAATTAGAATATAAAGTAATGATTGTCCCTCTGGCTTTTTATATCATCAGTGGAGCCAGCAGAAAGATTAGTGAGTGTGATTGGGATATTCTCTTTCTGCTGCCAGGGGTCAGGTGTCCTTTTGCTGCACTGCCTTTGTAGAGCAGATCTGCTCTTGTGCAGAACTGAAACAAAGCCATTCAAGACTGGGTTTCTGATGGCGAATCTGTTGTAAATTTCTGCCAGCCCTGTGGGGCTCACAGACACTTATTTTTCCTTCTCACATGGAGTTCATAAATACCACTGTAGCTTGAGGCATGCTGTAATGTGAAAGCTGGGGCAAAGAGGCTTGTCTTTAATTCTAAGCCCTTGGCCAGATGTCAGGCTTGCTGCTTTGAAGTGCAGTTTGGGTTCAGAGATACCAGATCTTGACATGGACAAAATGTCCTACTCTCCTCCTCCACTGGCTTTGATTTTGAAATAGTTTGATCTGGAAGTTGCCAGGTCAAACAATCCGGAGAAAATAGCTGACATGGAATGGCACCACTGACTTTGATTAAAGTTTGGTAAAGGTTTGTGAAACAATGCCAACACGATGTTTTTAGCTGAGGCAGGGTTGGTATTATCACTCCCAATGCCCCAGCAGAGAAGCAGGGAGAGACTTTCTGAGGAAGCCGCTGCAGAAAATAGGCGCCTCCACTGTGCTCAGTTTGAAGATCAAACTGTCTGTCATAAATTATTCATCTCTCTGATTTGCTGAGATGTTTGAGGCTTGCAGTGTAATTCTAGGCTATATTGCCACCAATATTGGTAGGGAACACAATATCCACAGTGCCTTAGACAACCCTTCAAGTTTTTTGATACTTTCTTCCCTCAGTTTCTTTAACCACAGGTGGTGGTGAAACTTCCCTGATTGAATGACTGTGATGCTGTGAGGGATGGTATGAGGGTTAATCGCAATAATGCAAAACTAGAATTTTAGGGGGTGAGGTGTTCCACTGTTAGCAGTCCTGTTTTGGCAGGTGTAGATAGATTCCCCAGAAGTAATGGTGGTACATAATTGCCTTTGCCTATAACCAGCTGGCAGGTGCTTCTGTGTCCTTCAGGTGGGAGTGGTGTTAGTCTCTGTCCATTCCCTTCTCACTTGAGTAATTAAGCAATTATGTTTTGTACTTTTTTTGATAAATCTTCATTATATTGAGATTTTAGCTTTACTTTTTTTTTTTTTTTTTTTTTCCCTAAAACAAAACATCTTCTGAAGAGAATTCTCCTCTCCCCATCAAACTAAACCCACTGTTACTTCAAAAGATAGACACAACTTGGCATAGCTCTGCCACAATTCTGGAGAGCGGTGTTTGAGGACAGGGTGGACGTACTCACAGTCTGAAAAAACAGAGGCAGGGAGACCCTGCTACAAAATGTGTGCACACTGTCACTGTCCCTTGGAGCAGGGAGCAGCAGGAAGTGCTGCTGAGATATTGATCTCAGATCCCCGTGCTGCAGATGGGTAGCTGAAAACAAGGTCATTAGAGAGAGCGCCAGGGAGAGAGCTCAGGCTGCTGCCAGAGCAGGGTTGCCTCCTACAGAATATCCCTCGAAGTTCTCCGAGTGAGATAACACCTGAAGAGCTCTGTGATCATGGCAGAGTACTGGTGGCCGAGCGGTATCCATCTGATGGATAGATGGATAGCTCTGTCTAGAGCTATGGGGTTTTATTAGGTACTTTTCTGGTAATTTCTGTCAATCTAGGTTTGATCCCCTTCATTTACATTTAGTCATCCTTACCCTGAATTCTTGATTTCTCTTATTTAAGAGAAAAACCTGCCCTTTATTTAAGACTGCATATCCACCAGCACACACTGTATGACACTTCATTCCTATTTAGCCAAAATATAGAAATTCTTTGTTTTAGTGGGGAGTGGGGGAGGGGTTGGTTTTGTGGCGGGATTTCTGGTGATTTGGGTTATTTTCAGCATTTCTGAAGGGCCAGGTGACCACATTATGCTTGGGTTGCATTTGCTTTTAAATGTGTTGCCATAAACTTAGTGAGAAATTAAGCATTTTGCTACTTTATAAGGATGATATTCTAAAAAGAAACAATTTTGGATGGTGTGGCTGCAGTCAGGTCAAGCTCCACACTCTCCCTTTTGTACACTTTTATCATTAATATTGTTCATTTTCTTATCTCATTGCTTTTTGTAGTAAATAGTTCTTATCTCAACCCATAATCTTTGCCTTTTGTGGCTCCAATTCTCCTCTCAAATCCTCTGAGAGGGAAGAAGGGGAAAAGGGGGTAGGTGAGCCAGTGGTGTGGAGTTTGGAGTTTCAGTGGGAAGCACTAAACTGGGGAGTACCATTCCTAAACCATGATGGCAATTTAAGGGAATAAACTTCTAAGGAGAAATGTGAATGTGTGGTTAACCTTCAGCTGAATTTTTAAAAGTAAGCTTTTAAGATTTACCTTGCCTATTGTATTTGATGTTGCTTTACTCTGGTGGTTGATATTGTGTAGTGCTGTGCAGGCTTTAGATACTGAATTCTCAACATATCTGCATATCTCACGTAGTCTTGTGTTCAATTTTTTGTTCAAACTGAAGCAATATTCTGCTAGAGTATTGTGAATCTCTGAATGAAATCTCTTGAGACTGTATCCAAGTACAGCAGTCTCTGTGTCACTACTTGTTGCTAACACAGTAGATTTTATGCAAAAGAATGATCATATCTTTATATAGCCTGATTTGGCTGGTATCATCTGCTGCCACAACTGTTATCTCTAGATTCCAAAGAACATCAACTGAGAGGCTTTGAGTAATTTTGTACTGTTTTGCTTGAAATAAAACACATTTTCTGTACCGTTCCAATTCAGACCTCACATCCTAAAGTTTAATCTCCTGATTTGAACCTAAAGACTTTTATTTCAAACTTATGGAGAAAATACAGCCTCCTGCAACCTGTAGAATAAAGTTTGCTATAGGAATGAAGTATATTAAGAAAATCTTGTATATAAAAAAGGCCCCAAATCTGCAGAAGTGAGAACAGCTTTATTTTCTCAAGTGTACTTGTTAATGGTTCAACTGGCCAGCAAAATTGCAGTCAAGCCTAGGTTTTAGGGTATGAGCCTTGTTACACAAAGGCAGGTCAGTTAGCCTTAAATGCATGATAGTAAATGTTAATGAATGCTAATAATTGCTAATAAAGCAGAGTTGATGGCATGCATGGACTCCAGTGGTACCTGAAGGGGCAGAGAAAAGGGAAAACTTCTCCCCATCAGTCAGGTGGGAAGTGAGGGACTCCCAGGCAGGTGCCCACCTCTTTGGGGTGTCCTGCTGGTGCAGCAGGTGCTGTGTGACGCTGCTGAGTGTCACTCTGTGGCAGCTGCTCAGACCCCCCATGACTGGTTTTGCTTTATGACGCCGTTTGCATCAATTGTGCCACACTTGGTGTGGTGCCTGTCCTGACTGGCTGCTGTGCCTTGTCCTTGTGTGTTAGTGGGCAATGTCTGCTGGATAAGTAAAAACCCATTACTCTTGTAGGTGCTAAAGCTACCTGCTGAAAATGGTGAAAGGAAGGCTGAAGAGCTCCTAAAATGCAGCTATAGCCTGGAAAATAAAATGTCTGGAGGCAGAGAGGGAAAGGGATGAGTTCAACACAACAAGCAGATGTTTCCAGTGTAAAAGTATTTCAGAATTGACCTGTGCAAGGCCTTAAGGATAAGAACACTTGTAACAGTGGGGTAAAGGCACTGCCACAGTTTTCTTGGGTTGGGGACATTAGAGCTTACATAGTTGCAAGTGGAAAGTATGCTATGGGACTGGAAATGGGTCTCGGTATTAGAAAATGCAATGTGTCCTGCAATACCCTCCATAGCAAACCATAGATACAAAGGCAAAGGCTTTCAGTGTGTTTTTTTAAAAAGAGGCTTAGCCTGACAGAAGGGAGTGGCATGGCAAACCCATCTGAAAGAAACATGTTGTCTGAGGGATGTGTGTCTGTTTAGAGGGGAATAATTGCACATTAGAAATACCTGGGCAGTTGAGCTGCTCAGAACCACTACTCAGCATGGGCAGCTTTATAAATAACAGGTCAGGTTTTTAGTTAGGAAATGCAAACTGCAGCCAAAGAATGATATGCTGATGTTAAGGTGTACAGATGTATGTGAAAGTGCCTTCTGCAGTAAGCTGGTGTTAAGGCGAGGGATTGTATGAGAAGGGTCAAAACAACAGCAAAATGTAGAGAAGATTCTGCTCAGGGGCTTGGTGTGGTTGAATGGATGATCTGAACAGTTCTTCCATATGTGCAGTCCTTAATTCAGGAGACTGTATTGCCATTTGAGAGAGTATTGAGAAAATATCCACTGCAGTGACCCACTTCTGGATAGGGAATGGGAGGAGAGTGTCTGTCCCGTGTACATTCCAGGTCAGCCTGCATGGACTGCATTGATGCTGCATGCAAAATGTTGTTCTGTGTGAAACTTCAGGGTCACTCAGAGTTGTACGGGGGGGGGGAAAGCCTAAGGCCAGGCTGATTAAATGTGGATTTTCTCTTTGAGGAAGAAGTCGATTTTGCTTGGGCCAGTGGTGGACAAAGGGAATCAGTCATGGAAAGAACATCTGAGGCAGTTATTTCATTCTGCTACAAGATGGGGATCCTTTCACCCCTTTTCCAGGCATATTCTCCTCACACTCTGCGTCAAGTGAGTTGGTATGTTAACATCAGGAGGAGCCAGGTGGCTGCTGAGGGGCAATGGGGCCTGTAGGGGTGAGCATTTACATTGTGCCCAGATTGTAGGGGCAGCTCTAGGCCTGACTGGTTAGAGGCATTTACATTCTGATGCTACTCTTCAGGGTTTAGAGTATTTTTTAAGCTTTATTTGACTCCAACCATTACATTTTGCTATGTGCAGGGTATAGCCTTCTTGAGAGCGATGCTTGTCCAGACAGAATGGCTTGGTTTGATGGCTCAGGCTCTAAAAGAGACACTCAAAATTATGTAGTTTGGCACTTGTGTCTTGCCCTGGGTTCCTCTTTGTCATCCTGTTTTTCTTCTGCAGTCACTGCAGAACTGGGATGTTGCCTAGAACAACACAGCATACCCTATATAACCTCACAATCCCAACAGACCCTCAGTAGTGATCATCCTTGCCTTACTCTCAGCACAGCTCTACCTAAAAAACTGAAAATGTGAGAAAAAAATTATCAAACTGCATTAATTTTTTTTTTTTTTTTTAACCTTCATGCCTGGCTTTGCAAACTAATAATCTTTATTCTCTTGGGTTTGGGGCTGATCACAAGAGCCTGCATTGAGATATTCAATTATTTAGTGTCCTTTTAAAAGAAAAGGTAAAGTATGCAAGAGAGATGCAAGATCTGCTCTGGTGACCATAGCTGAAATTTTAAAAGAACATTTTTGTCCGGGCTCTTCTGCTTGTGGTGCCACCACTGCAATTTTACCCTTGTTTTCTCAAGGGATGATAATTGGTTTTGCAAGTAAGCAAACCAACCTAAAGCCTTGTCACCTTCCTCTCCTCACATGAGTTACTGCAATAACTTTTCAAAACCATTTTTCACTTTCTCATTATGTTTGACATTATTGTTTCTCAGGCTTGAAGATTTGTCTTTTTTAACCTCCTAAACAAAATTACTTATAGAGATAGATTTCAGTACAACATCTTACCCAGTTTTATTTTGATCTCTTCTTCTCCGTGTAATCTTTGGAACAAAAAACCTGATTTGAAGTACAAAGCGGTCTGCCAGGAATATAATGTAACATTTAAAAGCATAGTAAATAATCTATAAATGCTAGGCAGAAAAGTATTCCACATTATTTTAAGTAATTTTGTTTGACTGTGGTAGGGAATGAACATAATAAGAGATCAGAAGTGGTCAAACTAACCACAGTAAAGAAAAATACTTCATATTTTCTCAGAGCTGGCAAACCACAAGTATTGTCTCTTATTTATGGATACATATTTCCCAGCAATTACAGTGTCGGCAAAGGTACAAATCTCTTGTAAAAGTAAAACAAAAAAATCATCCAGACTTATTACTATGAATTTCTATCACGAGTCAGAAAAATGCAACCTGGCTAATATGTTGGGTTCTGGTATTTTGGGTTTTTTTGTTTGTTTGTTTGTTTTTTCCTTCAGTATGAGAGTAGGACCTAGCTGACCTGTGTTCTGATTTAGTTTGGATTCTGTTGAGTTTTGAAATTGGGATACTGACTGCACTCTTCTAGCACTCTGTGTCATGCATTTGGATAAAGACTTCAATTTGTGTTTGTTTACAGTGATATTAGATGTTAAGAGGTTTATCCTGATGCTAGCTTCTTTGCCAGAAGCTCCAAAATGAGGGATCACCCTGCATTTCACATAGCTCTGTGGACAGAAGCCCGGCCTCTTCTTTCAACTTCTGCCATAGGTTTGCTCAGTGAATCAAACGGTTTCTTCATCTGGAAACATGATCAGGAAGTATCTGTCCTGGGGAGAGCATGCTTCCAGCAGGCTTACTGAAAATACTGTCCCATTTTAACCTGAGTGCTTAGGGGTATGGATGTGACAGTGGTCTCCTATGCAACCCTACTGTGCATTACCTGTTACATCCAAATTGTGTTTCTCTTTTGTCTTGTACCTGAAGTACCCACCAGTATCTCTAGTCGGCCTTTCTGTGTCCCTCCTATAATCAGTCTTTGCTGCTGTTTTTTTGTTTTGGGTCTTTTTTTTTCCCTCTCTTGCCAGATTATCTCACAGATCTAAAAGTCTGGGATGAGCAGGAGGCCAGAGCACGTGTTTAGATACTTTGGGCCATTTTGAGGTCAAGGAAAATTTTTTACTTCCTTGGTTGTTCATCCCACCTGTAAAATGGTAATAGTGACTCTGGGTGCTCCTTTGGCACCCAGTCAAAAAATAAAAATCAGTTATTAAGAAATGGTTAGTCTGGCTTGGTACCAGGGGAGCTTTTAACATTTTGTTTAACACAGATTAACACTATGTAGCCAGTGATAAACCTAGATTGTGAAAACATGAGTGAGTTTAGTGAACCAGCTGAAGTGAAGAGGATGTATGAGATTCAATGGTGTGCCTGTTTAGTCCCTTTAAAAAATTCCTTTATTGCTTTGAAATATTTGTTGACAGCTGTTTTCTTTGGCAAGTGTTCTTAACACTCTGCTCCTCAACAGAAGAACAAGACCAAGTGTTTTCTAGGTAAGTCTAGTGGCAGCAGAAGCCATGCTAGCCTGACCGCAGCATTAGTGGGAAGGCAACTAGGAATTTGCACATGTAAGGAGTGAGTGGAATAGTGGAGCATTACTTTCTGTATTTACTCTGTTGCTGTTTCACCTTACTGAATGCTGTTTAGGAGGAAATTAAAATCTTTCTAATGGGATCTAAATGAGCTGTGTGGAGCAACAGAAAGTAGTTCCCTGGAATAAAATTAGATCTGACGGTTGGGATTTAACACACTCTCTTTTGCCAGAAGTGTGTAAGATTATTAAAGCATCACAACCTCATTTGGTCTATTTGTAATCTGTTCTTAACCTTCATGCTGATGAGGCTGTTATGTAACAACCAGTGAAGGCCAGACCTTATGGTGCTTCACTGTATGGAAGCCCATGCCCAGAGACCTCAGTGGGGCCAGGTGGAAAGCTGGCTGCATCTTCCCTCTTGAGATTATGTGGAAAACTTGTTTTTGGGCTGTGGGTAGCATCCTTGACCACAGAGAAGTGTATTCTAAGGTTCACTGTATGATGCTATGTCTTGTCACTGAAGGAGGGAGAAATATTTCACCTGTCTAGATGCATCAAAATTCTGCACAGCATATACTTGCACCTTTAACAATCTCGGTAGCTTCGTTGTTCTCCACCCCACAAACTCAGACTAGAAGTGCTGTAGGAGTAATTTGTCAGTGTTTAGATCTCAGTTCCCATCAAATACACGTAGCAGTTCAGAGTAACGAAATTCCCACAAGGTCATCCATGAAAACTGCAGTTCCTGCTCGTACATAACAAATATTTCAGGCTCTTTCTCTGCTCTATTCCTTTGCTTCATCAGGAATTGTACAATAACTTTCATCAGACAAAATCAAAGCATAATTTATTCTGCGTTTGCATCTTTATTCTACAACACAAGCAACATAAATAGTTTATACTTTTTGTTTTAAAATATTTCCATTTCAGAATTCAGTCAGAATAAAATATACACAAAATACAATTTGCAAGCCAGCCGACAGTGACTGCCCAACCACTGGACACCCAAGGACCATACAAAGCTAGCGGCACAACAGGACATGGTGGACATGGGGAAGTGCTCTTCTGAAGAAGAGCAGAAAGGTAGAGGGAGGAAACATGGATGAGACCATGGAATTGCAGATAGGTATGAACTCAGCAGAAGGTAAACCCAATGTAAGCACTTGTTTGACAAGGTAATTTATAGTCTCTCTTTAGAAGTACTATTGGCTCCTCCTGAATATACAGCTAGAGAGATTAAGTCCTGGGAATCATGTTTTGTGGCAAAATGCTTCCTCTGGCAGCCATCATCATGGAAATAAAATTTGATTTTTTTTTTTTAAATTTTCAAACAGAAAAGACTTAGATCTTTGGTGAAATGGAGTGTCCACTCCCTTTGGCTTGCTTTCAGTTCTAGTTGAAGGGCCTATAGAAGTATGTTTGCAGTCTCACAAAAATGACAGAAGGGGGAGGGGGGGAAGTGGCAGAGAAGAGGAAGTTGGGGGGAACTGAAAGAAGATTCTTGCTGTTGTCATTGCACATCTTCAATGCCGTGCTCCCATCTGCTCTAGCAAACAGCGTGCACTACGGGGCTCTGTCACCACCATGCTCTGCCCTTCCTCGCTGTTCTCCCTTTGGTATCAAGTCCTGTCTTCCTCTGCAGAGTGGGGAGCTCAGGTGTCACAGCCTGATTGTGGAGGAGATATTTGTCCCTTGCTCGAACTTGTGTACCTGTGCCTGTCTGCCAGCTCAGCTCTCTCACTGCAGCTTGCTGCTTGTGGAACTGTGGCACTTCACCACAGCCCAGAAGGGCCAAATGCATGGACAGGAAACAGGGGCCTGATGCTCCATGGGAGTCAGACAAAATTTACTGAAGTACATAAACTACATTTTGAAAAGTGGGATGTTGGAGTAAAATAATTTCATAGATCCTGTTGCCATGTTTCTTAACCAAAAATGCTTTCCATAAACTCAGGCCCCTGATTCAATGTGGCAGTGTAGGCTATGCGAACCTCAACTTGTGATTTTGCCAAAAATTGGAATTTGAGGGATCTGGTTCCACAGGCAAGCTCATTATTGCATTAATCCAGGATCGTACAGTGTAGCTCCACTAATATCTGCAGAATTAGGGCATTTCTTCTTCCCTCTGCTTTTAGTTTTCAGCTTGGAGACCTCTGAGAACTAAGTGAAAAGACTGATGCACACATAGGCCATGTGTGTTTTCATTTTTAAATGTTTGGCCAGAACTGTTTGTTTAGTATCATATTAGTGTCACACATAAAGTATCTATTCTGAGGGGAATTAGTGGAAATTACTTCTTCCTTGTAGTTGTACAACTTCTGGAGTCCCAGGCATGTTGCTGGTGAGGGCTGCTGAGACTCTTTGGTGATATCCCTATAGAAGCTCCACTCAAATTAGGGAGGCTCAGTGAAGAGGGATTGCTAGCTGCCACATACTTTTATCTACATTGCATAAAATCCAACATTTGTGCTTCTGTGCAATGGTAATTGGTCCTTTACACTAAAAAAAGAGAAATTTCTTCTGGTAAATTGATGGTATCATCTTCTTGAACAATTGTGGAATGATCAGCAACTGAAAAAAACCTATTTCATGTCATATACCATGATGAGACCTGTACACAAGTCTTCCCACAAATTACTGTGACTGGAGTTATGAGTAAATAGCCTGCTTAGACACCTTAGACACATCTTAGTATAAAAGGGCGGTGGAAAGGAAGCACTTCACTTCTTTTGTGAATTAAAACAATTTAGCACTAAGAAATGGCATTTCTAAAACAGATTACTGAAGGTGACAATAGCCAAACCACACGCACAATTTCTCAACAGGCTTCTATACACATGAGCTAGGTGAAAAATAAATCACTTTGGCTTGCTGGATCTGCGAAGAAGTGAGGGTTCTAGTTTTGCAGTATAGGGTTGTGTAGGACTGTGTGCTGGTTCCCGTGGATTTTTTAAGCAGGAGGTGTATGGAGGACAGCAGCAGAGAGTGTGACACAAAAAACTTTAGAGGACTTCCCCTTTCCTGAGAACTTGTGAACCCCTACATAGAGATTGAAGAATTCAAGGACTGAGTGCTGAGTATTAAAGATCCCTAGCTACTTAACTTCCATTGATTGTGACAGCTTCAGCACTTTGAGTGTGGGCCCAAGCTGTGAAGAAAGGTACAAAGTGGAGGCAGACTATGGAGCTGGACTCTACTTTCTAACTTGTTCGCCACTTGGTTTTATGCCAGTGCTGTGCTGGGCTCTGCAGTGTTGATAACAATAGTGAGATGCTGCTATATAAAGTACAGGTGAAGATTGCACATGGTACTTAGAGGTGGGGGTTTTATCTTTGGTGAGTGAGGATTTCTCAGTGAATTTTACATAAAGATTTAAGTTTTAAACAGAACTTGAAGCTCAAACTGAAAGGGAAAACACCTTACAAGTTGCAGGTGTAAACTGTGCATGGCCTTGACATGAGTAAGCCACAGTGCAGATGACATAAATTTTTCATCTGTCATGAGGCAAAAGCTGTGTTGCCCGTGCTGGGAGTTGTACAAGGAAAGTATTGCCCAGGTCTGTGTAAATATTTTTCTAATAATTCTTTCTACATGGTAAATTAAGTCAGTTATTCTCAAATGAGTGTTTATCCCTAGGAAAGAATTAAATCTGTATTTTAACATCATAAAGACATGAAGGCATGTTAACTAAGAGATAGTGGTGGTAATTCAATGGTTGCTCAGAAAAGGTACCATAATAATGTGTGAGCCATTGCTGGTGTGACACAAATACATAACACAGCAGATAAGCATGTTACTAATGTGGATAGCTCTCTGAAAATATGCTGAATTCCCAGAATACGGCAGTGACTGGAGCCACAGGTATCTGTACATATACATGTCAATCATCTCATATGACTGCATATGTTCACAGTGCAGAATGATGTGCAAACATATGCAATGACCTGAGACCATGTAAGCTGGGGTCAAACCCTGCCCCTGTTCTATAGGAAAAGGATTGCTTTCCTGATGAGCACTCTGCTTTTCTCAGCTTTAAATATTTGCACAGTGATGACCTATTTCATGTGCTTAAAGGTAGTTGATGCTGGGCAGCAGCAACTTTCTCTGTTAGCAACTGCCTACAAGATTTTAAAATGACATGTCCTTGCCTTTGCTGGCTGTGGTGGCCCTGAGGAGGGCAATGTGAATTAGGCAAAGGCAGCAGAGGTGCAGCTCTGGTACCTGAGAAAGATGTCAAGCTATCACATCTTCTTTTTTAAAGCATTTCAGTTGAGCAAAATTTACTGGGCAATCAGTTTTAAAACAACCGGCCAGCTCATTTAAAAAAAACCAAACCCAATTCCTATAGATATTTATGTGACAAAAAAAGTAAGGGCAATAAAAGAGAGGTGGTCATTAACCAAGACAAAGAGAAAGAGCAAGCTCAGGTTGCAGTGCAGAGAGGCTGGTTTGCTCAAGGTTCAAAGGTTTGGTTCAACAGTAAAGCTGTCAGTACTCTGCCATGCATAAGGTTATAGAGCTAAAAGTAAGGATTTGAATGAGGTACACGTGTGAATATACACGTGTGAATACACACGTGCATCCAAGGACAACTACTGCTACTGACTGAGGTGCTTCCTCATTCACAAGCAGAAAGCAGAAAAGCCAGTGTAGCAAGGACATGAGTGGGGTGTGCCGTGTAGGGAATTCCCCTTCTGAAGCTCAGGACAGGCTGATGCCAGCCCCTTTTCCTCAGACTGTTCTGGCAGACTTCTCCTTTGGGCTAAAAGCTTGCTTTATGAGGTCTGAAGGTATCGTGTCATGAGCCATGAAACAGGCCACACAGGACCTATGAAATAGTGATATTGCACTTTTATTATTCTATGTCTTTTGAGCTTACTGATGTCTATAGCTAAACTAGCAGAAAAATTTCTGAGAATCTGATGAACCAACTGATTTTAATTTATCTATATTTTGAAGGTGCATCAGAAAGCTTTGGCTTGTGGTTGTGGTCACTGAAGTGGCCATGGGCCACCCTCCTCACCTGGTTAGCATTTTATACACACAAGGAAAAGGAAGAGCAGCACATGCTGAACTTTGTTCTGTAAATTACTCGGTAAATAATTGCTGCTTCAAATATTCCTTCTCCCCTCCTTCTAAATTACATTTCTGGAATTATTCAAAGTTACTTATGACCTTTAAGGGAGGGATCTTAATGAGTAGAGGCACTGAGGATGACAATGGGCACTTAGTGCATAATTTGAAGGACAAAGTTCAAAACAGGCCAACAGCAACATAGCATATTTACTTATTCTCATTTCCCAATGTGGTATTTGTAGTGTAAATAGTTAAAATGAAATTACATTTTAGGTCAAGATGGTGGCTAATGAAGTAACACTAGGTTATACTGTGTTCATGAGTTTGAGGGAGGTGGTGGTAATGGTATTGGCACTCTTAAAGCTTTTCTTTCTGATTTACAGAAGAATTTTGTATTGCAACCACAATGCAACCATAGTGTTTCCTAGATTCTAGGATCTCTTCTGTAGTCCTGAATGATTTCACTCATACTGCTATAAATTTATTTCCCCTACATAATATAGGGATTTGCATTAGTTTTAGATCAGTACAGCAAGGACCTGCATCCACTCAATGCATTTATAATGAAAACCATCAGAGGTGGCTGCTTTGAACATTGTTTATAATTCTGATTTCTGTTGTTGCCTAATTAATGCCGAATATAAACTAAACAGTATAAATGCCAAATAAAAACTTTAATAAAAAGTGTGACCACACTTTCACTCTGCCTAAAGATGTATAAGAATGACATGGCAACAGAAATCAAACTATGCTACTACTCTCCCAAATTCCAAAGCATAATATAACCTGTTCCTGAGGAAGTATTAAGACTGTTGGGGGAAAACTGACAATTGAAAACACTGTTAAATTAATAATTCATAAAGACAGATTAGGTGATAGAAAATAGCTTGTTTTGCAGAATTTTTATGTCCTTTAAACAATTTAGCAAAAGAAACTTTTTAAATCAAGAGAAACAGCATGACTGGCACTACAGAAAGTTATGGGACAAATACTCCCTGCACAAGACTAGCATGTGACAAATGGGAAGTAGGCAATGGAGGGAAAAGGCAGGAGGATAGTGTCAGAGCCTTTGTAAACAAAGCAGCTTGGGAGATGGCTGTTCAGTGGAGCTTCTTGGCTCCCTCTGTTTTTCCAGGTTTAAGATGCTAAAAGCAGTGAGTTTTGCAAAATCCAGGCCTTACATAAAGAGATGATCTTGTTAGGATGCTTTGGAGCATGGACTGAAGCTGTATATTTAGTTGGCATGCACATTTTAAAAGCCTTGGGAGAAGAGCATTAAGGAGTCACCCAAAATTAAAATCAACTAATTTTCAACAAGTTATCAACAAGTGATATAGCATGGGAGTATGGGATGAAATGTCCCAAGAGCTGTGACATAACTTGTGCAGCAAGGTAACCCCTTGCTTTGTATAGTGTGAAAAGCATCACATATGCATTTGACAACACAACAGTCAATCCTTCCCCTTCTCCTCCCTTTTACTAATAACAGCAAATTGCAATAGTCCCAGTAGGAGTGCTGCATGGAGGGGGATGTACCTCCATGAGGATCTGTCCTTTTCTATTTACAGCAGCAGACAAGAAATGAGAGAGAAACAAGAAATATACCTCCCTTTCACACCATTTTCCATCTTGCTTCAGCTCCAAGTGGAGTGATAGGCTGCCTTTAACAAAGGTGATAAGGTTGTTTCTGGCTACAGCAGCTCTACATAATCAAACATAAATTTCCAGTAGAATAACAGCTGCAGTGGTGCTTAAACTGGAACACTTTGCTTAATTGAATGCTGGATACTGGCACATGCTGGTATTTGCTGTGGTGTGTCTTCCCCACAGCTTCACTGGAAAGAGCAAAACAAACTTCTCTTTTGCCCTTAGAGGGAATTAGACATATAGAAAAATGCTCAGCTGTAGGCATAGGTGAAGAGGCAGCCAGGGTGGTGTTGCCGAGAGGGCAGCTTGACAGTGCCATTTCTCTTTGACCAATACTCCGTAAGAGCAATGAAAGGATCAATAGCCTGTGCTTGGTTCACCCATTTTAGACCTGGGATTTTTTAGCTACTCCAAATAGGACTACAAAGGCTCTTTTTGGAGCAAAATAAATTTCCACCTTCTCTAGTGAGTGACACATTTAGTTACTACAACAATCTTTAGTTGGCTACCCTCCCTCATGGCAATTTTTGAAGGGAAGATGTTACCCTAAAAAATGTCACCTTCTTACTTGTCCTACAGCCTCACCTTTTCACTGACTTTGATTTATTTATTTATTTTCTAAGTTAAATAGGTTTACTAACCTGGTTTGACACCCACATGACAGTTGCACTCACAGCTAATTTCAAGCGTGGAAGTTCTGCTGCAGTTTCTGGTGGCTTCCACTGCTGCAAATTTGAATTAAAACGAAGGCTATGAAATGCACCTCTTCTGGTAGGAGCCTGATTTAGGGATAGGTTCTGGGTTCTGGGGCCATGCCAGATCCTCTAAACAGACTCATGCTTTGCCTCCTTTGCTGGTGTGAGTGATGGAAACACAATCTCAGGTGGACAGACAATATAAATAATTTCTCACCAACAAACAGGCAATTAATGAACCCCAAGTACTTCTTTGCTGTATATCTTGAATGTCTTCTGCCTTTTGCAACAGAGCACAGCTTGGTTTAAATTATGATATCGTAAACTCGGCCCACTCTTCCCAGCCATTCCCGTACTGCCTGGCGGACACGGATATCTGTCACATGGCAAGTCAGCTGGCTGATACAGGGAAACACTGCTGGCTGCAGGGCTGTGAAGGTTTGGTCTGGCAGAGCCTGAATCTGGTTGAGAACTGTCAGCACCATGTTGGTCCATGCCTATGAAGAAATTGGATATAAAAAAACCTCTTTAGGAGACATTTCTAAATAGGTGAGCCCAGTGGTTGAGGCAGAAAATAAGGTATCTGGTGGCTGCAGTCTCATGAAGCAGACTGAGTAATGCCAGAATATTAATTTAATGTTCCTAAATCTCTTGGCTTTGTATTGCAGGTATCATCCTCACCCTTTCCTTTTTTTGTCTCACAGTGAACAAAATCTGTAAAGTTTGATGCTTTCACCGATTTGTTCACTTGGACACACAAACAGAAAGCTTCCGTTTAGCAAAAGAACCCATTATTTTTCTCTGGAATTAACAAAAAACCCCATTCTTAAGTACAAAAGCAATGTGACAAACAACATGGCATTTTCAAAAGCCTTCAGTGGGCTACAGCCCATAGCAGTAAGCAATGAGTTTGCTGTAGGTTGTCAGTTTGCAGGATTAAGGGCAGCCTTGGCTCCAGTTATAGAAGCACTCTTGAAAGCTGAGCTAGTATATGCCTGATGACACTTCTCTGAAGACTGACTTTCTTTTAATAGGGCAGAACCAGGTTTTTATTAATTCCAGCTCCTAAAGATTCAGTCTTCATCATGAGGACTTCATTATATTATACAATATTCAACAAAAAGACTATAATAATGTCAAAAAACATATAGGTATATTTTTATTTATTGCTATTATTATTAGCCTTCTACAAGAATGTCCTACCTGTATCTGGGCTTCTGCATCCCTAATAGATATATTCAGGGAGCTGACTGTGGACCCTGAACGGGGTCTCTTCTCTTGTCTCAGGATCTCTGGACCAGCACTGAATGAATGCCTCATTTGACCTTGATCTAGAAGATGCTGTGGCCGCTGGAGCACAGGTGAGTCTGGCCCTCTTGAACCCAGGAGCTCCCCTTTCTTTTCCACTTTGACCTCTTTGGTGAATGATGTCATGACCTGTTGCTGCTTTCTCTTCTTGTATTCTGTCATAAACTTGGAGATGGTTTTGTCAGTGGCTATGGTGTAGATTTTGTTGCCAGCACTTTCCCACCATTCTTTTTTCTTGGTTTGCTCTTTCTTTTCTGGTTTAGGACTCAGGGGTGGGGGTAACAGCAATATTTCTCCACTCCCTCCTCGAGGTGTCAAGCTGTCTCCCAGTTGGTCCCTGATTTGACTTCGGTCATCTTCTGATGGTGTGTCCTTTCCAGACAGCCCTCCGGTTGATGGGGTAGAGGTTTCTGAGTGAAAAGATGGTAAAATGAAGAAAGAGTCACCTTTGAAAACTGGAGGCTCCTCTACATTGTTCTCCAGGTCCAGATGCATTTGGATGTAGTTGTTGCACAGTTCCATGCAGAGCTTGTGAAGCCGTTTGATCAGCCACCCCCAGTCGGCATTGCTGACTGGCTGGACGCTCAAAGATGGGATTCGAGCCCTCCACTGCCTCTTCTCCTTCCCTCGTGGGGGACTGACCTGGGCAGTTTCTTCAAAAATGTCTTCATCTTCTGAAGAACACTGCTGTGATGAGTCCGTGCTCCTTTCATCATCTTCAAAGAGGATCTTTTTCACTTGCTCTGCAGTGATGTTCTCCTGGTTTGTCAGGATTGCGCAAACCAAAGCATGGAAGTAGATGTTGAAGCTCATTGCTGACTGGCGATACAAGTTGGCAGCTCCACCAATGCCAGACACTTTTTTCAACAAACACTTCAGCCCAGGTCTGGTGTCAAACTCTCTGGCTGTTCTGTAGGAGTCCAGGAGTAAGTCAAAGATGACAGCCAGGTTTTGCATGGAGATGTACCTGAGAAAACCAGCCAACTTGTTTTCTGGTACTTGTATTGCCATTTTCTCCTCCAAGTTAGAAGGGCCTTTCACAAATTCTTCCAGCAAGATGTCATATAAATTCTGCAGCAGTACTTGGTGGGACAGCAAGCTCACCACTATTGTCCTAAAAGGAATACTTGGTAAACCAAGCATGGGAAGGAAAAAAATCATAGAATATTAAAATGGTGCATTGTGCTTGTACTAAGAATAAAAGCACACTCAGGTATTTCAGCCTGCTACATCTGAGGAATTTATTAACACACAAATTATTCCTCCACCCACATGCCAGACAACCTTTATTTTGCCATGACAAACTGGGGCCAAAACTAGTTTACTACTCAGTTTCCATTTCCACTAATACCCAGGAGTACTTAAAAATAAACCATGAAGAGGTATCCAACCAATAAAGAAACATGTACAGAAACATCAGCAGCGCAATGCAGCATGCAAAGAAGCTGAAGTCTGGCTGAAGGCACATTTCACTGCTTGCTTTTAAAGACTTCAGCTTGAGCACTGACAGTCTAGCATGGATATATCTATTCCTAACCCTATTCCTCACATAACAATAATGGGTGCTCCCATTAGAGAGATGCTAGGAGCTGTTTTAGCCCTCACTGATTTTTGATTTGCACAGCAGACACAGGAATGGCAAATGCCTCGCACCAAAGTTTTCAGGTCTTTCACCAGTAAACAACACTGAGAGGCTTACACACAAGCAAGGCTTGGAAAAAAGTCAGGATTGTTGTTTGGTGTCTCATGGATTTCAAATTATAAACTGTTAAACCTAATTTAAGGTCTTTTAGAAGGTCTTTATGTAAGTGTACAGGGCAATGTTCTAAAATGAAGCTGATACACATAATAATACTTGGTTTGATGTGGTGGGTCAAGTTTTAATTAGCACAGCTATCAAGTAAGGAAGAGATTTTTTAGTTTGCTTGCAATACTGAAGTTTTAGGCCTGAGTCAAAGCAAATCTTCAAGTAACATGAGAAGTTCAGCTGCAGAGCTTTGACATTTTTTGTTGCAAAAATTATTCTGCTTTCCTTAAACAACTTTCAAGTGTTTGGGAATACCAAGACAAAAAGCCTTTTTTTTTTTTTTTTTTGAGAAATCCTATCAAAACCCAATTTTGAGAATACAACATTTTAAAAAAGTTCAAGCAAAACTGTTATTCAGTAACATTCCCTGTGTCACTCTGCCTACCATGACACAGCTGATACATCAGTAAAATTTAGTAGTCTTATTATTTGACAGTGATAAAATGTTAATGATTAGCACATACAGCTGAGCTCTTTATGGGGAAGTAGTTTTTTGCTGTAAAAATCATTAGAGGCTCTGACTCAAAAAAGCTCTTAAGAGCATGTATAAAGTTAAATGAGAGCTTGCAGTGATTTCAAGGAACTAATCCTGTTCCAAAAGCAGGGTCAGGAATGAAGGAGATCTGCTTTCCTTGTAATAGCCAAAAAAGCAATTTACAAGGACAGTGTAAAGTACTGCTCAATCCCAAAAGAAACTGGTAGAGAACTACAGGTGAAAACACAGTGCCAAAGCTGGCTAAGGATAATATTTTCTTATTCTGCCCAAAGTTTCAAACTGAAATATGTAATTACTTTTCAGGAACAAGAAAAGCTCCCTTACCCCAGCTTCCTGTGAAACGATGCAGCATTAGGGAAACAAAACCAAAAGGGAGAAGTGAAACCCTGCTAAGGTTAAAGTAAAACTTTGGAAAGGCCACATTTACTATCATGCATGATTGCCATATTACTGCATTGCTGTAGCAAATAATATGAAAACAGTAGCACAGTCAACTTGTGAGCTGTGTTTTGGTGAAAAAATAAGCATTGCTGGGATAACACTTGGCTATGGGCATATACACCTTCAACAGTTGGTTGGACAAAGACCAGTGTGAAAGCATTCAGAGTTTGCATTAATTGCAAGCTTTATTTATTTGTTTAAAGACAAGCAAGACCCTTGCTACCCTTACAAATACAGCCTGTTAGACTGCATGGCTTTACATGCTATGAGAGGTGAATATTCCAGTTTTTTGCTTTGCATTCATAGTAACAAGAAGAATGACCTGCTAACCTTTGGATAAAGTAGATCTATTCCCCTATAAAGGAATGGTTTAACCTGTGACCTCAAGCTTTCTTTGTCTCTGTACGGGGCCCTGTTCTCTGATAGTGAGGCAACAGAGAGCTGCTCTGGGGAGAAAACTTCCATACAGCAGTATAAGAACAGAGACATCTTGCACAGTCTTCCTTCCTGTCCATCACATTCTGGCTCCTTGTTGCAAGCAATAGTTTAAATGTGAATGGTATAAAGCCATATTTGGTATCTTGTAAAAGACAATTTCATGCCATTACATACCTTGCAATACAAATACAAACCCTGAATGCAGAAATCTGGTTCTTGGCCCAAATGATGGTACAGCAGTTGTTTAAACAACCACATGCAAGCAAAAGGAAATATTCTTTCACAGGATCAGACTGTAGTGCAAATAGATGAGTTTCTCAGCTGGTAACATAACAGAAAGACTTCCACAAAAATAATGTACCAAGCAAAACCAACATTCCCTAGCTCAATGTTGACAGCTTTGCAGTTTTGGATGTGGTCTCTTCAGTTTATAAAGCCCCGGTTCACCCATTACCTTTTTCTACCTTCTTAACCAAGTAATACTGAATTTAAAAGACCCTTAGTGAAGCAGACATTGCATTTGCTAGGTATCACTAAAACCGCAACAATGTCACAAAACCTAATTTGGTCAGTGTATTCGTTTTTGCTGATGAGCCCTATGGAGAGGTACAATTTACCAGGCTCAGTTCACATCTCTTCCTGTTCAGCAATACTTTTATCTTGCTTTTCGTGACACAATGTCTTCCTTGGAAGATATTTTACCTTCTCTGGTTATGCCCATTTGGTTTCTTATCTGGTGGCAGGTCAATGATGAGCACACACGACTGGGCATGTTCAAACCCTTCCTTGTTGCTAGGGGTTTTTGGGGAGCACTGAGTCTCCAGCATGAAGACCTAGAAAACAACAAGTTACATAAAACAATCAGTTTAGCCCTTGCAGTGGGTCTGGGGAGGGGAGGGTCTGGGAATAGAATTTCCTGCAGTGTGAAATATCTCATTTTGTATTATTTTACAGACAGAGAGAATACAAGGTATCCCCCCAGGCAGACCTTTACTGGAGTATGCTGCTTTGGTAAAACAGCAATGGGCTGCCTCCAGACACCCAGCAGGGTATAGGGCAAAGGACAGATATATTTTTTCTTTGAACCTGTATAAGGGAGAACACCAAATGCCAAATCAAGCTTTCTGCTGTCTGTATGCGTCTATCTGAAAACACCATGTATGCTGGAGACAAGGACCTGTTTGCACAGTTAGCCAGTTGCATCTAGTAAGATTGGTTGTTGGAAGCCTTATTTTCAGCCAACAGACACCTAATATGCAATCCTTTGGGGGTATGTTGTGATTTAACCACAAACAGCAACTAAATACCAAGCAGCCTCTGGCCAGCCTCCATCAGCTGCCCTGGCCATGCTCCCTGCCAGGCTTCTCATGTCCCTCCTTAGTGGCAGAGGATGGAAAACTGAATGGTCCTTGACCTAGTGTAAGCACTACTCAGAAACAACTAGAACATCAGTGTGTTACCAACATTATTCTCATACAAAATTCAAACCACAGCACTGTACCAACTACTAGGAAGAAAATTAACTCCATCCCAACCAAAATCAGTTCAGTAGGAAAGAGGGAAACTCTCAATTGCTGTAGCTTCATAGTTGTAGCAAATCCTCACTGCGGAGGACTCCGGAAGTGCCACTGATAGGGTCTACAAGGAAAGTGTTAATGTTACATTCCCTGCTTTCTTGAGTTCTGCGTCTTTAAGACTTATTTGAAAACACATTTTCTATTCAAACAACCACTACCACATTATTTGTGATCACCAGTCCCGGTCTGTGTGTCTCAGATTTTCAAGCAGCATCAGAGTATGATTGATCAAGTCAGAACATCTGCTGCCTGTTTTAACCTATCTGCTTTCCTATGCCGAAACTGTCATATGGTATTTACAGTTTTATGGTACCCTGCAGGTCATTAAGTTCAGTCTGCTGTACTTCAAAGAACTTGTTTCATATAACCACTTTCATAGAATGAATAACCTTCATTGTAGTCAAAGGGACCCTAGGAAGGTTCCAAGTTTACTCTGCTGATTCTGATTAGGAAGTTAGTGAATCATTTGTTGAATGTCAGCATTATCCTCTAGTTCCCAGTAACCCTTTTTCTTCTATGCAATCTATACCTAGATATTTATAGAGAAAAATGCTTATATAGGTTAATCAAATCTTGTTTTCCTATTTTCATACCACCATCTCTGTTCTAGTGCAATTTTTGTCCTTTGAATTTATCATTCCTTAACAGAATATTCACAAATCTATGTGACATTCTTGATGAGGATTTACAGTGACATTACTATTTCCCTTTCTCTATCAGAAACATCTCCGGTGATGTATGCTATCCTGGCAATTTTAAAAATTACATTACACAGTAGGCTCATTGTCAATCCTCTTTAGATAACTATGTATTTTTCCCACCCAAAGCATTTCAAATTCCTGTTTACAGGGCAACAGTTCTGAGGTTTTCTTTTTTTTCCTAGTTTTTGGATTTAGAGTACTTAATTTTTCTGAATACTAATATAAGACAATTGATGTTAGCCTGGTGATGAGAAAGTCTTTTCCTGTAGGGCTTGTGAGGAAGATGGTGGAAAAAAATACATCTTCATAAAGAAAAGCTCCAAGTTTAAAAGGTTTTCTGACTTCCCCTGAAACATCTGCCTGTACCTGCTGTGCCATGGCTCTGATCCTCCAGTACTCAGCTTCAGCACTTGGCGAGAGGGAGGGGGCTGCCACCTTCACTTCACAGGCATCTCCACTAAAGCTTTCAGTACCACTGTGGAAATAGCCCAACAGGTTCTATAGAGAGACACAACGTCAGAATTTCACTGTGTGTTAAACAAATGTCTCTAGGCATGTCCTGCCTGTTTGTGTGAAATACAAGATTCAGTGACCTTTGCCATCAGCTGGTCACATGCCATCTAGTAATTAATATATCCAATGTTAAGGCAGCTTTTAATGGATGCGGGTCTGCAAAGACTTCACAGGAAATTTTGACCTATTGAACTCTTCTGATTTCATACTGGCAAGGAAATTTAAAAGAAGTCTGAACTGAAAGCTACTAGTGTGGTCTGTATACAGTTAGAAAAATTGATTTCAATCTCCACTATTGATCCAACATGTTTAATTGTGAATTGACAAATTAACAACTTGTCAAAAGTTAGTGCATCCAGTGTGTGATTACATTTTGACTGACAGCAAAATGGCAGTTTTACCTTTACTGGCTCCAGAGTGGCAGAGAATGCATCCTGCAAGGCACAACATGCAAGCCTCCACATCTCTTCAGTAAAAACAGGCCCTGCTGTCACCAACACATACCTGCAAGGACACAGGAAAATGTTACCAACGTTCAAGAAGGAACTACACAATTCTTACTCCTAAAGGGAGAAGGTTGAAAATCCCCATCTTTGGAAGTGTCCAAAGCCAAACTGGATGGGGTTTTGAGCAACTTGGTCTAGTGGAAAGTGTCTCTGTCCATGGCAGGGGAGTTGAAACTAAGTGATCTTTAAGGTCCCTTCCAACTCAAACATTTCTATGTATCTATGAAAACAGAACAAAAGGCATACTCAGTAAGTAAGCTAAGTCAGTAAGATTGGATAACATTAGCTAGCTAATGTTATCCAATCTCCTCAGTTGTTACCCTGACCTATTTTTGTAATTACACTATAGTTTTGACTTTTTTTTCTCCTTTGCTTTTCCTCTTTAAGTAGACATCTTGCCACAAGAACCACATATGTAATTGCATAAATGCAGTTCTTATTTTGATTCTGACTATAATAGCCTCAAGACTGAGAAAGGTTCTAATTATCTCTAAAGACCTGTGAATGCCAGGAGAAGACCCTTTTTCTTAAGGATCAATTATTGACTAACTATATATAAGTAATGTGCAAGTGGGTTTTTTTGAGACTCATACACATAGTAATGCCTAAAATCACAGGTTCTGAAGCACACTGAAAACAGCAAGAAAAGGTTAATAAGTCTAAAATCCATTATTCCACTAAAAAGACCTAAGACGTATTGTAGACTTCTTCTGAGATGTTAACCAACTTATCAGTCCCCAAGTTCTTCAAAGACATAGACATATTTTTTGAATGTGCTAAGAGTGAACAGACTGGGTTACCTGATACAGGAGCAGCCAACTCTGGAAATAATTTCTGTTGGTTCTGCTACACAGGCTACCAGTAACTTGAAAAGATCTTTCAACATAGAATTGATCATATTTTCATAACCAATATCTATAAGGAAAAAACACAGACTGGTTTTAACATCATTGCCTTTTCATTATAATTAGAGATAAACATGGCAACACTACACTTACTGCTATTCAGAGAATTTGCAAAACCAAATGCTTTTTATGCTGCTATTGAAACATGCATCACATCAAGCTGAAAGAAGAACAATCCTTTTTAAGTTAACAATATAAAAGGTCTGGACTGAAGTGGTACAAGAAAAATTATCTTAGATCCTATTTCTGATATTCTAGTTCCTTATGATCAAAGTCTTTGTATCTTCTTTTGGGAATATACTGAAGATTATGATATTTTAATTTTGAAGATAGCCTTGCTCTGAGAAGCATCCTGGTCTAAATAATTTCTATAAGTGTCTTACAATTTTTTTCCCCATGCAATTTTTTCCCCATAATTCTAAACCCTATAAAAAAAAAAAAAGTCCCAATCAGAAATTTTTAACTCTCCTCCTATTTTATGCTTCAGCAACCAAAAAAGCAATGAGACCACCTCCTCAAGTAGCTATTCAGCAACATGTCACTGATGACAGTAGATATGACACTACAATACCTGAGTGTATGAAATTCTGAATGTGCTCCACCACAAGTTCACTGGAAAGGCCAATGGCATGCTTGAAATTAGAAGACGCCACATCCCAGTAAGAGTGGTCACCATGGCTGCGATGGAGCCAAAGAGACATCGTGGGAAGAAGAAGATGTACAACTGCATAAATGCCAAATCCTGGTCCTTAAAATAAAGACAATAATGGTTGTATGTACTTGCTTACAAAGCCTACAGTAAATTTTACAATAAATTTGCTAACTTGTTCCAAGCTGAAGCTTGAGGTAATGCTGAAGTAAAAAGGTTCTGAAACTTTTTTGTGGGATGAGAGTGGTAAAATGTCGATGTAGTTATGAGATACATTTAGCCAAGTGTTTACCTGCAGTGTTTCCCAGCAGATTTGCAGGATTATGTAATTTTCTCTTCCATTTGCTAGACACGAAACAAACATTTTCTGTGGCTGGGACACCAATAGAGTACCACACTCTTTACTGTGCAGTGAATTTAAGCATGTTTTCAATATGCTCTTACAAGATGCCTGTTGTCAACAGAATGATAGACTAACTGGAACAACTTATCAGCCCTTTGTAGCAGAGAATGTGTCTGTGCAGCTTTAACACAAGTAACAGACTGTAGAGAAATGGCTTAGGAGTCTAAACAGTTTGGTTAGGACTCCACTAGCTCACATTTTATCAAGTCCTTTCATTACCAGGTGTCTTGGCAACGTCCCTTAGCAACTCAAAGAGCAGATCCAAAGTAGGAGGCTGGTGCTGACGGGGACAGTTGGATATGGCAGTTGTTAATTCTTCCAGCAGAATAATCCAGACATTGATAAGGCCTACAAGTAAAGAAAGAAAGATTAAAAACCATGAGCAAGATACTGCTTAACACAGGTCAAACTTGCCCTCAGAAATGATGGAAATTAATAAATTAAGTAACTTAAAGATTATGGTTCTTGCATGTTTACTGTTGCCATGTAATGGTTGTGGGCAATAGTAATTTTTGAAATGATGGTTTCCTTTTCCTTCCCTTTATCAAGTTTGTGTTTTGTACCATCCTTTGTCATCAATACACACCTTGTTCTGGTCACACTTTACTATTCCTATTAGCTCAGTCTCTTTAACCTTGTGTAAAACATCCCACAAAAATACATAAATAAAACCTCATCTCATTACCATTGCAAATGCTGCCCAGAATAGATTGTACTCCTTTAGGTTATGCCTTAAAGTAAGGCTCCTGAGGAGATTAGCCATAATTTAACTGGCTCTATTTGGTACTCAGTACTCAGGACTGAACAGTAAAAATGTCTCATGAGGTATGATCAGGGTGCCTCACACATCATCTTTAGATGTTGAAGAGGTCACAGAGCTGGTCAACTGCCAGAACAGCAGATATAACACAGGTGAGTTCTTGTCTACACTGGCAAACAGGTATCCCCTAAAAGATTACAGGATACAAGGAGTATTCAGTACTATTTTGAAGATGGTTAGGAATTGCCACCCTTTAATTTTTCATAGATCCTTTAAGCATTTGCTAGTTCCCCATGATAACATGAACAACTAGAAGGATCTTGCATATTACACTCCTAAGTTTCTGTTTCCTTCCAGTGGCAGCTTCCAGTGGTGTGATTCAAAGCAGAGGCTTCAATGACTTGGGTCTCCTACATCCTAGGTGAATATCCTAGAATCCCCTGAGAGAGAAAAAGCAAACCAAACCCAGCATAGAAAGAAGTAAAAGGTTGTTTTGTGAAAAACTAGGACTTGTGACTTTCTGGTTTCAAAGAGCAGCTTTTCTCTCCTTTATTCAGGGCAGCAGGAACAGGACAATCCATGTGGTGGAAGAGTCTAGATAAAAGTAGGTACCAAGAGCCAGTCTGGTGAGGCACACGAATGAAATGCATTGGAGTCAGCCTGCTTTTTGCCAGGTTGCAGCTGACTCTTCAGAGAGGCAGCCTGGCTGGAACAGCTCAGTAGTCCACATATTCAGAAGTGACTGTGAAGCAAGGGGTTAAGTTAGAAATGTAGCTAGTAAGACAAAGGCCATATATTTTGATTAAGGGCTTAACAAGGGGATTAGGAAAAAAGTAATTATTACCAGATGGGGAAAATTGAAGCAAAGACAATATATCATGTATTTGACTTAGCCGTATTCTTAGAAATGACAGGGAATATATGAAGTATTGTAAAACGGTAGGAACCATAAATACACCTGGCTTCTAGGAATGATTTGGCCCAGGATAAGGAGTTTGGACCATGACCAAGGGGTCAAGAAGTTTTGGCAACCAGATAAAGGTGAAGAGTTTACCACGAGGAAGACCTCTTACTTCATCTTCAGAAGCCTGCTGACCCAATTAAAGAAGATGATTGTGCAGTCGTAATGAACATTCAGCTCATTGAAATACAAAACAGGAGGAGCAGGTGATGCAGAGGTTGGATGTCTTTATGAATATGCAGAGCTTTTGTAGATATAGGGAGAAGCTAGAGTTTTGGAAATTTGCATGTCTTTAGAGGACATGTCCAGTGTGCTGAATAAACATGCCACTTTTCAATTTTAATTAGTTGAAGAATCAACTGTACTGCTGTGAAGGTGTCCTGAGCCTGGAAGCCATAAGGCTGCATTCCTCCACTGCTTGGCTCTGTATGTTCTAGTTCATCCAACACCTGATTAATCCACAGCCCATAAAAACCATACAAATAATCAGGAGACAAATACTGCCTGTTTTTTCTGGAGGTCATGCTGCTTTTTATGGATTTCAGAAATTCACTGTTTATTTCAACAGACCACAGGGCCTAAGTTTGGAAATATTTAAACAATTATTCTTTATCTTTCTAGACTGTAACTCAATACTGGTATTTTTTTCTGTTAAAGGCATGCCTGCCAATACCAACTTTAAAAGATTTTCACTCCTTTACTTCAGCTGTGGTCTAGAAAGTAGTTTTGTGTTAGCTTTCAGAACTACACAATGGTTGTATTATGAATATCAGGATAATCAAAATAATCGTTAACCAAAATATTGTTATCTTGCCCTAAGAAAGGGGCTGCATTTTTCTTATATATGAATTGTATCTTTCACATAAAGAAGGTGACAGGACCTGAACTTCCAAGCTCTGTGCACATGTGGGTGTGTGTAGACAACAAGGAAACAATAAACTATGAAGTTTTCCCTCCTTTTTGCTTTCAGCAGTTGGCAAAATTTGCAGCAACACATAAAAGAAGCAATTGATTAGTTCTGCACTTAATACTTCTAATGCACTTACCAGTGTCATCATCAAAGTCAGAAAGAATGCACTCAATCCCATCCTCACTGCTGGCTGACTGTTCCTGTGCTCTTCGGGGCAAGTTAACCAGCCGGCCACTGAGAAAGATGGGTTTCAAGGGCATTTTATAGATTTTGGCTAACAACTTGGAAGGGTAGAGAAGAGGAGAGAGAAAAGAAAAGAGAAGATAAATATCCGTAGGAGCAATTACATCCAACACAGGTACATAAAATAAAATAAAAGATATGCAAACACAACTAGAGGCCAGAAGTCTTCAGTTCACTGACAAGTAAAGAGTTGTGGGTAAAGAGAGGGAGAGCAGCAATTTAAATAATACATTTCTGAGATGGGAGTGTGGTCTCTTCTCATATGTGAAAGGCAAATGTTATAACTCACTGATTGCATCTATGACCTACAAAGCTCCATTAACTGTACTATTGCAGGGATGCTACCAGCATTTAATTAGGTCTTTACAAGTAAATAATGTTCTTGCAATATACAGACAAGATCTTTTTTTAGCCATTCCTGTTCTACTTTTACTGGCAAGTTAAAATGTATAACAAGATATAAATGGCTGCTTCTTTTAAAAAGGAGAAATTATTTCTCCACTGTGAGCTGGAGTTTGTAAGGATGAGGAACAGCAATGTGGTACAAATAGTGTATAGACAGAACATACATTAGATCTGTACACAGATATTTACTGATTTTTTTAGTTGAACAAGATAGCAAGTTGAGTTTGGTATGCCTGCTGTTTATTATTCTGAATTGCTTTATTCTTCCCTTTTTTCTCAGCCTGCATGCTGAATCCACCCATTATCTCTGAATTTAGATATTAAGTACTTTCAGTAATAACAGTATCTATTATTATGGTTTTGTATTGTACCCAAAAAAACATAGCTTGGGGCCAACAAAAAGTCCTGCAGGTACTACAGAAATATAAATAACGTTATAAAATCAGACAAAAATTGTCCAGGTAACCCTGGATAATAATATATGCTGTGTGCAAGGAGATTACAGGAAACATGACAGCATTCTAATTATTAGAGATATTTGACCTGAGCTTCAGATATGTCTGCATGGTAAAAATAAGCTGGTTCTGTGTTTCAGAGGGTACAGTCTATTGTTTTTAAAAGAAAAGAATTCTCAACTTCTTGTTTATTCTTGTTTATTTTTTCTTTTTTTTGATTATTTTTGTCTTTCATTCACAACACTGTTTATGGTAACTGTTCAAATAAGAATGATTTTAACTTTGAGTTATGTTACTATGAGGTTTTGAACATTCACATTTTCTCACTTACTCCCTGGGTCTAAGTGTTTTTATCTCCTTGGTTTTCCCACTGCTAACCGGCCTGGAAGGTATGGTATTCCCTCAGATCACCACTGTCCATTTGGCAGTGCAGGGTATCACTGTCAGGATCACCACAGACTCTGTTGGGTTCATGCAACTGATGCAAAGCCTGCAGGTTTAGAATTATTTCCCAGGCCAGGTCAGTGCCTGTATAAGATTGGTCATCATACCTGAGAACATCTCCTGAGGTAATCAAGTGCAGGAAGGCACAAGTCTGTAGATGCAGATCCTGATCCTGGCACACAGTCACCCATCTCCTTACAATCTACTTCCCCTGGGGACAGGAAAGGCAGCATTGGGAAGGACAGAATAAAATAAATAAATAGAGCATTAATTTTCTTTTCTCAGTCAGTTACAGCCTAATGTTTGAACAGAATCCAGAATTGTTTGATCTTCTTAGATGACAGCCAGGTAACCCCCACACAAACAATACAGTAATACTGGTCAGAGTTTGTACACAAATTTTTACATGAATGAATGCTTTAATAAACATATGCCTATTTCATATCTCTTTAGTAGAGTCTTTAGGAGTTCTAATAATCATATATTGTATTATCTGCCATATTGACTCTATTCCACTTTCTTCCATGGGTGTAGGAATTATTTACTTATATTCAGCATTTGCTCAATTACTGTAGTATTTTTTTCTATTAATTTGCACCCCACTGCCCCAGAAAATTCTACTACAAGTTCTTCCTATTAGTTTACTTACTGCTTAAATCTATAATTTTATATTTTGTATACTACACTTCCTTCTGCTGTCTAATGCAGGCATCAAGGTCTCACAGTTTCAACTGTATGACACATATCCTCAGGTTCTAGGGCCTGTCTATTGCTGGTATTCCCAACTTCCATTGGCAGCTGCTTCTTTCAGGCCAGCTTCACTAAGGAAATAATAAGCAGAGCAGTTCCAAGGCATCCTGCTGCAGAGCTCCTCTCTGGATAACTCCATTCACTCCATCATTTTCCCTGTCTGCCAGTCTGCCTGTCTCATCTCAGCTAAAGTTCTGTCCACCTGAGAATACTTGGCTCAAAAGCATTTTTCCAATTTAGCCAAATATTTCCCATTCAGCGCCAAATCTGAAGCATGACTAAATGCCTATCGACATGAACATTTTCTTGCCTTAAAAAGTTACTCCTCTCATAAAGAGCACAAGATAAATATTAAATTATTTTATTAGATCCTACTTTGTTCTCCTTTCACTATATTTATTTGATTTTTCTAGGCTCTTAACTATTAACTAACATAATGTATTTTAAACTTCTGTCTACTACTGAGATCAGCCAAGTCAGCCAGTGGCGTTTGAATCCTTAAATTTTACAATAAAATGCACATAGTATGGCATTGTATTTGCTGATGTTTCCCATAGTCCTATTACCTTTAATACAAGAAAAGACCTTGCTTTTTGATATGTGACCACAATGGGGTCAAAATTATCTAATGAAAGCAAGAAATGTAAAGAAATATAAGACAGATTTTTAAGCTCTCCAGAAGAAACATGAGTTCCCTCCATTGGTACTGGACATGCAAGTTTATTTCTCTTTTGTATTAATAACTATAATTACATCACAAGGTGAATTCTTCCCCCATTGAAATCAATGGTGAAATAGCTCAATAAGACAAGAGTATTATTGAAGAGTAGATCTGCTGCAGCTAGGTGCTTCATTTGAATCAAAAGGAGTTGCTTACAGACCTAGAAACCTTGTAAATTGATATTCATATAGAAACCAAAAGCCCCATTTTATCACTACTTAAAAGTTCTATAATTTACATCCACAAAAAAAACCCCAGCATTGTCACAGTTCAATAAAAAGTGTCAAATTCTAGTGACCAAGGCAAGACATGGATCACCAGCATGGGGGTAGAATGAGCCAGCACCATATGCCTTTGTTCTGAAGGCTGGTGAAGCATGACAATTACTCTGCAGGGTCACCCTGACATGCTATGCCTGGTCTCTGCTGCCCACAGTGTAAAACAGGCCCTGCTCTGTTGCAAACAATCCATGCAGTCTCTGCACAATCCCAGGCCATTTCTGCAATATTCTAGGTTTGGATGTTTTTTTCTTTTATTATTTACATGAATATAAGCAAGTCCTGGTGTAACTAAGATCAAATTAAGAAGCAGATAATAGAGAGATGCATGTTTGCTGCTATATAAACTTAAAGAACTGATAGTATTAAAAATGTTACAGAAATAATCCCTCAGTCTTGATTTATTTTATTCTTTAAAGCATTCTGGACTCAGCATCTTGAATGCCCCTCTCTTGTCTACCATGCTATGTATTACATAATTGAATTATCTTCTTCTGTGGGATATAATGACTTAATAGGAAAATATTTACCCAGTCCTTTGACAAACTTCATAAGGCACATAATATAACTGGTTGCAGCATTGGCAAAGACCTGGATGTTGTCTGTGTTTAGAAATGCTTCAAAGACATCAAACACTGGAGCCTGGCGTTTCCCTGTGGAGATTAACAAGATGAGAACTCTTCCTCACACCCTCTTAAAAATAATTTTCCAACCATTTTTCAACAATTTAACTGAATCTGTAGAATCTTTTCTATTCTGGGCAGAGACAGAAATAATCTTAAAAGTAAAACCTTCTCGTGTTCCTGGGGCAACTTGTGTAGTCTTTCATAGGAAGTGATAGACTCCCTCCTTTGCCCAGTCTATGACAAATACCAGTTTAAATGCCTGCTTAAATGGTAAGAGCAGGTTTCAGCTCTTGAACTCAGGAGCAAATACTTCTGTTTGGTGGAGGTTTCTGTTTAGTTTCTGGTTTAGTTTTTGATAACTGCCAAGATTACATCAATCATGCAGAAAACTATTCAGACTATAGAGTAACAAAATAGCCTTGATTTTCCAAAGTAGATTATTGTGTTCAAAAGCTGTGTACACCAGCATTCAGCCATCAACCATAACTGAGTTCAATGACAAAGTTTAGGAGGAAAACCACGTCCCTTTCACATGACTTGTCACATTTAAACATACCTTCTAATGGGACAAAATAACAGAAAAAATTGGTTTTCCTGTATTAACACATTTCCATACAAGGAAACATCTCTGGGAAGCATGCACATTCTTAGAGAAATGTGGTCTGTAATAGCACTAGGAATCTGAAAGCCTTGTGATCAAATGCCTGGACAAGCACTTGCCTAGATTATCACATTAAGTTACCGTGAGGTATAAGAGCATTGTATTTCATACAATAGGGAAGACAGTTCACAAGAGATATGCTGCTTGGATACAGTCCTTTCTCCAGTAGGACAGTGACAAATGCTCAGCCAAGCTCAGTACCCTTGCACTACTATCCTGCTGAGAATTATTCAAGTAGGTTTGACGCCTTTCTTTCTCATTCAAATAATTTGTTAGAATGTAGAGGACAAAAGGTCAGAACAACATGTCTGCTTTCCTTCCTACCCCAACTATTAAAGTCAGATACTTTGGTAGAGTTCTGGAGCATTGTAGTGCCACTGTTCAGTTTGGACATTTAAATATATTGGGTTAGTTACAGTGTCCCCCAGGGAATGAAAAGCATATTTGAAACAGTGCGGGAAGTCCTTACCCATAGAGTATTCTCCTACAAGGTACTCTTTGACCTCTGACTTGCTGCTGCTATGCACTGTTTCCAGGGCACTGAACAGGGGTCTCCATCCCGACTGGATCTGGGTAGAACACATTTCCACCAACTCGCCTATAGAGGTGATCACCTGCAGCCAGTGTAGGAGGGGTTAAAAGAAAAAGAACCAAAAAGCAGAACTGATATACAGATGGATCTTCAGAAGGAATGAGAATGTTTTTAAACACATTCCTAGACCTCACTATGACAATCTAGTTTAGATAGTAGAAAAATCTTTATTTAATTGCTTTAAGGCCAGGTCTACTGTCTCTGTGCTCTGCCACAATGCTCGGTAGGCAGAGCACTCCCAATTCCTTGAAGATGATTAAGGGGCAGCATTCAAAGGGAATTTAGGAAACACTTTCAGGTGGACTAAGTGCACTCTGGAAACCATTCTTATAGGCACAGAGACCAGATACAGACATACTGATCAGAGCTAACTTGCCTGGTCTTGGACGTCCTCATCACACAGCTCCAGCTGCATGATGCGCTCAAAGGGGCGGAAAAGTGCCTCATTGAAGTGAAAGTGAGAAGGCTCGTTCCAGTCCATCAGCACTTCTGTGAGAATGTCATGGATGAAGGAGACAGCCTTCTGAGACACATGTCTCTCCTTGTGACAGGCAGCCTGCAGGGAAAGGAGAAGTATTAAAGCGAAAAATTTGCTTTTAGTCAGACACTTTCAAGGGAGGTAAGCACTACATGATATTGAACCTTCAAAACAGCTTCACCACTGATGTGACCAGGGACCCCACAGTAATGAAAATAGGAAACTACCGCCCTAGAAACAGATGACTGAGACTCTGAGCTGCCTAGAAGTCCATAGATGTATGAAAGTTGGCTTTGAAAAAACACATAGAGATAAATATATAAAAAAAAGAAATTCTAAAACCCACAGATCAGAACTTGTGCGAAATGTTGTCTTTTGTTTGGACTGTGTGACCATTTTTCCTTTTCAAAGGTAGCAGCTGAGCTGGCTTTATATGGGAAAAGAAAACCTACATCCCTTTATAGGAAGAATTCCAAGGATGCAGGCATTGACACTGGAATACAGGCAGATGGAGAAGTAACTTAGAGCCACTTGGGGTGGTTTCATTTTTTCACAGGCACAATTTGCATCATATTGCAGAAGTCGAACACCTTGTCCCTGCCCAATTCAGTCACTTACAAGCACACTCCCTGGTGGCAGTATTGCAAATATGTGTATTCAGTGTATTCAACACAGAGCAGATTTGACAATGTTAAAGGTTGCTATACATTTTAAGAGCTATCAAGCCTTCTCCATCTCTCTCAGCTTTGTTGCTTTGTGCACACCTCCCCAGTTTTGTCCCCCCTTCCTACCTCTACAAGGTGAGGAGCCACCAGGCTCCAGCAGCGCATGAGGTGGAGCAATGGGCGGGATTTACTCCTTACAATTCTGAGCATGGCATCCCCAAGGCGGAATAAGTGAAGAGCACTTCTCCTGTCCTGTGTAGTTTTTACTTCACCTGCAAGAAAGTATAAGAATAAATGGAAGCTAAGCATCAGCTGCTCCTCCATTCCTAAATGCCTGAACTGGAATTAGAAATTATTGATTAAGTGCCTTATTATTGATAAGCTTTAGTGGGGGTGAGAAAAAGAAAGAAAAAACCAAAACCAATGTAAAACACAGCCTAGGCCTGTGAAGGTAAAAGGGCAGGAGATGGACCCAAGTTTAAAGGTTACTAAATATACTTTAAGAAATCACTTTCTTTGCAAACATATGAAAGACAAAGGCTTAGAAAAGCCACGCAGAAAAGTTAAGCAAGGAGTTAAATAACTGATATTAAAACCCAAAATGGTAGTTATGAAAGGTTTTGGTGACATCTACAGGAAAGATTATAAACTGCAAATTATTTAGCTTGGGTATTTAACTTTGTATCTCTTATTAAGCAAAGGATTCAAAGAACAGAATGTGAGAAAATGCTTTTCTGTTCCCTAGTCACTAACACTTGTTATTTCCTGTTGAAAGGGATTAATCTTCCATTGCTCTTACAACATTTGGAAAGACACTTCATCCTCTCATTTCAAATACACTGGTGCTTTTATCTCAACAAAAGATGCAATCAGGAGACATATCACTTTTAAAATAAAACCCAGAATAATTCCTCTATTTATATTTATATTTATTCCTCAAAATAATAACTCCTCTATTTTCATTTTAATTTCAGTATTAAAATGACAGTTGATTGACCACTACATAACATGAAAAGATGAAATATATTTATTAAAACCAGAGAAATTAATGTTGAGGTTTGGAGACAAGCAAGACCAAAAAAACCAAAATCTTGAAGTGTCATACTGACAAAATGACAAGTAGCACTTCAGGGAGAGAGAAACCAATTAAACTGGAGACAGATAAAAACAGTGTTTGCCACAGTACAGAACAAAACCTGTATGAATAATGTAGCTTCTACAGGCACAGTATAAATTTATGTGAAGTTATCTTACCTCATGTCCAATTCTTCTGCTCTGTTTGAGACAGTGATGGAAACAACAATTTACAGGTGTTGTACTTTGAGATACATACTCTACTCTTGGGGAAAATCAAGCAGGACAAATCCCACTGCTTTAACATTCTTCATTTGTCGGCTCTGTTCTCTATCGCCCGTTTCCTGAACACTTCTGAGGTTATCCTACTGTCAAGTATCAAACCTAAAACCACTGTCTTAAGTCTAGATTGACCCAAGCTCCCATATGGCCTGGGTTCAAAAATAGTACTGTGATTATATATTGGCACAACATTAACACCCCGCAAAGTCCAAAAATCAAATGAATGTCCTGTGATGTGTTTTAAAGCAGGTGTGGATGTGGCCCCTGTCCAAATAAAGTGCTCAATCTTTTCTAAAGACAAAAAATTGTTCCCACAATCCTAATAATAAAGATTAGTCCTGTAAGCAGTACAATTGCACAAAAAACACTCTGTACAGGATCTTCAAGTGATTTACCTGGCATTGCTAGAGAGTAATCAACTGTATCTGTAACCGAATGGAAAAGCTGGGCCTGAGAAGCCTTCTTGAGCTGGTAAAGGAAGCCTGCCAATGCCGTCAGGTTTAACTTGTCAGCAGCATCTTCAAAAAGCCTGTATGTAAAGAAGAGAATCTAACTGAAAAATTCATGAGATGCAGACATAAATTTGTATGTAAATATGTCTGTTTGTAGCTTCTGTATGTTGGCTTTCGTGACACATTGGTTATTGAGGGCTTTTTCATTTATACAGTGCAGCAGCAATACTTTGATCTAGAAGCTTTATTAATTGGAGGGTGGAAAGCAGAATGCTATGGGATCAACCAGAACCCTTTCAAGATTCAACTACAGCGCTAAAACAGAAAGTCACTTTTTCAAGTTAACTTAATGCTATGAGCCATTCATGAACCAGTAAGCAAAAAAACCAGTTGAAACACGCCCAGTCCTCACAACACATATCATCATAGCTTCTCTGACTTTAGGGTTACACCAGTTTGCTCCATCTGAAGTTACCAATCCTAACTTGAAAAATAAATTAATTCAAGTCTTAAACCTAAGGTTACTGTACCTGAATTGCTAGTTTGGAATATTTTGCAGGTTTTGGCTGGGGTAGAGTTAATTTTTTTTAACAGTGGCTAGTATGGGGCTATGTTTTTGTTAATACTGAAAAATACAAGCAAGAGTTATTTTCAGCTGCAATGGGCTCCTAGGATTTAACAGTTAAAATCTATACACATAAAACAATAAGTGTGGTTACACTGGAGGGAAGCTCCACAGAGCTTACAATGAAATTTCATAAGGTGCAGCCAGAAATTGACAAAAATATGTTTTTCTGTCATTGCTTTTCATGAAAAACTTTCTGTAGTCCTCAGAAACAAGGGATTAAATCCTAAAGGGTAAAGGGTAGAAATGAAACCAGCATCATTAAAATTACAGTATTGCTAGTCTCTAATCCTTAGAACCAAGCTGTATTGTAAATATCCTAAATAAAAGGTATTTTTTTTCCCAGAGTCAGATTTCTACAATGCATTACTTTTGGCTCTGAATTTACACATTACACCTTCCTATGGGCAGAGATCAAGATGAAAAATGTCAGTTGGATCAAAAAGGTAATTGCAAGGATGCAAACCCAGGAAATTTTCAACTGTAGCCTGGGCTGCTTAAAAAATAGCAGAAATTATATCAGTTGGCAGAGCATGATGAAAGGACTTTTAAAACAGCCATTCTGTGACCATACTTGGTTCTCTTCCTCCTCTGGACACCCTAGGGAAGCCTGACGAACTGTCCACACAGCCCTGACAGAAGCAGCTGCTTTCTGACTGACACTGCTCTTGTCAATCAGTCCCTTCCTGTCAGGACAAGACACCCCTTTACTTTGCTTAACTGAATGATATGTTTATCAATTTACATGCAAGAAATAAATCCACCACTCTCAGGATGCATTTGATTTGCTTGGCATATTCACTGCTGTGCACAGACACACTCAGCTCAGTACTTGCATGTACTGCAGAGATGAAAAAAACCCAGGTCTTTTAGAAACTGCTGGTTGTGACAAACATGCAGCTCTCTCGTGAAATTCAACTGAAGCAAGTGGCTGAAATGAACAAAGATTATACTGCAGCACAAAAAGGACCACTTTGGTACTGCTTTGGGAACAAGGATTCTGGCTCCTGACAGCAGTGCTTTTACCTGTCAGCCTGCGTGGAGAGCGTGAGAACAGCCTTGGCAGCACTGGTACCACACAGCAAACTGCCCCCACGGAAGTCAAAAGCTCTGCCCTTACTGCTGTCCTTGATGAGTTCCTGGATAGAAACTGGCTGAATGACAGGGTGGCTGCTGAGGGTGGCCTCCTGCTCGGGGGTCAGTGCCTGAGGAGCCTCCCCGGGCTCAGAGTCGGGGTGCTGCCCTCCGGGTGTTTGCTGTGACTGGGTGATGGTAAGGGAGGGCTGGGCAGCACCATCACTGAAGTGGGTGTGCTCCAGCGTGCTGATGTACTCACACACCCTGGGAACACACAGGAGAAGCAAAAAATTAGTAAACACCCTAAAACAACTCCTCCCTGCACTAATCACAGGACATTTCCCTCAAACCATAAACAGATGCTTTCTAACTCTCAAACTACACATAGATAACCTTTCTTCTTACATCCTTTGGCCTCCCAAAGCAAATAGTCTGGTGGAGGTGCCTGAAAAGCCCATTTTGGTTCCTAGGTCTGCCACAGTCTTCTGGTAACTTTGAAGCTTCTAAGCATTGATTTTGCCCCAAGTAGTGGTGGAAAACAGCACCATCTTTTCTTTTACAGATATCAGCAGTTAATTCACTCTGACACTGTTTATACAGAACATTATAGTGTCTGCAAAGCCCTTTTTCTCAGTCCCTTACTTTCAGGCAACATGGCCTGAATTCTGGCTATTTTGGGAAAGCTGGTGAGTACCTGAATACATGAGGCCAACAGTCCTGATTATGGCTTCCCATCTCCAGACCCACATTAAGGACTGCATCCATACACAAAACATGAGCAGTGTGCAGGCAGACTCCCTGCACTTTCCCCATCTGCTCCAGTTTCTGCTCCACTTTCTGTTTCACTGTAGCATAAAAAAGAATTAAATAAAATTAACTTCTTCAGCTTTTAAACAAACACTGATTTGTATACAGGGTGATGGCAAAGGATTACATTCTGAAATCTATAAAAGAACATGAATTTTAGACAAAAAAAAAAACCCAAACAAACCACCAAATCAGAGAAACCCATTTCTTCCTAATAAATCTAAGGTAGCTTTAAAACTAAAATCCTTTTTGACTGATTCTATATATGTAAAAAAAAAAAAAAAAATCAACACTAGATTGACACCCTCCACCCCCAAATTCACATCCTGTTGCCCACAGAACAGTTGCAGATTGCCAGTGATATTTCTCTTCAGAGATGGATGACTGGATATTTATTTTTACCAAAATCTCCTTTGCTCTGGAAAAAAAATAGCATTTGTGGATTTCATATGTATTTCCATACAAAAAATTTCACCAAAAAGCACTTGTCAAAGAAAACTAATCTTCACTTGAGCTACAACCATTTGGCTCTATTTATTTTTTTCTGAGAATCCCTGAAAAGCTTCGTTTGCATGCTGCATTGGAATGGAAACAAGTTTTGAAGTTTTGCAAGCTTTCACAGAATAGATCTGTTGGCTTCTGGCCGCTGCTGCTGCCTCCTCTTTGCTTCAGCACAGTCTGGCCAACTCACTTCAGCCATGTCCAGCAGGGCAGTCAAAAGCTTGTGTAAGCTCAGGCTTTTTCAGTTTTGTTTTCTTTACCAAGACACCAAAAATAAGTACCAAGCAGCGTCATTTGTGGAACACTGCCTTTTGTTGTGGTCTTCTTGCCATTAGAAATCAGACATAAACAGAGAAATTTTGTGTACTTCTTCAAACAGTCAATGGAGACAACAACTGACTTCAACTTCCACTGGGTTTGAAATGGTGGTATAGAGATGCAGAACTTTTTATATGCTAAAAAGGCACCATTTTTTATTCCATTTTAATCAAATATGATTCAGAAACAGTTTTAAATATCTGATGATGAGAAAATATAATCAAGGATAGATAAACCAGACAGGAAGAGTGATGTAAACTCAGCTTACATTACCACCCAACACACAAAAATCCCCAAATAAACTGTTTCTCTGATGCTCTCTGGTTGTACTAATATCACAATGTTTAAAAAGCACATGTTGAAAAATGCTTCTGGCTTATGCATTGTTTCACAGATTTCAGTTCCATATAGAATATAATTAGTGGAACAATATGTTAAGAACATAGGACAGCAGGCATGTACTGAAGACACACATCCCATGTGCCTACAAGCAAGTGGTGTACAGCAGAACAACAGAGGGAAATGCCACTATGTGTGGCAAAGTGCTTTCCAGTTGCAGCCTCACGGGCAATGTAAAATGAGGTAGGCAATTTAGTCATGTAGTTACCTTGAGCTATAGCATCACTGGGTTCTTGGATTTCTTTTTCCTCTTTCTCTTCTTGGACACAGGAGGCCGCAGACATTTGGGCAAGAGCAGATGCACAGTTAGCAGCAACTCCTGTAAAGCAACAACACAATTATTGCATGACCAACATTTCCTCCCCAATCCCATACAATCTCAACAAGAGGCAGGGTCAAGGGGATATGTTTATGCTGTAGGGCACTCTATGTGTACAGCCACCATCCAGGTTCCTGTGAAAAACTGCAGCAGGATGCTGCATTTCTTTCTCCCAAATTCCTTCAAAGAAAGTTACCATCCTATTCTTTGAGTCTGCCATGACATCGCCCATGCAGCATTACCTAGAGCACAGCTCAGCCGGGCTGCCCTCCTTAGTCCATCCAGGCTCACACAGATGGAGTCCTTCTCCTTCTGGTTCTGCTCTTTGGCTCCTTCTGCTCCCAAGATGAAGGCCAGCCCCTTGGAGCTGCCTGCCATGCGGCCGGTCAGCGGGGTGGACAAAGTGTCAATCAAGTTCTTCCAACAGCCAATTAAAATGTAACGGGCAAAAGCAATTCCTAGAGTGGAAAAAGCATTAATACTATTACTACAAGAAAATGGCACAACAGAAGCTTTACCATTAATGGTAAAAAGCCAAGTCACATTTGTCCTCAGCAAACTGAACTGCCAATTCACATGTATGATGTACTGATATACCTTCTTTTTAAATTGTTATCCTACACTATTTATCTGCATATGCTTTTGGTATATAACAACCCACTGCTGGATAACACACTCACAACACAGGCTTAGTACCTGCAACAACAGAATCATCTGTCTTCTGGTTCTGGGAAAGAGGAGATTGAGCTGAAGCAGATGCCATCAATTGGCCACCAATTGCACTGCTGCCCAAGCCGTTGATGTCTGCCAGAACATTAAAAACCATCAGATTACTATTTGACACACAGATGGCACAAGGAAAGCATGTCTTACTGGCTCTGTGTTCAACTAAGTACTAGCACTCCTGGTCTGCTTTTTTTATTACTCTTTCTGGCAGTCTTCTAAAGCCTTGGTATAAACATGAACTATGACATCTTAGGCTCTGCCCAGTATAAGCAATGTTTTGTTAAACAGGGGAGACAACCACTCTCAAAAGCTGCTCTCCCCCCTCTTCAAGTTACACAATGAACAGTAGAGATTTCAAGTTATTAGAGTTCAGAACTTATCACACATTTAAATCTCTGCATTTCTTAGTATAATATTTCAAATCTTGCTAAATCCTGTATTTACTTGTTTCCAGACTTCAGTCTGAGTCCTCAAGATGCACTGGGATCCTATTTCCTAAATGTGATTTTTAGTAGATCTGTGTATGCCTAATCTCAACAAAAGAAATACAGTCCTTTCTCTAACACAACGAAAGAGCCATTTCTCGCAGAGAGTTTAATGTTTGGGATACCAGGTTGATTTCCTTTCTAACAAGCCCCATCTCCACATCTGGCTGTCATTTTTTCCAAGTGTTTCTTCCCTCTTCCCAGTTCAGTAGCTAAAAGTAACACTGAGCTCAACACAATAAGCAAAAAACTTTCATAGCAGTGCCCTTTGATCATCACTTAATGGCTCAGCTGAAGCCATTGCTCTCCCTGCATACGCTATTTTAATTAGACACATTAAAGCACACAGTGCATTTTATATCAATACAGTATCATAGCCATCCTGCTGTCTTTCAACTAATACAAATTCATTTTTTTTTCCCCTCAAATGAAGCTAAGGATTGCTTCTAAGCACTTGTGGCTCCAGGTTTTCAGCTTCTCTCTAGTGCCATTTGGCATATCCCTGGCATAGCTCAAGCTTGAACCAAGGGGAGTCCAATCTGTGGAAGGCTTCCAGGATCAGATGCCACTATTTATATTTGTACTGCACCGCAGGTACACTGAAATGGCTTTGCTATGACATCAGGAAAACAGCAGCCTTACTGTTTATCATTAACAAGTATCAACTCAACCAGAATTGCAGCTGACAGAATTAAGAGGTGTTTTGGTTCAGTGAACAAAACTACTCTCCCTGTCTCCCAGGGATAGTTGTGATTTTTTTTTTAAACCTATGCTTCAAAACCACTCCGATGAGCCAAAACAAACACTTTAGTACCTGCCACAGCTAGGTCTGGCTCCTTCTCTGCTAATAATTCCATGAGACACCACATATTGCATGATGACATGCTGTTCTGTATATAACGCAATAAAGCAGTGTGTCACTGTAGCTTGTTTTAGACACGTTTGGAAGTTAATCTTCCCACCAGAATATTGTACTGACCTGTCAGCATGCTGATAAGTGGAAGGCTGTGCTCCTCAGGGCTTCCCCAGTATCCAGCTTCCCCTAGCATGTTCCTTTCTAGTACCTGGTGGTACAGTTCTTCAACCCACGCCTGGGAAAATACCATCAACACTCCACTGGACTGGACCTGCTTCATGAACTCTTTCTGCAGAGAACCATAAAAGCCAAATGTAAGAAGACATCAGTATAAGCCCTACAGCATCAGCCCCCAGATCTACTTCTGAGTAAGGGACTGCAGAAGTAGAAATTAAGTTATGAAAAGAATTAACGGAGGTTTGCAATCTTAGAATTGTTAAGATTGGAAAATATCTTTAAGATCATCAAGTACAACCGTCAGCACAGCACCATCACCATGTTCACCATTAAACTATGTCCTCAAGTGCCACACCCACGTGTTTTCTGAATGCTTCCATGGGCAGTCTGTTCTTTTCCCTTACAACCCATTCCATGAAAAGAAATTTCCTAGTATCTAATCTAAACCTCCCATGGCACAACTTGGGATCATTTCCTCTTGTCCTGTCACTTGTTACCTGGGAGAAGAGGCCTACCCTCACCTCACTACACCCTCCCTTCAGGGAGTTATAAACAATGAGAAGGTCTCCCCTGAGCCTCCTTTCTTCCAGGCTAAACAATGCCAGCTCCCTCAGCCACTCCTCACAGGACTTGGTCTCTAGACCCTGAACAGCTTTGTTACCCTTCTCTGGACTCTCTCCAGGACCTCAATGTCTTTTTTGTACTGGGAGTCCAAGACTGAACACAGGATTTGAGGTACAACCTCACCAGTAGAAGGACAATCACTGCCCTGGCCCTGCTGGCCGCATTATTCCTGATACAGGCCCAGGATGCCATTTGCCTTCTTGGCCAGCTGAGCATACACTGCTCACGTTCAGCTGGCTCATCAGCACTCACAGATCTTTTTTCCCCAGACAGCTTTCCAGCCACTCTGCTCCAGCCTGCAGTGCTACACTGCGTTCTTATGACTCAAGGGCAGGATCTGACAACTTCACCTTACTGAACCTCACACAAGTGGCCATGCCCCATCAAGCCCAGTCTGTCCAGATCCTTTTGTGTCTGTCTCTGCAGTGGAGAATGACATGAACATGAACAGCTCTCTCTTCTCCTACTGCAGTTAATGCAAGACGCAAATCAGAATGACAGTTTTTGCACAGTGACAATGGGACATGCTGATCTCTTGCTATTTCCATGAGGTAGGAGTAGGATCTCAAATGCAATTAAAAGAAGCTGTGGCACCTAACACGGCCTGCCCAACATCTGAGCCTTTCTGCATTGAACAATCATCAGATGAACTGGTCCCGAATTATTTATCAGAATGATCTCTAAGAATACTTTGGTCATGCTCAGGCCTGTTGTGCACACTGAATCCTCTAGAGAATGTCCTGAGTCACAGATCTGCACTTGATCTGCTGCAGAACACACCAGAACTAAGGATGATGTTAAACTCCATTTGTTTTTGAGATTATCTAGATTATAAATTCTCTTACACTGGAAGTTCAGCAATAATTATACATTTTGACACTTTTTTTTTTTTTCTCCACATATCCCAAATTTTTTGTTGGTTTTTTTTCAGAAAACTCAGAAAATGTCTCCTGGGCAACTAAGTTCAAAAACATGGATCCATGTTTTCAAAACTATTTTTAAAAAGCCCAAGAAGGAGTGGAATGCCAGGTATAACAAAAATCATAATTTCACATTACTAAGATCTACTTATTTTTCACTTTAACTTCTCATGTCTTCATCTACAGAAATTCAAATCAAGTATTAGGCAAAAATAGAGTTGCAAGATGAACATATGTTCATGCACATTGACAAGAGACAATACATGATGCTAATCTATTCTGAAAATAGTTTAACCATCCAAATGACTGTGACCTTAATGATAATCAGTAAGCAGCATTCCTTCCCACCAAATCAGAGTAATTCACTTATCATGCAAGATTCATAAGTAGCTTGGAGAATGCTTCATTTGCAATTACTATTTCTCCACTTAGCAAGAAGCCTGAAAGCTTTATGTGTGGGCTGCTTTATGTGAAAGGAAGCAAAATAAATTTTCATTATTTAAAAACAATTTTCCCATATTCCCCAACTCACCAGCAACACAGGGGCTTGGGCAGGCTTCTTCCTGTAGTAATCTGAGTTTGCCAATTTTAGGTTGAGCAGCAACGTGTAATGTGATACCACGTAGAGACTGTCTGCATTCATCAGAGTCTGGAAGCTGAAATTTAGGTTTCCCTCAAATCCTGGTGAGTGCATCATACCTAATAAAAACACCATGTGAGCTCTTATATTTTACACAGATTTTTCCTGGAAAAAATATCAGAAACTATCTGCTGCATTTTGACAGCAACATATTGCTGGAATAGTTAATAAATCATCAGAAGAAATTACTCTACTAAACATACTAAAGTAGGGAATAGAAAAATAAGTAGTTAATCTACTTATTAATCTAGAATGCAAGACAAACTGAACACTCCAGTCACAGTCCAGCAAAACAACATACTAAATTTGAAATAAGCAAGGAGCACCAGCATTCATTGGGATGACTATCACATATAAAGCACAGGGCAGGATATATACAGAGTCTTACTGGAAAAGTGAGGTGGAAAGGAGCAGACCCAAAGCCTGTGTACTTAGCTGAAAATACACCGCACCAAATGGTGCTAATGAGATCAACAGCCCTTTTAACCCCCTAGTAAACTCATTCTGGCTAAGTAATTTGCTGGATGGGGACTGGAGTGCTCCACACCCTGCAAGATCAGTCTGTAATCATCATGGCCATGGCGATTCTTCTCTCCATGGCCTAGAGGTATGTGGACAAATATCTGGGGCCAAGCTGGCTGGAACTAGTTACAACTCCAAGCCCTATTTATTTCATACAAGGCCTACTTTCTAAATAGCTGAGCTCTTGCACTTCTGTCAGACCCAGAGACCACGTGTAAAGTACTCACTAGTCCTGAAAACACTACTTGTATGAAGCCTACAGCCATGCTCAGTGGCACAATCCCTTTTTCCCACGGATGGCAAATAGCTGACCTAATGGTAGAAAAGTATCAATCAAGTACGAGCAACACCTAATTGAATCCCCATGATCTGTATTCTGAACCATGAAAAAACCAGAAATATCAGATCCACCCACATGACTCACAATATTTCATGGTTTTCACATCAACTGTGAAATCCATTCATATAATGTCAATTAAGGAAGATTGAGAAGTCAGCTTTATCCTAAAGGAATGTTTGAAATGGAACAAAAACCAGCTTCCAAGGTTAGTTACATGATGAAGCAAAGCTGTGTAATTTGTTAACTGCTGCAGTGGTTTTACTGTGAATACATTCCTCCCACCATAAAGCTCATACCTCTTCTTAGACAAAATACAACAAACCATTAACATTAAAAAAAAATCCACACACAGAAAAGAAGCAAATGTTTTTCTTGCCTCGTGAGGATTTGAAAGCTCTGTGCTGCTGCCTTCTTGGACTTTCCACTGTCGTCACTTTGGGGGCGTGGATAAGGTGAGTAACTGTTTGGGGGTGGATTTAGAAAGAGAATAACTGTTCCAGAGTGGGTCTAAAAAATGAATATCTGTTCAAGGGAACAACCTTTGTGGAAGAAGGGTGTTAGGGTTGGCCACAAACAACAGCCACACAGGCTGGCATTGCTTGGGGTAGATTTCTCATGGTGAATGTTAACAGAGAACCTTTACCTAGTACCAAAACTGCAACCATGTGCTTGAAAGTAGCCTGTGAGTAGTTGTAGTGATTCCTTCCTCACTGAAAACAAAGATACATCTTAACACTCTGTCGGATGGAGGATCATGATATTGATGTAGATATCTCATCTCCCACTGGCTTTTTTGTCTTACCTCTCTTAAATATGTACCTCAGAGACTAGAACCTGCTAGAGCAATAAAAAAAATCTCAAGGCAGAGACATATGTAAAAGTTAAAAAAATTCAAAAAACCCAACCAAACAAAAAAGCCCACTTTATTTTGCTTTAAAATGTTTAAAAAATGTGCAACCTCCTATACAAGATGACAATTAAAAAGGAAGGTGTAGAAGTGCACAGAAAAGTGGCTACTTCATTGAAGGCATGCATTTAAGCACCAAAAAGTGTTGGGGAAAAATATGTTCCTTAACTTCCTCTAAAATATAGGAAAACAGCTGCATTTGTGAGATGCTCAGATCACAGAAACAGAAGATATTACGATACTTACCAGCATAAAAACCTTCCCTCTAAAAAGTATGAAATAAACCTGAAGATGGGCCAACTTACTCCTAACTTTAGAGTCAACCAACTTACTTGCAAATTTTAATTTCACTATAACTCTTAGCTGACTTCACCTTTTCCATGCTTATCTCAGTAGTGCTTAAATTCCTACCTCCACTCATTGCCTTTCAATCCTATGAAAACATCCTAATTTTGCAATGCTATCTATATAAGGACCTGGCTTGTAGGAAAGAAGACTAAATTGTATTATTCTTCCAAAGTGAAATAAAAATCAAAAAATGAAACAAAGCAGTTAAATAAGGTTTCCCAGAAACAGAAATACTGCTTCTGTGTTTTTTCTCAACTCAAATCTTAACCAACTCTCGAATTTTCCCATGTATTCGTCAAGAATTATACATGAATAAATGTCATATATACAATGAATGGGATCAATCCCTCTAACTTCCTTACCTAATCTGCGCCTTGAGCAGCTGGTGCTAATGAAGGAACTCCTAAAGTAAGAACCTACACATTGCATATAGAGGCAGATCAAACTGGTGCCTCAGAAACTCTCAGGGGGAATTCTTAACCCCTGCCATTTGTTTCAACTTCCCTAAGTATCTCTCTCTAAAGGTTTTCAAACTCATAGCTCTCTCACTTATACAGGAGCACAAGTTCTCACCTCAAGAGGACTGATGGACATTTGCTTAAGATCTGAGGTACAAGTTAAGGGACTGTTTCAGTTGGACTGAGTCTCATTTCATGTGTCCAAATGAAACAGGAACCACCCAGATCTTACAAAAACATAAAAGTACAACCCTGCTAGAGCCACGTCTTCATGAAAAACCCAGGATACCTCTTCCAGGCTGTCTTAATAGAGCTTGCTACTCTACTTTTCCACAATTCCTTACTGAATGGTGTTTTTCACTAGTACTTCACAAAATCCATCAGGAATTGTGGTGTACATTTTTAAAGTACAGATTTAGCCACAGGGGTGGCTTTCTTAGAAAAGTGAAGGGTCTGTCTCAACAATGTAAGCACAAGACTAGGTATTTTTTTAAAGACACACAAACCACAAATCATGGATTTAGTGCAGAAATTGAGTTACGTTCTTCCATTTTACTCACTGTATTACTCATACTGAATGCCAAGAAAAGCTATGTTTAGTCTTAAAATCTAGACTTCTCATAGGTCCACATCTTCCAAAGCTTTAAAAGCACTCTATAAAGACTTTACAGACAAAAGGGAAAAGAAATACTCATTCATGCACAAGGGAACAGGTGCACAAAGGTTTGAGCTAGAGGGCTAGCACTGGTCTTTTATCATAATCTCACGACTACGCTTTTTCAGGAAAAAAGAAATACCTGTGACAGAAAGGGTGCTCTTGAGCCCCTCAATTATGAATGTAGTTAGCATTAATGCCTCTTTTAGGATATTTCCTTTCTGTGATATAAAATAGACAATGTTTCTTAAGAATACCATTTATGATCTTCCTGAGTTAGGGTTTATTTCTGTAGCATTTAAACAGGATATCAGGAATATAATCTTATTCACTCAGCTTCATTTCTAAATTATGCTGTATGATGATGGGAAGAGTCCCCCCTTCTGACTCTGTATGAGTTTAATGTGTGTGAGAGAGCACAAATGAATGAAGCAATGATTAGGAGATGAGCAATAGGAAAGGCAATTGCAGTAAAGTAAGTTATAGAAACATAGACATATATATAGCAAACATTTTAATTTTGGCCACTGTCAGGAAAACCCTTCTAAAAATATATATTTACACACATTTAAAATATGCTATCAACAGGACAAACTAGCCTTTGCATTACTGTTTTTGTTTGTTTGACAGGTGAAGATCCCAAATGTTCTAATCATGAAAGAACTGAAGATACTTAATCTCTTAGAAGACAAGATCTTAATTTTCTCTTGGTCTGGGCTTTGAGCTTTGCACTCATTAGAGAGCAGCATTAAGGAAAAAAAAAACAGTGAAGACAAACTCTCCTCTTTCTTTCCCTATCCTTTCTAGAGCTTACTAGTGTGGAATTGTTACCACCCTCTTTGTGAGGCTGGCATTATTAATAATATCAGTGCAGTGATGTACTAAGCTTCTTATATCTCATTACAAACCAGTGATGGTACTTCCCACACCCCTCTCATGCTAAGGGGCAACCCTGACCTCTCTTTAGTGATACCATGTGCAAAGCTTCTCAACAGAGCTTCACAAACCCGCAGAGAGGTATCTTGCTACAACAAAATCCATTTCTTTATTGATTCAGGACACAATCCAGAGCCTCTTAAGAGTCAATGGATTTACCTCCCTTTGGATCAGTACCTGCATATTCAATTTGTTTTGCCTTAAATGAAATATGTTCCTGTGGAGGAATGTATGGTTTAAAGCCCAAACCTTCTCATGCTGAGTATGTTCTCTGAAGATGAAATCCTACAAGGGAATCTGTGTACAGTGTAGTCAGAGTGTGCATGCTGGTTAGACAGTAAATACTGGCTTTCAAACCTGAGCAGAATGTTGAAGAGAAGCTCTGCAGTGCTCCATCCACTTCTTCTATGCTGGGAAGACCTATAAGCCTAGGAAGAAGCGCTTCAAGTGACTGGATGAAGAGCCGTGCACTGTGTTGATCTGCTTCTTGGCTCTTCAGCAACTTCAGAGAGAGAGCAGCAGTGCGTAAGGACCTGTGACCTGGACAATCCCGTGGCGTCTGCTCCTCATCAGCCAGGGAACAATTGTCAGAACCTATGTCTGAGACATCAGACCTGCCCGAATCCTTTTCTGCTGCCATGGAATACTGGTCACATGAATCGAACTCAGTCCTAGAAAGGTCCTGGTCATCTACACTGAAGTTACTTTCACTGTATCTGGATCCATAGGACCGGGTCTTGCAATCAACTGATAAAAAGTTAGTTATATCTGGATAGACTATGGTGTGGCTTCTTTGAACAACATCTGGCTGGTCAATGGTTTCTGACTCTGGTTCTCTGTAATGAATCTCTTTGCTTTCGTGTACAGCTGGAGATGGCAGGGAGTTTTTTTGATTTTCTGGATTATCCTCTGGAGTTGTTTGTCCCATATCCCCTTCCAAAGTAGTCTGACCAGTGTCTGTGGTAACGCTAATGCTGATATCGGGACTCTTCTCATTTCCCGATTCCCAGGCAGGGTTTTCTGAGGACAGGATGCGTCTCTGCCACCTGAAGTCAGCATCATTGATCTCCATGGAGTCCCTGCTTGTCTCAGTCCCATCCTTCAATTCTTCCAAGCGCTGGAGCAGCAGCTGGATCTGCTCTTCACTAAGACCCCTCCCTTGGCTCAGCTCATCTAATGCTCCAAGCAGGGCAAAGACACAGGACACTGAAGCATAACAGGCTTCAATACCACCTTTGATGCACGCTTCCGTCATCCCATCCATGATGCTACAATCAACACAGAGTTTATTTAAGTGATGTAACATGTAGGGTAAGCACATCACTGTCATTAAACACCACCTTTCCATAACCAGAAAAAAAAGAAGTGAACTTAGCCTTTAAGACTATTCATGAGAAACACAATTAGTGTAAGAACAAATTGTTGAGTCTCCCATGCAAACATGGTCATTCTGTAATGGGAGTGCAAACAAGAGAAAGTTACCATGCATTCATACCAGCATGCACAGCATGTTCTCTCTTACAGACAAGCACTTAAACTAAAAAGAAAAAATCTCAACACCCAGCTGAACTAAATTTAAAGGCCATCTGTGTCCTGAAAATGATCTTATCTACAAGATATGATCTTCCCAAGAACTGAGAACCCTTCTTGCTCAATATGATGATGTTTAAATTTTCTATAACCTTCTTTGAATTCATCTAGAAAATATACCTCTAAAGAAACACACATTTATTTCACTGCAATTTTAAGGACTCATACCCAAAAATTTTCAGCTGTAATCCAACATATTTGGGAATTCTGGCAAACTCAACAAAGTAGTTATCTACGACTTTACAAACAGGCCCAGACTCATGACAAACCAAGCAAGAGCTTTTACACCTTTTCCATTTCCAGAGCTTATTTAACCAGGCAGATACCCTGGCTCATACTGATACCATACAGATACCCATACTCATACTCATGCTCTTGAACTGCTTAAGTGTTCTGCATGCACAGGTTTAAGACAAAAGAGGCTAAAGGAGGAATCTAAGCGTACAGCTTGAGAAGATCCAGATGGGACTTTCTTTTAGAAATAGACCTCTTCTTGCATTCTGACTCAGAAGAGCAGGGCCCTGCTAAATCACAAAGCTGCCGAGGACTGCCAAGTATCTGAAATGAAAGGAAACAGAAATAAGTAGAAGATTATCCAAGCATTATTTAAATACAATAAATAAATCATAATTCTATCAAGCCCTGGAACCCAAGGTAGCCTTACTGTAATTTCTCACAGCAAATTAAAATGGCACAGTGATGTTCTACTTATTAAAGCTACCTTTCTTCTTTTTAGATACAAAAAAGTGCGTAAAGGAGAATATTCTGCAAGAATCATATTTAGAATGTTCTCTGGTGCTTTACATTTTTGACTGATTTTTTTCATCTGATACTGCACACAAGACAATTTTTATGCCTACATAAAAACTATATCAATGTTTATACCAATGGAAACCTCTCTCCTCAGCCACCTAGTTATAAAATTATGGAGTTATGCAAAGACAGGCAAAGTGATTCCTTCAGACTCAACCTGTTAGGTTAATGCCTTGTTAATGCCCACCAGGAAATACAAACAAGCATGTATTAATAAGCCCAAAGAAGCAACAGGTATGTCCTGCACAAAACAACATTAGACGAAGCTTTACTAAACCTTCAGTTATCTTCTTTCTATTGTTTAAAATTAGAGAAAGACAATGACAGGATAACTCCTAGTTTAGACAGGAACCAAGGGGGTGGCTGTGTGGTATTATGAGAGATTTTTCAGAAACAGAACAGCCTAGGTATGCACAAGCTAGATGAAAAATTCTCTAGGAGATACCACTGTTCCACAAATTACATAAATTTTCTTGTTTTCCATAACATGAGAAGAAAGGTGCCTGTGTGGAATAGAAAAGTCCATAATTTCAGCTAATGCTGAGACAAGTCTCCCAGTGTTCCACATCTAGTACTTTCAGAGACGCTGGGGAAGAGGCCAGAATGGACTGGTCTTGAAACGGTTTCTTAAGTCATTGGCAGCTTTCTTGTATCTATTCAAAAAAAGCTCCAAGAAACAGGATCTCAAAAACCTGGCATGTAATCAAAGCATATATTCACCTTAATGCCTGGAAACCACACTGTGAGGACGTGTCTGGGGAAAGATGCCAAAGAAGTTGCAAACTGGATCGTTATGCTCTATCTCACCCAAAAGAGCAGTCGTGACTCAGCGATAGGATCTGCTCCATGCAGCATCACAGCATGAGCACTGACAGAGTTGCCACAGTAGCTTGTATTATGGAGACAAATATAGCTATTACAACTGCATCAAACTATTTGTCAGAGTGGTGCTGATGTACCAGCTGTGCTCAGAAACGACAATTTCAACATCCCTGAGTGGGAAGGGTTGAAATGCATTGGGAAGTGGGAAGGTATGCACGCATCAGAAAAACTTACAGTTAAACATTTTGTTTTACATGCCTGGATTTGCACATGTGATTGCCCTACCTCTTTCATAATTTTGATGGCTTCTACTCGATGTTGAGGCGGTGGGTAAAGCAACATCCGGTGATACAGAGACTGTAGCACAGGCTTCATGGATTCCACTGACCCCACCAGTCGAACCAGTTCTGCTGCAATATAATATATGGTCCGTGCAACGGGCCCACTAAGGGCAGGTGCTGTGGAAGAACAACCTGAACCCCGGCCATGATCAGAGATCCCTGAGGAAGGTGAATCAGCCTCAAGGCAGATGCTGCTGTGGGCAGAGGTGATAGTTTTGTCATGGATTGGATTTCCCAGGATTACTATTAGGGCTGGACACAGTTGCTTCCTGAGAAAGAGAAAAGCAGCAGATGGTAACTGGAAAAAAAAATTACTCCTACAAGAACAGATTGAAGATAGCCCATGGTTAAATTAGATACATACTCTTGTTTTAATGATCAGTCAAACAGCAGTGGTTAGATAGAAAAACAAATTATGCCAGGCTTTTTTAATCTCTCAAGCATCAGCATGCTAGTCCATATGGAAATGCCTCTGTGTGCTGTAGAAACATGGTAGTGATTTTGCAAGTTCATGTTGCTGCACAGTGCTGTCCCTTTGCAGGATAGCATGCCTGGCTCTTTCACTGGCTGCAGCCTATCACAAGGTAGAAATCCTAGGCTTCCGCTGCTCAGTGTCTCTTTTTCAGTTCACCTTGGGAGCTTTAAAAAAACCTGACTAAACAAGAACTAATCTATGTTAACTAGAAGGCTGAATATTCCATCACTGCGCTGCACATGCATTATTTTAGTAAGCACCCTTAGTTATGAGCCTCTGTTTGTCTTTCTTTTGACAACATAATGAAAGCCCTCTACAATAACTCAAAGTGTACACTATACTACACATATACCACTATACAGTAAATACCCATCCTCCCTTTAACTGTCTAACACTCCTGTTAAGTGATTCAACAACTGCAGATCACTCTTCTGCGGAACCAAAGCCAGCTCAGCACTTTGCTCCATCAGCTGCTATTTCAGCTTTGAACTCACGCACTTGGCATTTTGCTTCAGTCTGCAGGACCTTAATTTAAGAAGTCAAGTGTTCCATAAGAATGAGTCCCAAATCTGGTTTTCACTCACGTCTAGAGGTTCAAGCAAGTACTTGGAGCAAGCACCCAATTACAAGTAACAATTCAGGAAACACATCCTCATAGGTAACTGCATTTTATTTTTTCAAGGTTTTATGCAGTCTAGAATTTTCATTGCTTCTCTTAACAAGATATCTGAAACAGCTCAGCTTCCCCTAGTCACAGAAAGAAAACCAGCTTTTAATAGGACATCAGATAATGACTTTGAATCTGTTTATTCCATTTATTTCTCCAATCAATTACAATTCACTGCTTAAGAAATACGCCTGTCTCAAAGCAGGCATAATCACAGGCTGCAACAACAATATATTCCCCACACATCTTAGTCCTGCCAAAGTGTTTCTGTATCAAACTATGAAGAACACTGCCAACACACAGAGCTAAATTTTCTATGTCTGCTCCCTTCTTTATCCTCTTTGGGAACTGACTACAAAGTGCCTGTAGAGTGAAATCTGTGTGCATGTAGGCAACAGCTCCATAAAGAATAATGACAGCCACCAGTTTGCATCACAGCCTCACCAGACAGGTAATGTATTAGTGCGTACAAAATGTTCAAGATTATGTTTGCAGCTTAAACTGTTTCATATCATCCTAGTGTTTGGGGCTTTTTCCTCCCACTTAAGCAGTTTGTTTTCTCCCATTTAAGTAGCTGAAGCATGCATGTTCATTCCTTGGCAGCAGTGCAGGTTAAGAAGTCCCACCCCTGATGGCTTGCCCTCATGGCACACAGTTAAGAGATACAAACACCTGTAGATTTGCAGCATAAGCTGGATTGTCAAAAGCATGCAAATCGAAAATAAAACAGGAAGTGTTTTCTTTTAACTGAGATAATTTCAGTGACCTTGCTCACAGGATGGCCCCACAGTTTGTCACATAAAAGGTTGGGTGAAATTCAAAGGCAGAAACTTCTGAAGCAAATCTGCCATGAGAGAGTTCTGCTGTTATGTTAGACCTCCAAGAGGCCTCAGCACCAGGTTCTTGTACAACACTGCCAAGTGTTGCCAGTCTGAACACCTCCCAGTCTTGCAGCCACTGATGTTCCTGGGACAGCAGGGGAGTTACAAGTGCTGTTACATGTTCCATCCTTAGAACTGGGCCCAAGTCTATAACTTCAGTTTCAAAAATTACAGGGTAAAAGCACAATAAACACATCTGTCATTAACAGTCACATGCATCTTTCCTTAATACAATCACTTGACAAGGTCAAAAGATGGGTACAGACTGCAAGGAACTGCATATTAGTTACATTCTTGCTTTATTACAATGACTCAATTATCCCCAGGCTATAAGAAACCCACTATTTCAATCACAAGGAAAGCAGGATTATTTCAGGTACTTTGATGTGATGATACCAATTTAGAGGTAGATGTGAACACCAAAAATATCAAGCGTTCCTGGTGAAGTGTATTAAAAAGGAGAATTTCTTGCTAAAATAGAAGCACCATTAAGACTATTTAGCCTCAAAACTTACACAATAATGCAGGTCATATTAAGCATTTCTGGTCACCAGCACACATTTGACCTTAATTTTGCTTTTCTTCCTGTATTATTGTATCAGAACATTAAAGAATCTCAACAGTACCTTCCTACAACAAGCAGAGCATCTCTGTGCTCAATGCCACACACAAATCCAAACTACTGCAGAAAGCATAAGAGGTTTTCTGTTCTGGCTAAATCCATTAGACCTCATTACAGTGATAATTCACTGCTGGGATTTAACGTGGTAGCTGAGCAGGCAGTCCCAACCAATTCTATATGAGGCTCAGAAAGAACTGATAGTAGGTTAGCAGCAAGCTCTGCTCACACCTGGAGATTTTTAACAGTTTTTTTTTTGCAAGGCTGGGGGGATCAGGCCCTTTTACATTTACAAACTGAGTATTTGCATTAGTCTTCAGATGTACTCACCATATTAGATCAGTGAATCCTTTGTGCTGGTGCATGCTGGGGGAGGAGCTGTTCAGCATGGAGAGAATACACTCCAAGTAAAGAAGCTGAAGTTGACGATTGTCACTGGCAAAGAAAAGATGCCATTCACATAATATTAAAACTTAATTATGTTTTAACTTAATAATACTTAATTTTCTAAAATAACCACATTAGTTCACTTGAAAATTACACCATAATTTACAGCAGTGATTTATTTTGCTTCTATCAATTTGCAATGGTGTGACCTGAATCATCCCATTTATTTTGTACTGATCGCATGCAGTGATCTACTACTTAAAAAAAAGTGAAAAAATAGGAAGAATAAAACTAAAATAACTATTCAAATTCAATGTAAAAGCTTGGGAATGAACCATAAACAGGGGAAAAGGGGACAACAGAAGATTTTGGACTATTGGATAGTTTCCTCAGGCAATCTGAAGCATGCTTAGGCTACTCTCTTCTTGTTATTTTTTTTTCTTGGTGACAGCCACAATGGTCAAAAGTTAATGTCTCCAAGCAGAAAGTCACACGGTAACATGGCTACCTTTCAGGGCCCTGCCAGTAACTCTGTCAGAACCATAAACTCAAGGAAAGCCTCATGAGAAAGAATATTAAAGAACCTGTGGACACCTGGAACTGATACACTCGTAACATGCACTGTGCCTGCCCCTACTCTTAACATCAAACTTCGGGATCCAGGAGACAAGCAAGGCTGAGGTCTGCCTTACAAAAGGAGCACTCCATGGCAAGTCTACCCAAAATTTGGTTTTCATTCCTAAGAAAATCAGGATTTAATAACTCTTTTTTGGTCAGAGATGAGAACTGAAGGAATGCACTTTCTGATATATGATTGTAGTTCAAAGAAGCTGTAAAGAATGGATTTATCTGAAGTGAAATTAAGGAGTGAGAAATATCCGTTCTTCTGTCACTGTCCGAGTTCCTTTTGTTCACCTGTATGAATTTGCATCCAACTACAACAATACCCATTTCACATGCCATGGAGAAAACACTGAATCCTGAGGCCCAAAGCTGGATTTCTAACTCTGTGCTACGGGGGGTTGAAAACTGCTGGCTTGTTATATATTTTAAAGGTGATTGATTTTTCCTCACAACAGTCCACGCCTATCTGGAAGGATACATGCATTCCAGGTACAGATGCCTTCTTTCCCAACAGCTTTTCTTACAATGTGTCTTAATGCAGATGATCATCACCTTGCAGTTGACACTTGCATGGGCATGCACAGGGCATCCCTGCGCTCTTGATTTTATTTTCCCAGATGCTGACACTGATTAAATAATGCTAAGTAAGGCATTCCTCTGTAATCGTGCTGTTATTAGAGAGACTCATGGGAAGAAAGTCTGCAAAAAAGCTGCACATAGATGCGTGTGCTAGCTTGGCCTCTGGTAGTTTCTGAAAATTGTACAGCATATAACACACCTACTGTCCATAACAACCACACTTTAGAAGTTAATATTATGCATTTTCAAATAGGTAGAGTGTATGATATTCCTAAATTGGAGGAATTCACTGAAAATACAAATTATTTCTTTTGGATAAAGGCTGCCTAAGAAGGACAGATATATTCATTCTGAATATAGTATCTGTTAGGTCTTTCCATGGCTCTTGTAATTGTTATTCTTTCTATGATGGTTCTTCCAGCCAGAAAAGAAAACTTCTCTTTGGATTATTAGTATTTTGTATTAGTATTTTGCTGCTGTATGGAAATTACCTACAGATTAGATTTACTGGAAGCTCTGTAAAACTGAACAGTGCACAAAAAAGGCAAAGTAGCTCCTCATTTCAAGCAAGGATTAAATTAATGCATCATGAACAATACTTTCTCTAGCAAACACTTCATTTAAGTACAGCTTTGCTCCGTAATTCCAGAACTACAACAGTACAATCACATGCATCAGAGAAACTCTCAACCTCCAGGTAATTAATTTAAATTATAAACTTAAAGAACTCACTTTATGACAGCCTGGAGCTTCTCACAGAGCACAGTGAGGACAGATACAACATCATCACAAAGAGACTCAGCTGAAGTACCTCCAAAAAGGACAAGGATCAGAGGCATTACATATGAGCAGCTGGATAACAACATCAATTAACTGCATGGGTTTTCAGAACTGGTCAGAGCTTCTAAACAAGGAGCAGGGCTACCAAAATTAATAGATAAGATGCAGTAGGAAAAGTGCTAGATTGGAAAGTGATCGCCACAAAATGCAGAATCAGCAGTATTAAACCCAGAGAGAGCATTAATTGCTTACATGCATTTACAGAAGGTTAGCTGAAATCAAATTCAAGTAATAAAATAAATATATAATTAAATAATATAAAAGACTGGCCCCAGTATTTCTACACGGCAGCTGATTTCTGTATCTCTCCCTGCAGTTTCTCTCTCTTACACATTTTCTCATGTCTGACCCACTTCTGATCTTATAAAAGAATGCTTGTGCTCTTCAAAGATTTTAGCCTCCATTCACACAAGTTCTACAGAAATCCTGAGTGAAGGTCAAAACCAGAAACTATTTTTCCTACTAGAAGATGTTGAAAGGTAAGCCACAATGGGAACAGAAAAACATTCTCTTGTAAAATAATCACCTGCCAAGTAGTCATTATATAAACAATGTCTTTGGTCTGAAATAGAGTAACAATTGTTTTCAGATTCCACATCCTACTCTGCAAATCTGTTTTATTTCAGGAAGTAAAGGCACTTACTAAAACTTTTTTCAGACCTCTGAAACTCCTTAATTACAGAAGTTACTACCTTGAAACAATAATTTATTACTATGTTGAGTGCAATGCTGTTACCATGGTCCAAATGAAGACACAACTGGAAATATTAGGAGCTAATAGGGTTATCTCAGTTCTTACCACAGATAACCAAGAAAGCACCACACTACAGAGAAGGGTGCAACTCCCATGGCATCAAACAGCACTGCGGTGATAAAAAGAAAGTCAAGAATAAAAAAGCTGGATTGGAATGAGTCACTAAAAAAGTATTATAAATACCTTGACTCTTGAATTTCTGCAAGGTGTCAGGGTTTTCAACTATCTGTTGAGGAAAGAGAAAGGTAGTGTAATTGGTGCAAGGGGCAGAGGAATGTTAATAGAAGTAATACTTTAACAGCAGAACTTCTTAAATTCATGTCCTCTATCTGTTTCGGGCTTTTTCTTAAGGTTTTTAAGTGAACTTTCTGCAAAACATTTTTAAAAATTCCTTAAGATCTGTTTTAACAGCCATTTAGATTATAGGAAATTGCATCTCATTTGGGTGAAAGTTTTGTAAGCCCTTATGGGACTTCCTACACCTAGAACAACTCAGTAATAATTAGGCATCTAACTTGCATTGAAAATAACTGAGAGAAAAGCATAGTTTAGATGTCACAAACTACTTAGAAACCAAAATCAATTGAGTATTAGAAAGTTTAGAACATTGACAATGTTAATGTTATAGTCCCAACAGAATTAATGGCAGTCAGGAAATGATCTCATACATTGTTTGGTTCAGCTGTGGTATAGGATTCTTCCTACTGTGCACAAGAGGGTCAAGCCGAATTCTCTCAAGCATCAATAACAAAATGTCAGGAACTAAATGCAGTTGTCATATGCTTTTATCTACTCTTCAGCTAAGAAAAAAACTAACAAAATTGGATTTGCAGACCCAAAATGTTTCTGTTTGTTTGTTTGAGTTTTTTTGTTTGGTTGTTTTTTTTTTTTTTGGTAAATGCTTTAGCTAGTAAAATGAATCTACTTAGCACCAACAGAAGACAAGTTTACTTAAACTGATTAATCATTTTTGCAGTTGCTCAGCAGGATAAAAGCAATCTAGTCTACTAATCCAGAATAGAAGTGATCATCTCAACCCAAAACAGATATAAGGAAAACAATCTGTACAACTACAGTCCTTAAGTTTTCCTAATAAATAGAAACTTTTACAAATAGTACTTCTTTGACAACATGGTATTATACAAAACAGTACAAAAAAATGTAAGAAGCCAATGTAATTCCACATGTACCCAGAACATCTATAGTGGAAAATGTGCTGGGATGCCATTCAAACAGCTCTCATGGATTTTAATAATTAAATAAATAAAATAATATTTATTTTTTGCTAACAAAGAAAAAAATAATTTAATTAACTTTAAATTATCTTCTATTAAAAAAAAGTAGAAGAAAAATTTCAATTACACTTTCCTTAGTTGAGAATCTGTTTTCACTATGTAAATATTTGTCATGCAAAAAGTTTTGGCAGAACCATTTCAACACACCTTAGAAAAACAAGAAAACAAAATAAAAGAATGGAAAAGGCTGAGGCAGCCTGACATCAGAACAATGTCTCTTTTATTTAATGGAAAGAAAAAAACCAAAAACAACCCAGCCAACTAGAGTTGACAATGTGAGAGCTCTGAGGCAGGCATAGTCAGAACCCCAAAAGGCTTTTAAACAGGATTAATTGAAGAAGTGTCAAATAAAAGCCATAAGGCATTCAGATGAATGAGAACAAAACAGTATGAAGCCATGGACATGGAACCATTTGTTGATGCCAGAAGGCTCACCACGTTTTCTTGCTTTTGTCGTAACTGTAAAGTCAAGTCACTCAACATTTGGCTGAGGGTTGCCCGCACAGCGGTGTTAATGCTCCGCTGGTGACAGCTAGATACATATGTCTCAATGCAAACCTGATGAGGAAACAAGACAGCAGTACAAAGAGATCAACTCCCACTTACCAGGAACACATTTCAGGAGGATACCAAGGTGTCTCACACGCAGATAGTCAGCCTTCCTTACTATTTCTTATTGCTTTATTAGCACATTAGAAGTTTTTAGCAGTCTTGGTTGGAAAATCAAGTAATTAATCAGTCACACAGCTGCAGGAATGGTAGGGCAAAACTGGTAAAGTCTCCTGTCAAACCCAAGTGATTTTGGTACTTGTCTCACTTTGTACAGAACTCATTGAATACTGCTTTGATTGTTCATCTCTTGATACTTATTGTAACTACCTCTCTGCAAGTCTATGTCTGCAACATAAATACCCTCCCATTCTTCAAGATTGCTGCTTCTGACGGACAGGTATTTGTCACTAATTTTATGATAATCACGACGTACTGTAACACATCTGAAAACCTTTAAGGCCTCTCTTAACACAGAAAATACAATAGCACTTTACCACAAATAACACAAACAATTGCCTTTTAATAACTGGCAATCCAGCAGAGGGCTCCTTTTCTCAGAGATCCCATGGGAACCAAGGTAGCAACAGAAGAACACTGACGGATCATCCAGTTCCCAGCTCCATGCCCAGCTGCTGGCAATGTGCTGTGCCCAGGGTCATGCTTGACTTTTGCCCCAGGTGATGTTGCACAAATGGCTGTAAAGTGTTACACAGCTAGGATCCTGGGGACAGCACAATGCAAAGTGCAGATTCTACCCTTCATCAGGTATTTTGTGGGAGGTGCTGGGTCTCTGTGAGACTTGCTGTGACTGGAGTAAACAGTGTAAGCACATTGCACAGTAACTAGTAAGTAGATAAAAGTCTTGATGGAGCTGAGCAAGTTTGTGACAGAACTGTACAATACAGTCTTCTTGAAGAAGCAGTTTTGGTCCTTTGTCCTGCACTGAGCTTTATCACTCACAATGACTGCAACAATCCCCCAAATCCAAACAAAGCAACCAAAACAAAACAGTAAATTATTGTTCACATACTTTTATATTTTTCAGTTTTAGCCGTTTTATTCTGACATTGTTTAAATATATAGCAAGTAAGAACTGTAAATATAAGTGGCACTAGCTGTGAAAAATTATTTAAAACATTAATTCTTAAAAATATAAATATGTAGTATAAGTTATATACATAAGGAGTATACATAAATCCATCGGGTGTACATTTTTGAATGAGGAGGATATTATATGATGTAAAGTCATTTTTATAGTTTCCTAATGAAGACGAGTTTTTAAGAAGGAAAAGTTAAAGTGATCGGATTACATAGTCTGATTAGTACTGACACAGGCACACAAACAAGACTCTTGATTGTTTCTAACTCCTACTGAAATGAAACCAAGCTGTCAATAGGTCAGTGATGAAGATGTTCTTGTAAGTTGGCCTGGACCAATTCTGCCCATCATTCAGCTATCACTTGAACCCCAGTGGACAAAATAACCCTAAAAGCTTGTTAACCACATACAGCCCTTCACAGAGGCCAAACCATTCCGGTGCTGCTGAGATCATTCTTTTTAACATGTACGCCTTCTTCTGGAGTATCTGAATTAATTAATGAAATACCATTCTTAAAGGTAGGCTGACTTTCTGAAAAGAGCATGGTTGATATTTCCTCCTTTTCTCCCCTCCCCGTGTGAGCTAATAAGCAAACAATACTTGAGTGGCAATCTTACAGAAGGCCTTTGTTCTAAATGGCTGGGCAAGGTACCTTTTGAAAAGCCACTGAAGAAGAAGCAGCAGTAAAAATGCGAGAGCTCAGGGCTCCAAAGAGCTGTGCAATGGACATTTTGATCATTTCATGCATTCGGGGACTTCCAGCTCTATGGCATGCAAAACACAACTAAGAGCAAAACACAGAAGGGTTAGCTAATGAAACACAGAGTTACACAAAATAAACCTCCAGAAGGCACACTGGAGCAACAAACACACACATAAAAACAAGCAACAATAACAACTAAATTTTTCTGCAGGTGTCTAGGCAAGCATGGGAAGGTGCACAGGGCAAGATTTAATCTATTTTTAATACTACTAATCTATTTTCAATACTATTAATACTTAGGACACAAATTATAGTACTATTCATCTTGGACGCTTCCTTAATTTGAAGCTGATAAGGTTCAGAATGATTTCAAGTACCACTGCTTTGTACACATGAATTGCAAACGATCAGCTGTGCAAAATGGCCAGACTTTGTAGCTTTGTTTGTCAGGGACAGTCCTCAGGGAGTTCCACAAGTAATGAAGGCAGTATCTTTCCAATCCTGCAGTGGTTCTACTTGCTGCAGAGTGCAGGCTAGGAAAACTAAGGGACTGACTTGGAAAGAAATGTTAAATAGCATGGGCACTGGAACAGAAAGCACCTTTTTGCACCCTTCCCTTACAGCAAGTCAGAAGGTTAACCAACGTGAACTGAGAAATTATTTTCTGTTTCCTATTGCTTATACATTGGATAATTCAGATACAAAGGCATAGTGATGCCAGCTGTTAAAGTCTTTGCCTTACCTAAAGCCTGGGCAGGAGGAACTTGTGGAAGCATGTATGTGCCTGGTAGGATTTGCTATTTAGAAAGACCTAGCCTATTTAGAAAAATCTGAGGCAGTATTTTCTCAAGAAGTGTTGAGAAAATAACTGTACCCCCAAACACTCCAAACAGAGGCAAGTACACTCTGTATTACTGCTTGTTCCGCTTCATTGAAGGAAGTGAGTTTTGCTTGCTTTGCTGGCCCATGTCATCATGCATTAGAGTCTCGTTTGCCATAAAAGAAAAGAACTAGCAATGTCCTAATTTGTATCAGTACAGTAGCAAAGCTTTTTAAAAACCAGATTGGCCTTCTGAGAATAAAAGTGTAGTGCAACTACCAAATCCAGCAGAGTTTCACATCAAACTGTGAAAGACGACTATCAATTTTCAGAACACTTTTAATGAATAACAACCCTGTTGTTTACAGAGAGAACAGAAAATATTATCTCTGATTATTTCTAGTTTATACCATACAGACCATGACTGACTGACCACTTGCCCCCAGTCTCAGGCAGTGCTCTTAAAGACTGAAAGATGAAGGGTTCAGAGTCATTAAATGCTTTTGCCAGCAAGCACTTTGTTTAATCTCCAGCTCTTTACCTACAGCCAAGAAATGCACTAAGCTGAATTCATCAGCTTTTGTCTCACATGTTAGAAAGTATGTGACAAATGTGAGAAAAACTGCAGGAGGAGAAATTACCTGTATTCTTTTTTCAGTGTGTGACACTGACATAAAGAGGGTTTAGTAGAAATTTTAAAATTGCAGCTTGTTTTAAGTAGCAATTCAGTTCACCCCTGCTGCAGCATCTACAGATGGGGCTTACAAAGACCTCCAAAAATAGCCACACCTTATGGTCTCATCTAGCACAAGAGAAACCAAAATCTAAACTGTACTAATCTAGAATGATTACTATCTTTTTCATCTGGTATATGTTATATACATGAACTATTTATGTTGTATCCTTGCCTTTTAAAGCTCTTTTTTGTTTACAAAATTGAAGTAATTTTCTTTTGTTCCCTGTTATCCCTATAACTCCTTTCTCAGCTTCCAATAAGGTAAGGCAAGGTCAGTTTTATTCTTGAACTCAGAAAATACTGTAACTTCCAGCTAAAGTAAGCTATTTTCACATGGGATTTTTGTTTTTACAAAAAAAAACCCACCCCAAATACCAAAAACTGAGAAGTAACACATCTCTAAATGTCTACAGACACTTGGGAGTGTAGGCCATGTAAATAACATTTACATTCCTTCATGGACACCAGCTCTGCCCATACCATGTTAACAATGTAATTTTATAATAGATTCTGCACACAGCAGTGTGTGTTGCACAGGAAGATTAGTGTTCCTGTGCAACTTCTCTAAGCTGAACAAACAGGCCATAGCTTGCAACACATTACTAAAAATATCACACACCTACAAAGGCTCAAGTAATATGCCTGCAGGTATGCTTTTCTAAAACCAAAGCTCCTTTACAATTTAATTCAGACTAAAATCTAATGGAATAAAGGGAGTAGAGTGACTAACAACTCAATGGATCAAGGGGCATTATAAATATTTTACTTGGACGTGTCAAGAAAGAGATACACACAAGGAACACTGAGGCACTTGTGCTAACATGGCACACTAGGGCTTATAAACTTCTCTTCAGGAAACTTCATTAGTGTTAGAGTTGCAGCCAGAAAGAAATCAGTGCAGTGCTGTTTTATGAAGAACTCCAGAAAATTTTTCTATTGCAAAAAGCAAAATAAACATGACAAGTAGTAAATGTGCAATGCTGTAATATACAATTATCAGTCAACTTCCAAGACTGCCTTCCCATGCAAGCCCAAACATGACTGACTTGCAACTACTCCTTCACGCTAGGGATAAGGTAATACCAGTACGAAAGATGGTAGACGTGTTTTAGACTGGTTCAGTTTCAGGTTATATATGGAAGACACACTCTAGGTAGTGGGGGAAGGTTAAGCGACACAAGCTGTGATATAACAGAGACACTTACCTCAGCAATCTTCAACACTGAACTGCCATTCAGCTCAAAGGTGGAGGTATATGTTATACAGAGCAAGACCTTGCATCAAAAGAGAGGAAATGAAAAAAAAAAAAAGTTTCAGCCATTATTAACTCTCTTTCCCACCCATGTGCTTCTAGTCACAATTCCATCCAATTCTGAGAAAAGCATCAGAAGCTTCTTAGCACCATATGTTATTGGGATAGAGGAGATCCTCCTGAGAAGCTGCATCTGTTGGCCCAGAGGCACCACACAATAGATTACTTATCGCTGTCTCCTACATATGATCACCAAAAGGAAGACAATCCAGTGATAAACTCTGGCCTTGGACCCCTATTCATATTTTAACCACAAGCTTTGCATTATTTATAATCAGTTCTTCCATCCATTTCTATCAATATAACAAAAGAGGAAGGAAAATTACAGTGCAAATTATTACTTAAGTGGCACAGACAGATAAGTATTATGTGAACCAAGCCATTCATTACCGCCTGAGGATTTCCCAGCACAGATAATTTCCACTAAATGTATTATGGTCACTTGATAATAAGTAGCTAAAAAAACAATCCCTAAGCCCCAGTTCATGAAGGGAGGCTTGTCCTGAATTCAGCAGGAAGAATAAGACACTAAAAGACCAATTCAATATCTTACTTTGAAGAGAAGGGGTGTAAGAATGTAATGCGAACCACCAGGGTAAATGGGTGAGTGAGGCAATGTGGTGAGAGGTGCTGTGGTGTGATGCCTTTTGTGTCTGGAGATATCTTCCCTCTCTCCTGTCTTCCTTTCCAATCTCTTCTGCCTTACAGAAAACAGAGCCTCAGCTACTGTTCTCTCTCCTTCAAAACATAAAATCCCTCCAGCACTAGAATTTATGTTTGGCTTGGTCTGAAATAGTACGAGTTTCTTGGGGTAAGTGCACCAGCAAATATCAATCACATTAACACTAATGTATTGGTCCCTTCTCAGACCTATGCAGAACTGCTGTTCTCTGCTTCATGAGGAAGTTTGAGGCATCAGATAAGTCAACATTACTGGCTGTTAACTAGAAGCAAAGTACAGAAAAGTTTGTCCACAGGTGAGTGTGACATTTTCCTGAAGGAAGACATAAATAAACTGTTTTGCATTTTGAGAGTCATACTGAAAAGTTTCTATACACTGAAATGCACTATACCTTTACAAATGTTTTTCTTAGCAGAAAACCTGTATTTCACTACTACAGGATGTCACACCTTACTCTAAAGTTGTAAGGTTTTCTGTTTGTTTCTTTGCTCTTCTGTTTTGTAAATAAAATACCAATAAGCAGCTTGATCCTGTTCTTACTGAAGATGATTTTACTACAAAAAGTGTTCCAAGTAAACCACCTTGTAATGGCAATTTTACAGTTTTCTGTATATGATATCTTGACTTGACTCCTTCATAAATAGAAGCTAAATAATGTGGATAAATACTAGAGGTAGTGAAAACAACAGAAAAGGGCATGCTACTCTTATGAATTACAATAGTCCTGCACTAGAAACTTTTTTAGATATTTAGCATTTGTCTTTGGAGCAAAGCAAAGTTTATGAGCTAAAGTCCTTCACAGTTTCTATTTTCTTTGAAATGGACAAAATGGATTTTCTTAAAAGGGTTATACAGCCCACCTCAATATTACAAGGAGAGATACAAGCTACACAACACTTGAACTTGCCAGAGAAACAATCCAATTCTAACCACAAACAATTAAGAATGTTGTACTTTGTATGTCTTGATAGAAACTCCACAAATTTCTCTGCAATCCATAACATTTACTGGTACATGCACAAGTGCCAGTGAAAAGGAACTGTGGCACCTTTCCTCCTGTCCCCAGAAAAAATTCTATAGAACAATAGAAAAGTAAATGGTCAATTATAAAAACTCAGTAATTTCATTTGGCTAATAACTACATAAGCTATAGGGGCTGTTATTTCCATCTACCGCTCAGTCCATATGTGAAAAATTAAACTTTGAAGACAAACAATTTTGTTTAGCACTAACTGGATTCTTAACTACTGGCTAGCCCCACAGTCAGCTGTGGGGCCCCACTTTCTCAGCTATTAATTACCCTGTGAAAGCTCAGCAGCTGGCTAAAAACATATATTCAATACTTAAGGAAAACCTGATTTGCATCCTCCAGACACTGCTGTGTAAAGCACAGGTGTAGAACACAGCTCCTAAACACAGAGAGAGACAAGTGTTACCTCCCACTGACAAATCTCTTCTTATCACACTAAGAACCACGATGGACATCCATGACTAATCCTATTCAGTGGTTTGTGTGTCCTGATTTTCCCTGCTTGTAAAACCTTATTTACTTCATGCGATTTTCTGCTCTCTTGTCCCATCTTGGCTTTGTAGGATGTGTTACTACCTAATCCTTTCCACAGATCAAAACCTGGATGCCAATACACTACAATTAATGGAAGCACACACCAGTTCAGCATTCTTTTAAGCCTTTGCTCTTCAAAATCTCTTTCCTTCCTCCTTTTTTTTTTTTTATCTTTTATAGAGTGAATTGTGAAATTTTATAGAGTGAATTGTGAAAAGTTAGTGCATATGTATATATACACACACATATATATATTCCTTTCTGTCACAAATGCCAAAAACCTGCATGTAAGACGTGAATGATAGAAACATCAGAGATCAAGCTCAGTAAGGAAGTGATGAACAAAACTTTGCTATGAAGCAAAATAGAATTTCACAGGTTATCAGCCAGTATATTCTTGGCTTAATCCACTGCTACCACTTTCCCTCACAAGTCATTTGTAAGTTCTGAAAGACATCTCTGACCAATACACAAAACTGCTCTCAGCTATGATTTCCATCAGCTCTGCTGCAGGGCTCATTTACAGTCTTGGCAATGATCCAAACACTTAACTTGCATGTTTTCCCATTTATGTGGAACAAACAGGAAGACAGCAGGCTCCTCTTTTAGATTACTGGATGAAAAATGGGACTAAAACAAAAAAAAAAACAAATCCAAACTTAATAATTCCGATACACTGAAAACATTGAGTCTGGAGGTAGGATACCTCCATAGACTGCTTAACTACCCATGACACCAACTCAAGCAATCTGTATTTTAAAAAATTAAAGAAAAGAAAGATAGAGGCTTTCTTGGGCAATGACATGTTGTTTTTGCAAGCACTGGTATGGAAAGCAGAAACAAAACGACAAAGCAGTTCCTAATAACTAGAAAGCAATTCCAGTTAAAAAAAAAAAAAATTGAAAATTAGCTTTTACTGATTGGTATGGACTCTAAAACACATTTTGTTTCTTTTGTTTTTTTTTTTTTCAAGAAGGAACTTTTATGACTGTAGAGATAGTTTTAAAATCACACAACTTCCAGGATTTTTTAATTGGCTTGCATTACCTTGCAAATACACAATGAGATCGCATTTCCATAAAGGGTTTATTCATAACAAAAGTATTTATTTTAATTACTGTTGAAGTTCTGACCATCATGAAACAAGAAATATAATTCCTACTCCCTAGAGTCCCAGGATACAGTCCCAAATGTAGTATAAGAGCATGCACATGGGTAGTTTTCACAATATGTAGAAACAAAACCAAAATCTCTAATTCTGATAGGTAAATTGAAACAAAATATACAGGATTTGAGGTGCAATGTAATTAAACTGACATCACAATGTCTATCCATCCTGTGCCATGTGCTCTAGGATGACCCTGCTTGAGCAGAGAGATTGGACCAGATGGCCACTGTGGTCTCTTACAGTCTTACCCATTCTGTGATTCTGTGGGATTCCATACTTTAAGAGAGAGTATTCCAGGTCACATCAGATGGGGATTTGCACAACCTGGTCTAGTGGAAGGTGTTCCTGTCCATGGCAGGGGCACTGGAGCTAGATGAACTTTAAGGTTCCTTTCAACCCAAACCATTCTGCGACCTCTTTAAGATGAAAAAAGTAGGAAGGTGTTTAGATTGTAAGGCTGCCTAGCATTTCTAGCCAAGTTCCTTAAGTGCTTAGTACATATCTGTAGTACAAAGCAATTCTCATTTCAGGTGGAGGCACATGAAATAAACACAGTGTGCAGAAAAGCAAGCAGTACCCCCAAAAAAGAGAAAAGGTTCAAAACTTTATGATTTACAAAGAAAACAATTTTGCAACCACCTCTAATCCATTTGTGAGATTTGTAAAAGAAGCTTTTCCTGACTCACTTTATTTGCAGGATAGTAACTTGGATGCAATGTGTGTCAGATGATTCTCAGATCCTGCCCCTCGGAGGAAAACTCGGATAGGAAAGACAGCCCTTTACCTCATTCAGTAGCTTGACATTTAAAGTCATCCAGTATTTCTGCAAAACAGTGTGGACAGGAGGTGTCCCCCTATTTGTCAGAATAACTGGTAACCTGCTCATGTCGCACTCTTTGGCCTTGAAGGAAAACAAGGGCAAGAGAAACAAAACACATTAATGAAGTCATTTACACTGTGTCACCATGTGTCACTGCACCAAACAGCAGATTTTAATTATGGAGAGAGAGGGGAGTGTGTCTGCTATGAATTAGTAAACTCATAAATGCTGTTCAGCATTATGAATGCACCAGTGCTTCCGACATAAGGACTATATCTGCTACAGGAGAACCTCACACATCATCAGCAACAACATGCTGAGTGCTCCGAGAAGAAAATGTCCATTTAGTTCACTGGATTAAAACAGATCTTCTGCTGAGCACTATTAATGGTGCATGAAACCAAGTGAAACTTCTGCTTATGTAGTATAGTTGTAGAAGGGAAAGAAATTATTCAAAGTTTGATATATACTTTAACAGTGTTTGTCAACATTCTGACAGGAGGTTTTATCTTTAGAATTTTAACTATTAAAGGCAGAGAAAAATAAAGAAAAAGGCTGAACGGCAGTACTAGGACGACATTTCCCCCTTTACAGGTTACAACCTAGTCAGATATACTGCATTACTTTACAAATTATAATGTGCAAATCTGAGTAAAACAAAAGTGAAAAAGGAGAAATACCAAACTGGAAAACATCAACAAATAGTTTAAAGAGTTCTCAAATAAAAA